CTACATATTATGGCAATGTCTATGGGTTAGTAAACATACTACTTACTAATCTATTTATTTAATTACGATAATTGGATAGTAAGAGACGTAACACGATATGACAAAAATCGAAGATTAAAATTAAATACTTTTGATTAGCACAAAGTTCATAGACAAATACGACTATCAGCGCAAAAGTGGTGTAACCCACACAAATCTTTTTCTGCAAGATTCACAATTATTTTGTATTATATGGATGCTTTTTCCATGTACATAAATGTTTAATGATTACTATTTTTTATATATGAAAATGGCAAGCAGTAATGTCAGCATTATTATGTTCCGGTTTTAAAGTGCCGGGCGCAGTGGCAGTGCCCGTCAGATCTTTGCGATTTAAAGCTCTGAGTGGTACTGCAACTGTTATAGCCAGGCGAGTAGCTTACCATCAGGCGCACGTCTACTTGTTCGTCCCGTCACTTGATATTATAATTATTAATTAATAATTTAAAGTAATATTGTAGGAAAAAAATCAATATGAGTTAGTTACACCACTTTTGAGCTGATAACCTCAAATATACAAAATGGAAATTTGTTGAAAACTAAAATAGTCATGGGCATTCAGAAAACAGGAGTTTGAAAGATACAACATTTCCCGTTTGTGACGTCATAATTTTTATAGCGCCATACAACACAAGTCATTTTCTAAAAAGGAACCGACCATCCTCTCTCCATTTTATTTAAAAAAAACAATATATCCGAAAACAATATATAGGCCGATATCTCTGGTGTTACTATAAAAAAACACAGATTCATTTTCAGCATGTTCGCGGCAGTCAAATTGGTCTACAATCAACAAACATTATTATTTTATAAATACATATTGATTGCCATTGTGTGTTGAAAGTTCGTGGAAGGTATTAAACTTTACCAGTAAATACACACATCAAAAAAAGTTTGCGATCACTTTTAAAACTTGAAATATTTTTTAATTTCTAAAAATATTTCAAAAACCTCTTTAGTGATACTATTATTTGTTTTTAATTTTAATTATTTATTTAATGTTGTACTTTTAACAAAAAAACTATTTATTACATATTTCTTAATAATATTTCCACATATTAAAAATATGTTAAGTTTTCAAACTGATCGCAAACTTTTTTTGATGTGTGTAAGTATATAAACTGAATTTTAACGAACTGGTTAGCTAAATTTAAAAAATCGTCCGTAAAGGTATTCGATATTATACACTCCACTTAATAAAGAGGATTATGGTTAATTAACACTACGTTAATTTATTTGACTCTAATAACAACGGCGTGCGGTTTAATTAACGTTAACATACATTCATATTATGTGGGTACTTAAGTATTACCTACGTGCATTTTATCGGATACTGTCGATTTAAATTCAAATATTAAAATCATGGCATTAGTAGGTTGTATCTTTTCTTTCAATAAATAATGTAATGGGCCGTACTTCAGTACAAACCAACGGCATGCAATGATTAATTATATTAAAAATAAAGAGTACTAAAAAACTGACCTCAAAAGTTCGTGGAATAACATCTATTTGCCAAGTTTTATTGAAATCGGTTACCAGAAAGACTTCCGGCTTACCGGGTTCATCCCCTAGTTCCACCCTTAGAGGTGGAATATTTTCATCAAATTTAAATGGGACCATTACTGAGGTACCCTTTTTCCAACAAAAAAGAGACATCAACACAATCGGTTCCCAAATATCGCGGAGTTATCGCGTAACATACATACAAAAAAAACATACAGATGAATTGAGAACCTCTTCCTTTTTTTTTGAAGTCGGTTAAGAAGGATAATCGACGTGCGAGATGTACGAGAGGGAATGAAACAAAGTAAACATACATATCAATACGTCTGTCTGTCAGAGAATGGCGTACTTCTATTCGCTTCGCTTGACTGGTGGACTTTCTGAAAAAAAAAACAAAAAACTACTACGAAATAATTAGGAAATACAAACAAGGTTCGAATACACATAATGTTCGAAGATTAAAAGCGTTGGTAATTTGTGCACGGAATGCGATGACGTTGATGTCTTTTGTTCATACCAAATGAAATGGCACGTGACACGGATTGTATTTTTAAATTGCTAGTTTGAGCGCTATATATAGATGGTATAAAAAAAATGCGATTTTCAACACAGAATTTTGGCTCACTTTTAGGCGAAATCTTAGACTATGGGCGAAATCCACTATTATTAAAAACTTAACGCAAGGCTTTTTCGTGATAACACAGTTGACATTATGAATACTGGTTGTTTTCAATGTCAATGGTCATAAAGTATTTAAAAAATGGAATAAAAGAAATATTTATTTTGCAACAGCCAGTGTCAGAGACGACTTAAAAAAGGTTCTGTTGCACAAAATAGAATTCGTGCTTCGATGCAATGTATAGTGAGCATTAAACGAGTTGTTTAGCTCGTTATTTTTGTATTGAATTGAAGAGAATTGATGAAGATGTGAAGAGTCTGTTTAAAAGTGTCGCGACCTCTTTGATTGGCGACGATGCAGAGCACAAGGTCGTGGAATGTCAGAGCGATGCAAATGCAAGAAGGAAAAAAAATGCAAGACGCTATATATAAATAGGTAGTGTTTGTTGTTTCAGAAATTAAAATTTTTAAATTTTAAATTGAAAAGATGCAAGTTATATATTTATTTAAAACTTATCTAATGTAGATATGTTTGTTGATTTTTACTCGCCTTCAACGTTGCTTAGTTAAAATATTTTTCTATTTATGCAGTAATATAGTACGTAATAAATAATACCGCAATAAAACACAACAATGGTTCAACTTTTTTGTGCCATACCCAAAGCTTATATTGAAATAATAAAAAATGTTTGTACTATCTTCTATATTAACATTGTTTATACTTCTGTGTTGTATGGAGAAGTAGTAGGCGGACAACTAAACAGAAATCACTTGGAAATCGCACTATAAAGTCCGTACTTAGTTGGTTTTTTGAAGTCCATGTAGTAAAACGAGGTACCCCGTACTTTCCATGTACGCCGTTACTGTCCATGAACAGCTTAATTAACCCTTAACATACTTTATGAAAATATCTATAATATATTTTTCGTGACAATCGTTAGGGCAAAAAAAGGTACAGATACACAACATTTTGTCATCAGTCACGTATACAATGAGGAAGCAATGATTTATTTTTCAAAGAAAAAAGCCGCGGATATTAATTAGTCCTTTATGTAAATATGACTCGTAAACACTTAGTTTGTTAGCAAAATGATGACTCAAAAAAGTCATCAGCACTTCAAGTGCATTGTATTTAAGTAGTAATTAACTAACTCGTCAACTTATGTCTCAGGGTGACGGGCACAGTGGCAGCGCACCTCAAATTTTTGCTATTTAAATCCCCGAGTGGCACTGCAACTGTCACAGACAGGCGTGTCGCTTACCAGCAGGCGCACGACTTGTTCGTCTCGTCACTTGGTATCATAAAAAAAGGATCTCTCCTTTTTATGTATGCATCTCGTCGTATCTACAATATGATTTAGTAGGTACGTACAATCTATTTGAATTAGAAAGCATGTTAGTACAGATAACAAAGAGTAATTAAAACAGCTATTGCAAACATGTCATCATGTTTGGATATTACACACATTTCAGGTGACACATAATGCATGAACACATGCGACTTGTATGCTATCAACGAGCTTTCGTATACATTACTGTAAAACGCGCACAAAGGCACAACAGGGTCGTATTCTAGAACTCTACTCAATACTCAAGTCAGGACTTGAATATTGCAGTGAGCACTGAAAATCATACTCAAGCCCTTGCCATTAGAGTCGTATTTCCAGTGCTTGAAATCATACTCAAGTGTGCTCAAATCCTGACTTGAGCATTGAGTAGAGTTCTGGAATACGACCCTAAGTCAAATGAGGTTTAATATTTAATAAGCACCCTTTTTACTTTAGACTTACTCATTTGTTGCAATCCCTACCACCAATCAAATGTTCTATTGAAAAGAATATTGCGTCTGCGATCGTATCAGTAAATTACTTGCTTAATCAAATTTAAACTATCTCTGAGCGGAATCTCGACACACGAAAATTGATTAATGATTTTGGTTATTGTTTATTCCTTGTATAAATAAAGGAAAGTTTTGCTCTCAGCCTCCTTTCACTAATGTCTTTCGGTTCGCACTTAGATCTTGATCTAAGATAAAATAGATCGGACGATGTCTGAATGCTTACCGCGGTCAGTGAGGCTGCCGAGAGAAAATAAATCTTCAATTGGGTCGATCAAATGCCAGGCTTAATGTTCTGGCGTAATACATAATCGCGCTTTTATTCGGTCCTACTTTCCATTTTAATTCGTCAGAGATGATAATTACTTTTATCTGCAACTTAAATCTTCGAGAGTCTAAAATTTACGCCTTACTAAAAATAAATTAAGAAATTTAAATAATCCCGGACATGAAGAAAATAAATGAGATACTGACTTGTATATCTATGGTACTGAGTAGTTATATACCCTTAAAACCGATAAAATTCTTCTGTAAGCATTGACTTACAATTACATCTGTAAGTAATAAATATTTTTATGATAAAATTGTGACACATGTTATATTAGAATTTTTTCTTAAAAATTAATTTAGTGAAACGTCCCGGACCGCTTACACGTGTCTAGTTCCATTTGTTGTTACCACGGAAGTATGGTCTGTGGTTGTTATTTTATCAGTTTGGCTGTATGTAATTATTGTACGAATTTAAAAGGTATTTTCATAGTCAATGGGTATTTTGATTAAATTGTACACTCGACGATTTGTAAAGATATTTATATTTGTCAAGAATTTATATATAACTTAGTAGATACGTACTTGTAGGTAGGTAGTCGCGTCAAGTTCTGTTGGCCGACGATGATACTGGATCCATACGTAGAATATTCTAGGTTATGTGACACATTCAGATGATTGATTAAGTCTCAGTTATTTTGTTGCGATTAGAATGTAATTGTATATTTGTTGGCAGATGGCACAGTTGATAACTGTGCGGCTGAATAAGTCCGACCACCAGCCTCTGGGTTTCCGGCTGCAGGGCGGCAAGGACTTCGGCACTCCTCTAGTCGTTCAAAAGGTTTGTATGAAACTGTCTATCAGAGTTACTATTTGCACAAAATGTCTACCTAACAATGACCTTTCGTTTAAAATCTGTGTAACGGTAAAAAACGGTAAATTTAAATTTTTGTAGGTATCTGCCTGAATTCTTGTAACAGTTCAATACTAATAAAGAAAAAATATTTACATTGGAAATAGTGCCGGGCTCAATGATATACTCGTTTTAACATTAATAAAGTGAGCCTAAGTACAGTCCACGCTTAACTTCGCGGTCGCCAGCAACTACAAGATGCGACAAAAAGCAGATATCTGGAATTTATAAGGGAATAAAACTACATACTTTGGTTTGATTATTGTCAATATCCCTCACTCTAGGGGAGCTCTGTCCCTGGCACTGTGCGTAAATGGGTTGTTAGAGATTTAGATTACTACGTTTTAGTGATTTCTGTTCTGCATAGATTACTTAGAGCTCAATTATAGGTACCTACCTAGGTACGATAATAACAATGTGGGTTGACTTTGGGGTTGTATAATAAATAACGTATAATACTGTGGTTACTAACGTTTTCAACTCATTAGGATAAACAGGTATCTGATATAGGTTCATTATAATCTCTGTTCTCTTTTTGTCAGCACTGTGACAAGCGTTAAATGTAAGTATGCAATTACTAGTTATTGAAAGAAGCTTTTGCCTCTCATTAACTGTTATTTGTCCTCGTTAATGTAGCTTTGACATAAGTACCAAAAAAATGATGATCCGACAAGCACCACTTATCAATCATCAAGTCGAGAGACATTCTTTTAATGACGCATCCTTCTGCCATCTTTCGCGAGCGTATAGTAAATATGTGTACCTAATTAAGTTTTATTTTAACAAGACAGATATTATACAGGCGCTTACCTACCTAAAATGCCGTATCAAGTAAGGTATTAAGTAATAATGACATCTCATTACAGCTAAATATAATTTGTGTCGTAGTCGTAGTTCAACTACGGAACAATTCATTCGACCTTGTACTAGAGTGTTGTCTTGATCATGATTTGGCGTTAGTATATCTCTAATTGAAACATTTTTGAGTGAACAGATCTCACGGCGTCGCTTGATTAAACTTAATCGTTTATGCATATACTTAATTTAGTGTGACGTTACAATGTCAATAGCAACAATAATTATCATAATGATGACGAGCTCTCGGCTTTAACGGTACTTTTGCAAGAGTTATTGTTGATGGGTTACTTATGATTCGTAATTGAACTAGATAGATATGAAGCTAAATCGTTTTGGCAGTTCATTGGACCGGAAAATCCCGGATCTATGCATGAGTGTAATCGATCACAGCAATTTACATTTTGCGAAGCTTTTTATGAAGGTAATTTTCGTGTAAGTAAGTATTATGTTTTTGCTTGTGAGCTATTGGTGTTAGACAAGATTATATCGGCGAAACCATGGTTCGTGCCGCTTGTATCCATAGACGGTACAAGAAACGTCTGTCCGTAAGACTACCTACCTATCTCTTAAACCCAAAAACTTTATTCCGAAAACTTCAAACGTCCAGCAATTTATTTAGGTTACTTTAATCTTGGTCTTTACTCGGGGGAAATGCACTATGACTGTTTTATACCAGTATTTCCTTAGATGATCCATAATTGTAAACCTTTTTACGATCGTGTAATTTAGTAGCAAAAAGCAAAATTATTTCGTGGGCACGGACGTGCTGTAATAGCGGTGTGTGCTTACGCTCAGATAAATTATAGTTTGACCTTATTCCTTTTGCGTCGCACAGTTATAAACACGATTCCTTGTTAACGTTCTTTGGAAGTTTCATTTTGAAAAGGAAAGGAGTATTTTTTACTTCTTCTCCATAACAGTCTTGGTTGGATTTGAAAAACCTGTAAGTTCGAATACTCAAAGTGTATTCATAGTAGGTAATTTAAAAGATACATCGATACTTTGTAACTGTAGGATGTAATCAAGAAATATCTATAAACTATTATTTACATACACCATCTACGCATGCATTTGTTTAACTTATAGAGTAGTTATTATCTTATTAATATTATGGTTTCTCATGGCATGAGGTAATAAAATTGCAAAGTAACGTTAATGCACTGCATTGGAGCACGGGGACGATCCACTAATCGGGACAGGTTTTAGTTCCAACTGCATTCCTGGAGTGAACGCGTCACCAATACTTTCACTCCCCTCTTATAAACATGGACCAGTTGTGACAGTCTCCCATAAAAAGTAGAATTTTTATTTAGGACAAATCTGACACAAGACTCACGTTGCAGTGTCAATTAGCGAGCCTTAAATTGGCGAGACAATGTGACTATTAAGTGCGAACGTAAATAGTGGCCATTTTTTTTTATTGCAGTCCCTAAGAACTTGATAGCCTTTGTAAACAATAGCGCAGAAAATGTACAATGCTATTATTTACTTTTATACATTTTAGTGGTATATAAAATAAGTTCTTAATGTCCAAGTAGCGCCAGATTCTCTTATAGCAGAATGGATCGTGCCGGGTGCCGGTGGTCGTTACGCAAGTGTTCGGGTTGTCGTTCCAAACTCGAACACAATCTGAGTCACGTACTGGCAGGGATTTGTTTTGAAATTAGAACGCCAAGCGGCGACAACAACGCCTTCTGTGGATTATCGCTGGTGGTATTTTCTAATAACCATGCCCAACTGTCACCAGCACAGTTCACGTCTAAAACTGATATCATATATAACACGAAATTTTTTTAAATATTTAATAAATTGCCAGACTTTATTATAATCTAACAAATGGCGTAGCCAACGTACACGCCTAACAAATTTTGTGATTAGTGTCAACGGCCTAGTTGATTTATCAATTATGTCACATCAGTAATTAAAATGTCGTTACATGTGATGCCAGTGTGTTGTTAGCATTTTATCAATTTAATAATAATAAATAGCAATACCACCGCGTGATAATGTTCATTATCCCTTGATAGTTGTATTCAAGGCAACAAAAAAGCTATACTAATAAGAAATACCAGTTTTTCCAGTACCAATTGCAATCGCGTGGTAAAAAAGGATAATTCCGCTCGTGCTCTTCGTTGGGACCATATTTTTCAGAGAATAATAGTAAACAATAAAGAAAACATAATATGGCTTGGCCTCGCGCGGCGGGCTTGCATTACTATCTCGTTTTTGTAGTTCTGAAGCCGTATATGGCATGCGCGTGCGGCGCCGCAAGTCCCATAGAATACCATAGCAGACAAGAACATCTTTCCGGGAAATAACACAACTGAACTTGAACAAGACTCATATTTTCAAATAATTTAAACTCTATCTAAGGATAAGAAAGTAACAAAGACATCCCTATATTTAATAGTGTACCTAATAAAAGTAATAAAGATAAAGAGGTTGGATAGTTTTGTCCACTAGCGATAATTGCGTTGTTGAAACTTGAAAATTGTGTAATTATTATTTCCTTAATGGCGGACACTAGACTTGGGCCAGTGTCAGTTTCGAGGAATGCGGTCAGTTAAATGTTGATCAACAGTTTTGAAGAGTGTAGTCAGATAATATTGGTCAAAAACGCCAACGCTAAGGCAGCAGCAATAATATTAATTGATACTAACTTCGCGTAATGTTATTGTCAAGTTATTTTTAATTTACACAAAATAATTAAATAAGTGGTGCATTCGAGAATTCTGCCAAATGGAACATCTGGCTGTTTCAATTCTTTGGCAACAGGGTTGTCGTTGTCGGCAAGTCGAGGTCATTGCCAACCACTATGGGCCGGAAGGAGGCTGCGCGAGCGCAGGACCATTCAGTCCTGACGGCTGACAGATTAGGGGGGAGAAAACTATAAAAGCCCGCATTGACTACGTGCGCGTTTTAAACGATATGACACGTAAGACACGGTGACAGCGTGGTCTTGAGTAGTTATAGCTTACGTGTTATTGTATATTGAAGTGTTGTTACTTTACTCGTGTCGGTGAAATTAACCGTGAGTTTTAACTTGTGCTCTTGTTTATCGACAGTTAAATATGGTCATAATACATTACCTGACATCCTTTTAAGGGCATGTACTTACACAAAACTATAGGAAATTTAATACGGGGTCTCGTCTGAAGACGCGAAAAAAGAACCAGCTGTTTCATATGTGTGAGTAGAACGTTTATATGGAAACCTTACAATAAATAAGTAACTCTTACTCGTTTGGTTTTAAGTACTGAATATGAATTTTAAAAGGATGTCATAAAAACGATGTAAACAGAAAGATGTCTCCGTTCTCTTGTTGTTATGTTATTTTAGAAGATTTGCGGACAATGAAATTAAATAAAAAATTACACGGTTATTTTAAATTAACCAGAAAACTTTTAATACGACATTCCTATAATTAAAACAAATTAGTTTTAGCTCTGTCCTTAATCTGACTCAACTTTTCTCTCATAAAAAAATAAACATCTCGCACTCGGCAACTAACAATATATAATATTATCTCAAAAATTGCGTTATATTATGTTTTATCTCAAAATTGCGTTATATTAATAATCTGTTAATCGTATACGATTTAATTTCAAAGTAACAGGACAACACTGTCGCTTTGAAATTAAATTAAATATGTAATATTAATATAACTTAAAGCAATTTTATGATATAGGTATTTTATGTTTTATTTATTTATGATATAGGTACATATAGCTTATAATAATTGAACATACATAAAACAGTGTCGCATAAACCTATTATAGATATTTCTATACATTGCTGCTTATCATAATACAGTTTATTGTGTAAATTTGTAATAATAAAAATAAGTCACGTAGACAATAAAATTGAAATTAAATCTTTTGAACAGTCAGTATAAAAACCGATAAAACATAAGTTCCTATAAACATATTATGTATTATAGTTATTAGCCCTTTTAGGGCCATGTTCAGTACCAAGGTACATTTTTTTACGTAAACCAAACAAAAAGCTCAGCCACAGCCTCACGTGATGTATGATGGCAGCGAAATGAAACCAAACCACTTTTATTATGGTCTCTATTCAAATAGCGTATTAATTGACTGTAATGATTATGAAACAGCTGTTTTATAGCTCTTTGGATTTTATTTTGATTCATGCTGGTACTGATCATGTCCTTAAAATAATGTCTGTTAGTAAATTAGGACCCTACCTATAGTTAGCATTACATCGTCGTCTTAGAGTGAATACCTCGTATGTGATTTCTATGTTTTTGTAGTGTGTATTTGACGTATGCGTACATAAAAATGTCAGTGACTCGTGTGTGGCGTTTGTTTGGCGCGCCTGAGACGCGCTCCATGGGCTCCACATTATACCAGCGCCGTGGCTCACACACACACACTCAACATAGCCCCGCACTAGGGAGACCCTGTGTCGCGGGTACCATGGACACACACATAGACAACCACAAATTACACCCAAACTCACGAGAGAAATAAATGTAGGCCATACAAATATTTCTCCGGGCCCGGGAATCGAACCTGGGACCTCGGCGTGGCAGTGCAGCATAATAACTGTTCGGCCACGGAGGCAGTTTTCTTTCTTTCCATGTAATTTTTCAGGACGAAGATAAAAATGTGGTGTAAAATGTAGTAAACGCAATAATGTTTGTAGTTCGCATTTTGATTAGTTACATTATAACCCTATCATATATTATAATACTTTAATAATATATTTGAGCAAGTTTATAAGTTTTTCTTTAAGAAAAATCAATAAAAACGAATTATGTGAAAACGCGTATGCGAGGTTTTCACTTTAAGGTGACGATTATACTATCTTAAGTTCAATGTATGGAACTCGTAAATTTTTATCTAATTAGTATGTGGGCACTGGGCACAAAATGGTCGCACGCAAACTTATCCAGAGCGAGAATCGGTGATCTCATGCTGACGTCAGTCTTCCTTCCGCTCCTCCCTGCCCTCGGCCTGCATTCCGCGATAAATTCGCAACCGCTACCCACTAGGAATCTGGGACATACACCATTCATAATCGCAAGACTAGCCTCGATCATAATAAAGTTCCATAAAAAAAAATATTATGTAGGTACCTAACGAATATATGTACGGACAACGGCACACCAGACTACACATTTTTGTTCCAAAATCGCCTCCAGTGCAACGGAACAAGATACGTCAATATGTAGCTTGATGTGCTGGCGTGTGTACAAGATGTATTCTTATGTGTTTGCTTTACAAGGCACGTTAGAAGTGTATTCTGTGCAGTTGTAACAGTGTGCACTATAAACTAGGTAATGTTTGCGGTTTATGACAATGGTTATGTTTACCTACAAACAAGGATAATATGCAAAATAGTAATTATAAATAACCATAATTATGACTATACCAAACAATGTTCACGCTTGACGTGTCTGAAAGATATGTAACGTATATGGAATATACACATTTTAATATTTTTTGTGTTTGCTACATTTCAAATAAATAAAGTTTTATTAGGTTGGTATTATAAACATCGAAAGATATTTTGTCTCACGTCTATTCGATGAAGTGTAATTTTGTTATATAACTTTGTATTAAAATACATGTTATTTGCGCAGGTGAACGGCGGCAGTGCGGCAGAGCGCGCGGGACTACAGGCTGGCGATGCGCTGATCCGTGTCAACAACAGCGACGTCTATAACCTCCGCCACCAGGAGGCTCAGGACACCATCCGCGCTGCGGGTACCACACTTGAACTCACCGTACAACGGTGAGACCTACATTGCTCGACACGGTGGAATTTAATGGCGATTACAATAGATCTTAAAGATTGCAGTGTACCTCGATCTCCACCACAGCAAAGCCATCACTACGGAAAAGATGGTTAGCCATGAGTACAGTGCTCTGAAAAAAATTATTTAGATCTTAGTTTTCACAGTTTTTGTTTCGACGGTGAAAAATTTTTTACACTTTGGAGGCATGGCAGATTACTCTTTATAGTTACATATTTTCTAACAGTGGTGGTAGTACGTGGCGTCCATCAGTCACTCCAACTGGCAGCCTACCCAGGCCTGGTTCTCGTGCTTTAGGCGCTACCCCGATTCCCGTCACCAACACGTCTCTTAAGGCGACATCTCAGCCTTCGCGTGCTTTTGGCTCCGGCCACAACAACGTCGCCAAACCTTTTGGCTATGTAAGTACCTGCTATTGTGAATCTTCGGAATTTTGTTACTAGTACATAGTTCAAAAAAGTCCTCAAGTCCAATATTAATACATTCAATAAGTCGTATTTCATAAAACCGGAATTCTCTCAAAACTAGACGATTAATGATCAAGTGGACCCTGCCCTTGGCCGCGTTAACCTTGCTGCGAATAAATAACAGTCATAACATGCGCCAAGAAAATTTCCTCGTAAACTTTCTTATGTAAAATCATGAATAATAAATGCTCGAATTTGAATTTTCCATGTTTCTAATAACTCATGAATGTTGTTTAGATGAATGGCAGCGATAATGTAAAGAGCATTGTTAACAAGCAGTACAACACACCCGTCAAAATGTACAGCGACCAAACTATCGCTGAAACTCTTTCCGCGCAAACAGAAGTCCTGGCTGGAGGTGTTCTGGGGTGAGTAGACGGAATATCGCAATCATAGACGTTTAAGATGTGGTATGATGCAATATGTGCTTGGATGTTGTGATATAAAACTATGAATGCGTTAATTCGAAATAGTTCGCTAAATCTTTTAAATGCCATCAAACCCATGCATTTAGAATCCTCATTCAAAGCAGAAATAAAATTTAACAATACTCACACTTGTGGCTGTCGCATTGTGTTAAATCGTTCAAAATTACGAATACTAAACATGCTATCTGTTTGGCAGAGTGAATTTCAAGAAAAATGAGAAAACATACGACGCAGAAAAGAGTGCCGTTTTCAAGGTGCTTCAAGAAGAGCAAAACGACCCTGAGCCAGGTATGTACTGCAAGCATTCCATGCACTTCCTGAATATTCTCAAGAACATGTTATAATATCTATACGTTTATAAGGTATCCGTAACTTAAACCATACCTCTCTCACACAATATCTCATGCTCTACTGTAAATATTTCATTATATTCTACCGTTTTTTAAATGCGCACTTTTCCTCCTATCTGGATGATGTTGTATTGTCTAAGTGGCAAATCATGTCGAGCTTTTTGAATATGCATCGAAAATATCGGAAATGCTTTTAAGTATCGCTTTCATGTTTTGACTACATCTGCTCATACGTTCAAATGTTGTATAAATCTTAACAATTACAATAAATGGTATCCGAATTGGCACATAGTAGAAGTCGGAGCTCCGGGTGCGGCCCCGCTGATGAGCGGGCTGCGACACGTGCAGGCGCCAGTCACTCGGCCTGATGCGCCAATCAACAACACAGGCGGCTTGCCTCCCGGACAGAATATATGCGAGGAGTGCGAACGACTCATCACGTAAGTCGGACGACTCGCGCGGGCCGACACGGTAGCAAACCTCGTTACAGGCTATTTGGGAAACAAAATTCGATTCTTATCGATATCCATTCGGTTCGATGTTTTAATTTGTACAAATGGCGCAATTCTTTGGTGTTTATGTTTTGTGTATCCTCTCATTTCCCTTCCCCTCCTCCAATCTTCATAGGATGGCTGCTTCGTTTTCAATTTAGGTAGTCCCCGAGTGAGACTTAGCTGGTGACTGTTCACCACGCAAAGTAACCGAATGTTGCGGGCCTCCAGAACCGTCTCACTTTTACTCGCGGGCGAGCGTGGCGCGTGCGGGTACACCGTGCAGCCTTCATCGCACGCATCGTTCCCGCTCGCGTACACCGCGTGTGATGAGCACGCCGCAGCCGGGCACAACGCCTCAGCCGCCACCAATGGCGCCGCGTGCCTCCACTGGAACGCAAACACCTGCACCGCCGGCAGAGCAGTTGGCGCCCGAACCGATGCACCGACCCAGCCTCCCGGTGGGCTGTCACCAGGCGCTGCCTGACGGTCGCGTGGCCCTTGGTGCACCCGCGCAGCCGCAGCCCGACGTTGGTGCGCTGCCCGTTGTCAACGACACCCCTTACTGCTCCGAGTGTAACCGCTACATTATGTAAGGCGCCTCCGGAATGCCTTGACGTGTTTGCGACCGTGTCGACCTGTGCACTAGTTATTGTATAGTAGATTAAAAAGTTGTTCGATGTCTTTTTTCTAGCTGCGGTTTCTTTGCACGCACCATTGTAAAACTATGAAAATGTTACCAGCGAAGGTACCGCAGCCTTATAAATACGTGCATATATCGTGTAAACGCGCTCAACTTTATACTTTAAAAAAAATACAGTATTAATGAATTCACGATATATGTGACTATTTACTTGACTATTTCATACGCATTCGTTGTATCATTTCATTGTATATTGTAATCATGGTCTTCACTGCACATTGTATATGGTAGTAGCTGAAGTATTTGTGCATATTGTACCAGCCAAAGCAGATATTACACACACCGCCAGCATGTCCGTTTCGCTGCATTACATATACCTACGCGCACCTTGTTGTCTTTGCCTGGCACACGTTCGGTTAGCACGAGCAATTTGGTGAGCATGCTTGTATATTTTAGAAAAATGAATGATACTGAAGCAAGTGATTCATCAGAAATTTTCGAATTTTATACTATGATGTTTATGTTTATTATCCATCTCTATAGTCATATCACTTCGACATTAAATTGAAGACAAAACAATGTTTGTTTACTTAATTCTCGTTTTTTTTCTATAGCGGTGTGTTCGTGCGCATTAAAGACAAAAACTTGCACGTGGAGTGCTTTAAGTGCTCGACGTGCGGTACGTCCCTCAAGAACCAGGGCTACTACAACATCAACGCCAAGCTGTACTGCGACATTCACGCTAAGCTGGTTGCACGCCAAAACCCGCCTGCGCCCAACCTCGAGCCGGTCACCGTGCCTCCGTATGTATTCATCTAAATTTGTGATCTATCATACGACTTTCGCATCTCTGTATAGGTATATCTATAGTAAATCAGATGAACCTAAATCGACTGTTTTTTGCAGTGGTAGTCGCGTTCCGAGCAACACTTATTCTACTCCGTTGCCACCCCTTGCCACAAACAACTACACAAATGGTTCGTCCTCTCTCTTCAGCGTAAGTACCTTTTAGAAAACTAGAATCCACTAGTGAAGTATTTGATTGTGCTATAGTGCCGACTTACAGCAAATGTTTCTTTCTGTTAGCCGTCAAGTAATTTGTCGGGGCCGAAACCATTTGGTTCGTCAATTGGATCAGCGTACTCGCCCTCGCTGTCGCCGCGGTCGGCGCCGTTGTCGCCGGCGCGTCCGGTGACAGCGCCAGCGCCCTACAATCCATCGGCGCTTGCGCCCGCTCCCGCGGCGCCCTACATGCCCGCAGCCGCACCTGCGGCACCTTATGCGCCCAGTAAGCGAGTCACTTTTGCTGTCTAGTTTTGTAGAGCAAACGTGAATGACATCAAAAAAGATCATACTTCCCGAAATTTTCTGTACACCTAAATATGATATTACAATTTTTTCGAGCAAAATCACACGGGCTGCACTTTCACAATATCGCGACTGCGAAGCAGTAGTTAGAATACAAATGGAAAACAGTTTGAATGCGGTCCGCTGTTTCGATGCAGTCACGACGCCTTCACAACTTCAGTTACCATGCACGAAAATGTAGCCAATCGACTAGGCATCTAAGCGTGAAGTACAAAGCTAGTATATAATTATTAATAAAACGCATTTACTTATTGCATTACATATAAAGAGCATATACCTCTACATTGCGTAATGAGTTTTTGATGTCATTTTAATTATTTAATTAGTAAGACAATAATTTTTATTCTAAAACGTGTAATGTCTTTCTATACATATTTCAGAGACTAAAGATGATTCTCTTTACTAGGTACTATTGTAAGAAAACTAAGCACTTAATCACTTAATAATAACTACTTCGCGTGCAATGGGACTTCTGAAGAATAATCACGAATTTAATCACTAGTTACTATAAAATTACTACTGGGTTAATGTATTCTGAATGGTAATTAACTTATTGTGAATTGTGTATTTAACAATTTTATTGTTGTAAGATGCCTGTTGAGGTCAGATTTCTTTCAACTTATTTTAAAATTACATAATTGGCTGTTTCAATATGCAAATTGAAATTATTTATTTTCGACAGACTGGGCAGGTTCCATTTTTAAAGGTAATAAAAAATGAACAGGATTATTTATAATAAGCGCTGTTGAGCTTATAGCTACTATAAGTTAGGTGTAAATGAATTTAGTGAACTATCAACATAACGTGAGTGCGCTACGCGAGCAGCCATTGTCAGTCGCAGCATTAAAATAACTATTTTCCTGGCACCAAATATCACGAGTATCATGCGTCATTTACTATGTAGGATATCCACAATTTCGTTTCGGATATTTAACATGCTTTTTAAACAATTCTTCGCAAATACGCTTACATTATTTTGTGTAGCTTTTTTCAAACTCACTAATGTTTTCTTTCATCTATTCTCTCCTCTCCCGTTGACTGATAACCCGTTAATTAATAAACTAACAGCAAAGAATGTCAAAAGCATCGTGTGGCCCCCACCGAATCCCCCGGAAGACGAACTCCCAAAGAGTGATTTAATCTCCGAAACTATTAGTGAAATACCCAAGGACATAGTACCGGCAAAAATAGCTTCTCGAATGGTCGCTGAATTTAATTCAAAGAGTGCTCCGCAGCAAACATCTGACGTGCAGCCAAAAATGATGCAGCAGTCAGTTTCCTCTATGGAACAAAGGCAAGAATTTTCATCAAGTGTTTCATACGCATCTGCAAGCATTTCTACAGCTACAGCAACATCTTCTAAATCCGAGTCAATAATGCAAAGTAAGCAATCTCAAGCAGTGCAAGAGATAAGAAGTTGCACTGTTCAATCTTTCTCTGAACAATCATCAGTTGAAAGTCAAAGTACAAAAATGTATCAATCTCAAACAAGTCCCCCTGTTCAAAAATCATACGATAATCCTATGGACGAAATCAAAACCGTTCAAATAAAGGAAAATATAAAACAAGAAGCAGATGTGCAAGTTATTCAACGAAGTCAGGATTTCAAGGCTGATCACGTAAAAGCAGTTGAAACACCCGAAACTACTGATGAGACCAAAGAAAACACTACAAAAGAAAATGTTTGCACAAAAACAGAAGAGCGACGTGAAAGCATCATAGATGATGTAAAGGAATCACTAAGTGGAAAATATGACATTACTAGTAAAGCAGAAAGTAACCTCGATACTGTTGAGCAACATACTGTCAGTGTTACTCAGACAGAAATAATAAATACTAAATTAGATCAACAAATTAATTTGCCCGATGCAGAAAGTACTGAATTGAAAGTTGCACAATGTGACGCGAAAAGCAAATCAATAACTGATCTAGTGGCATTAAATCACGAAGATGAGAGAAAGCCTTTGCCTGAACAACAAAACGAAATACCTCAAAATGTTTGTGCCTTAAAACAAGTTTTTGAGTCATCTAAAACACTGGTAGAAATAGATAGATCAGATATTCCGCCAATAAAACCATTGCCCCCAACTTCTATCCCTAATTCAATTCCTCGTGGTTTTGTCAGATCAATGGTAGATGCATTAACGACAGCTCCAGATAGGCCTTTTTCGCCTCTACCTACACCACCTCAGCCAATTAGTCTTCCACCACAATCTATTGCCGCAGCCGAGGCTGAAGTAATAGAAACACTTGTATTACCTGTGTCTTCACAAAGTATTCAATTGCCGCCTCAACCATCTCCAATATTTGCGCAGCAACCTAACCGAGGTATAACACCCATACCACCGATCAAAGCTTACAATCCACCTGAAAAACTAGTACCACCGATACCTATGCCCGAGGAAACTAAGCCTTATATACCACCAGATTTCAAAATAACCATAGAACCTAAGGTTCCACGAGATGAGGCAGCTTCACCTTTGGTCGAGGCTTTAAGGACTGTTCCCGATAGACCTTTCACGCCGGTAAGCACAGCCTTCATTGAGCGAGGTTCTTTAAAAGAGGCTCTTACTATTGCTCCTGATCGACCTTATAGTCCATTGCCTTTGAATATAACCAATGAGTCAAGTCAGTCTAGTCACTATACCGCGACGTCAACAGTGCAAATGCAGACTGCATTGTCAGAAATTGTGCGTCCTATTGCAACACAGACATCAACACAGATGACTGATGTCGTTTCCGAATTTTCTGCAATGCAAAACACATGCAAACTTCAATCTTCGTCTGAAGTATCTGCATTTAGGCCAGTCGCAAGGCAGGTCTTCCCACCTCCACAACCGGAAGAGTTCAGTATGCTTGCTAACCTTCCCCCAATAAGTGATGATATGAAAACCAGTTTTGAAAAGTTCCGATCACAACACGAAACAATGGTGTCTGAAACAAAAACAATGCAACAATCCACTGTAACGACTAGTAGTATAAATACTCAAGGATACTCTTCTGTTAAAATGGCACAAAGCTATTTTGAACAGTTGGATCAAAAAGAATCGTTATCCTCAACTTCCGTAAGATCGAAATCTGGTTTGAACAAACCAGACAAAATTCCACCTTACCAAAAGAATTTTGATAAGTTGCCTTCACAAAGAGGTATCACGCCAGAAATATGTAATGCTCCAGCCATACCGCAACGTCCCGTCACTCCGAGTACCGATGCCCCTAAACTAAGAGGCAAATCTCAAGAACCGAAATGTGAACCCGGATATACTATGTCGCAAGAAAAACAAACCTCTAAAATTCCACAAATCAAAACTGCGGTGCAGCAGCCTGCAGTACAGTTTCATAAAGATTCTACACCAATTACTATGACTTTCCAACCTGTAACAGATGAAAATATTTTAAGAATGTCCCCTGCTCGAAGTCGACCTACCACTCCAAGCTTAATTAATAAGCCTGCGCCTATAATACCATATTATCAAATGAATCTAGTTTCAGTAGAACACACAGCTCCCGAAACAAACTTGTATGATGTATCAAGTCGTGAAGCTAGCCGGTCCCCAACACCAAAGCCTAGGTCACGTTCACCAGCCCAAGGACCTCCACCGAATCCATTAAAAGCTCAAGCACCTAGAATTAAAGAAGCTACACCGCAACGCCAAGTCGCGCATTCACTTTTGACAAAAGCAACAGAGAATCTGAGAAAAGAACACGAAATGGGCCAAAAGGTATTTCAAACTGATTCTGACGCTTGCGGCATAAAAAATTGGTCGCACAATCAATTTCCAATGATACAGGAACAGAGACATTCTAATGTAGGATTCAAAAGTGAAACTCATAACAAGGGAGACATGAGATTACAAGAAGATTCAATGATTAATCAAAATTATGGCCAAAGGCAAATGCAATCACAGAGTATGTCAGAGTATGGAAATACCGTAGTACAAACCACAAGAAAGACTTTTGAAGAATTTGAATCAACTCAATCAGCTAAAGTTATAGAAATTAGAAAAGGGGGTTCGTTGTCATCAACTGCATTTCACCAGAATGAATCTAATAATATTCAAACTCACGTCAATGCTAAGCAAGTTTTTCCACCTCCTATCATGAGTATGCCAACTTCCCAGCAGAGCTCTATTAACGTAGCTAATGACAACATTGCCTCCGCTAGTAGATTAGTAGACAACCCTTCGACTTCTGGTGCTAACCAAGTTCCAGTGTGTGATCCTACCCCATCAACAGGTTCCGGTGTAGGGGCTGCCGGTCGTGGCAAAACATTTGGTGTGTCCTCGGCTCCAAAACGCGGAAGGGGTATTTTGAATAAAGCTGCACTGCCGGGCTCTCGTGTGCCTCTTTGCGCTTCCTGCAATGGAAATATTAGGTGATTCGATAACAAAATAGAGTTTACGATGTTGATTTGTTTGTGCGTGTGGCATGTACAAAATAAACTAGAGACAAAATAAAATATAGGCGAAATTTGTGGAAAGAGACGTAAATAACCCCTTAAACATTTGTAACATCTTTCCCAGGTACAGCTTTACAGGTATGATGACTGTCGAACATATTAACATGCTTTTAACTTGTGTTCATTTGAGTGTTTTGATTTTCTAACAGCTAACGAAACTCAGCTCTCGAGCAGTTCGAATAAACCAAAATTCAAGAGTCCAGCTGAAGAGAGATTAATCCGAAAAATGGCGAAGACAGCTTTAAACGGATATGAGATAGGCATACAAAGGAAAATCAAACCGGCGGACAACATACAGTCGATGGCGGAAAAAATTCAAGATACGGTCGTCACGAAGCATCCCTTGAATTCTGATAGTTTGTCGTCTGGTGAGAGCAGTCGAGAAAATACTTTAAGACGACCGCTACACAAAAACTTCGAGAGAGGTTACAATGCCATGGACAGCATTCAAAGTATTGGAGACAAAATCAAAGACACAATAATAAGCAAACATCCTGCCGGTGTTAACTTTACAAACGGGAATTCGTCTATACCACTTCCACCGCCGTTACCCACTTCTCCAATACCAACGTACGACGTTCACAGCACACCGATCGTAACCACGTCTATAAATGCTAACACAATGAAACAAACTGACTTTGCACCCAATAATCTGAATCATAATTTAGTACCTGACATGCAAATACACTCGACGATAAATAAAGAAAAACCCTATAATAGTAGCGGTTATTCAAGCAGCGATGATTCGAATAGAGAAAAAAATGATGACAGTTACACTAATACATTCCGAAAGGAAAATGGATTAGAAAAGGCTTCCTCAGACGGTATGAATATCCATTATATCCCGGATTATAAGCCCGATAAAAAAATCGATATAAATTGCTCAAATACACTGAAAAAAAGAAATTTTTTTGAAAAAATAGAAGCAAATAACGGTTCTAATGCACAAACAAAAAACGTTAACAAGGCAAATGATTCCCGTAATAATATGTTATCAAAAACAAATACGTTGAAAAAGCCAAGCATGTTTGAAAAAGATATTAAAATAGAAAATGGGAACAATATCTCAAAAGATGAAGAAGACGGAAACAAACAAGGACCACCTGCCAACTTACTTGACAATTCATTATACACTTTTAGAAGCAATGGTACTTCAAATTTGATCCAAGAACGAGATAAGGGTTTTGGAAAAGATATACAAAATGAGAAAGAAGTCCATAACGATTCCGAGTCAGAAGTAGCTGTCAAACATCGCCAGAAAAAAGTGGACAAAAATGATGATGGCCGAAGAGATTCATGCCTTATCGCTCGTCCTAAATCAACAATGACATTTGTCGATGTAGCGGAAGGAAACTATCCCATTTGCCACAAATGTGACAAAGCTATAACGAGGTAACATATTAGTATTTGATATTACAAATCAATTAAATGTAAGTTCAAAGTTTTAAGCATGAATCTGTAGAGTTTGCACGAGTGTTTTCAGTTTATTTCATTAACATAATAACAAAGATTTGATTTTCTATACATTTTTCTACAGAAATCTATTGCGAATTAGTTCAAATAATAAAAAATATTTCTTAATCGATTTTGTGATGAACAGGGGCCCCTTCATAACGGCTCTTGGCCGTATCTGGTGCCCGGAGCACTTCATCTGTACCACTCCATCGTGCAGGCGTCCCCTACAAGACATCGGATTCGTTGAAGAAAACGGACTACTCTACTGCGAGTACTGCTTCGAACAATATATCGCCCCAGGTTGCGATAAATGCCATGCCAAGATTAAAGGCGTTAGTATCAATTTCCGTCATTTGACCTCATAAATTAGAGGAATTTTGACAGATTAGATTACTAAAGGAGCACTTTTGAATTTCAGGATTGTTTAAATGCTATCGGAAAGCACTTCCATCCAGAGTGTTTCAACTGCGTATATTGTGGAAAGCTGTTTGGTAACAATCCCTTCTTCTTAGAAGATGGTCTGCCTTATTGTGAAGCAGGTAATTATCACAACTTTATACTCTTTTGTCTACAAGGCCTTCAGTCGCCTCGCCTTTAATTATCATCAATTTCAGTTTTAAGTGACGAAAAAAATAAATATGACTCATGACAAATAATTTGTACAATGTAGGTCAATGGTACAATGCAATAAATATTTTCAGACTGGAATGAGCTGTTTACAACGAAATGTTTCGCCTGCGGGTTCCCCGTGGAGGCGGGCGACAGGTGGGTCGAGGCGCTCAACAATAACTACCACAGTCAGTGCTTCAACTGCACGGTGCGTATGATGCGAGCCCTACTAAATACACACATACACATTCATATATTTGAAAATAACTGTAACATTATCAAAATTATCATATATAAAAGATACAAAGAAAAATCTAGCAATTTGTTTGTCTTTATTAATATTGAAAAAGTAGATAATAATTGGTTAATATTTGTACGGTATAAAATGGTCAAAACAAATCGAATAGGATGATTGATTAAACGGCTTGATATCTTTATACATTTTACGATTACATATGTCTTGTCATTGTCCCTTATAACATAACCACAATTTGAGACTACACAAATTCGATTTGCATTGGTAACGTCTTCCTTAACATTTTTTCATCGTATAACCGACTTGCAAAATAATGTTCTTTCAGTTAATTCATCAGCATCATGTTTTTTCCAGTGTCGCTTTAAGTTCTCAATTGGCCACACATATAAAAATATAATGTTTATTATTTTATGGAGTAGGTAAGGTGTTACCTACTCACGTATTAGGTAGTACAAAGCTCCTCATACGCTGCCACACTGTGTTAAATTTCCCTTTATTAACAATATGTTGTGTGTGTGTCCCTCAGAAAGTGTGACTCTTAAGTTATTAACATTTCGTAATACGTTTAATATTATATTCCAAATGAAACTCCCTAAGATACAGGAAGTTTTTGTACATGATTGTCCCAAACCGCTGCTGTTTGAAATGCTTTATTTTTATGTAAGACATAATGTAAGACTGAATTTATGTTTGCGTGATTGATTATTTATTATATAATGATAAACATTTTGAGTAGACATGTTTTGGCTATTTTATCTGTGATATTATTATATTTATTGTAAGTACGTATATGCAATAACAGCAATAAAGGTTTGTGTGTTTTGGTTAATGGCTGTCTTTTTTGGAAGATATCCAGTGTTTAAGCTCATTAATGTTAATATTTTTTTCTTCCAAAACGGTCAGCCCGGAAACGTTGAGACTTGAAAAAATTTTAAAGTAGAATCTAGTTTAAAACACGTTTAAAATAACTTATATTTAAATTCGACAAAAGAGCTAACCAGCATCAAAGATCATTGAATTTAATTTTCAGGTGTGCAAGAAAAACCTCGAAGGACAGAGCTTCTTCGCAAAGGGAGGTCGACCTTTCTGCAAGTCTCACGCCCGCTAGTTGTCCCCACCATCAGATAATATACAACTCTGACACTGTTTATTCGACTTCTACTTTCCGCCCGGTTTCTCCATTTCTCAACATGCCTCCAACCGGGCCCACACATTCCTCACCACAAAGAACGAGGAAATTGGAAACGCCTCTCCACTTAGATGGAGGGTTGTTTTCCGATATTAGAAGCGCTGACGGTAAACTATTGAGCAAAGTGACCATAGACAGAGTTCACAGCTCCACACGCCACGACGTTACTGACGAACCTAGCGTGTACGAGAGCACGGGCTTGAACGGAAACAAGGACTTCGTAGATGATCTTGTGAAAACCGAAACCATAACAAATGAGGACGTCATTAAAGTCAAGTTTACTCCGATTCCCCCTGAGTTAGACACTCCGCGTTTATTAACCCCATCGCAGTTCGTGCAAGTTCAGACTAACGTAGTAAAACCTACTGTTGAGTACATCAAAGATAATTTCGAAGATTTACAAAGTTATAAAATTGTAAGCTCTTTATATAAAGAAAACAAATTTGAATCTGGTCAACAGAATATAAGGGAGAGAAGTTTCGACACTCTGAGTATTAGCGAGCCCGGCAAAAGAGCTCCTAGTCCACTAGCTAACGTCTTTGTTTCCGAACAATTGACTAAGATAGACAATTACTTGCAAGAGAGTTTGAATGCTTGTTCCACGGGGGATAATAAAGGGCGATTCACACCAGTCTTGGGTGCTGGGGAGACTAAATTGGAAACTGCAGGAACCCAAAGAAGCGAATTGTTTGAGGAGAAAAGGTATTTTTACGAAACAAGTTCCACAAATACTCCGATTGATTTGGCAAGTCAACAAATTGGTGAAAGAACCAGTGTTAACCGCACTAAACCTGTTATTACAAATTCGGGAACTTCTCTTCAAGAAGATGTAATCAGAAGGAAATCCACAATAAACAGTGTCAAAGAAAAACAACCGGGAGTTATTAGTGCTATTTATAATATGCCAATTCATTACCACGCCGCGATTTTATGTTTCTTATTAATTGTATATAATCTTGTGTATCAGTACATTAAGCACAACTGTCATGGTAATAAGAAATGAATAAAATGTTATTTAATCAAAATTATAAAAATTATTTTATAGTAAATGTGTATACATATAAAACTAGTCAATGAATTTATAAAAATAAATATGAAATAAAATATAATCTTTTTTTGGAAATTTTTAATCAGTGTTGACTTCGTTTCTTTGTACCATGTAAGAAGATGTAAATAATTAGTTTCAGGGTCACGTAATTAATTAATCTGCTGTCTGTGTACCGATAATAATTTCTGATTAACAATTTGGTGCTTAACATTACCAACTACAAGCTGCTCGCAATATTGTGATATTTCACATTTTCCTCTAATTTTAATGCAAGGCTTTGTATACAGCTTCCGGAATGTTGCCGTACACTATTACTAACAAAAACAGTAGTTAGTAATGATTACAAGTTATTATGGGGCTGAAATTAAAAAGAAATGTTTGGTGCACCAACTGGGTACATTAAAAGTATTTTTGTCTATTTGGAATTTTTATCAAACACTTGTATTGTGTTATGTAAACTGAAATGAAATGAATGATTATGATACGATTTGTAATTTTTCAACACTTTTTATTTACTGTTCATAACTTTTACATTAAAATAATAACTTTTATGTTAAGACCTATTTATTTAGAGTTACTTTATTGCGATTAGCATATATAACGTATAGGAATATGTCGGCTTAAATAAAATATTTTATTTTATTATATTGTTTTATTCTTAAAGGTAAGTATGTACAACAAGAGTTGAATAATTATATAAAAAAATCTAATAACTTGTTTAAACAAATAAGTGTCAAGTTGGTGTCAAGTGACAAAACCTCGACTTTCTAGTACCGTGAAATAAATTAAGAAAACTTGCTCAGGGCGGCGAAATTATGTCGGTGAACTCGGCAATCCCCGAAAACTACTGTGACATATTTGAATACAACAACGTTGTGTATTGGTCTCCAAGAGCGATGCCGCACGGGCGTTGCGTCGTTGTTGCGTCGTCGCACCGCAACACCCCTCCTCGCTTCGTCTCTGGCCCCTTGTACGTTGCGCTCGCATTCCGTCACTGCGCGCTGCTTCAACGCACTTTGTGGTATACCGTTCTCATCTAAATGTAGTGCAACGCCGTTGCGACGACGTACAGTGGGCTCAAATTGACAATTCTTGGATATAGGAATAACTTGTGGAGTACCGAGATAATTTTTTTATGTGAAAGATAATGACCTTCCTAACAACTTTTATTCTTGTATAATTTCTAGAAAAGTTGATAAGTTTCAGAGAAACAAAATAACCATTTTTTTGTATGGAGAAATATACATTTTATTTTTTATCTCAAAATAACTTCGACTAAAGAAAAATTAATTTTAGTGTAATTTAGAGAGTGTTATAACAATAACACAAAAGTTAAGTAGAAACACAATATACTAGTATATTGTGTTAAAAAATTTTGACACCTTTTTACTCGTAAAGCCGCAAGTACCTGCAGTTGGATTATTTTTTTTCTTTATAGAAAATGATTGGGCCTATACAATAAATAAACCACACTCATTAAATTTTCCTACATTAAGAGATAAAAAATAAAATGAAATTAAATAAGAATAAAAATTATTAGAAATGTTATTAACTATCACATAAAAAAAAATTAGCTAGCACAAGTTATTCCTATGTCCAAGAATTATCAATTATTATTTAATCTTGGGAACAATTTTAGGAATACGGAGCTGATTTTTTTCATATGATAAATAATAACATTCCTGATAACTTTTATGCTTATGTAATTTCTTGAAAAGTTGATTGTTTCAGAGAAAAAACTTTTAGTTTTTTTGTTTGGAGAAATAAACATTTTATTTTTTATCTCAAAATGTAGAAAAATGTAATGTGTGTGGTTTATTTGTATAGGTCCAATCATTCTCTATCAAGAAAAAAAGAATCCATCTGCAGGTACTTACGGCTTTACGAGTGAAGAGGAGTCAACATTTTAGATTTGTTATTTATTTATTAACACAATATACTAGTTTCTACTTAACTTTCATATTATTGGTATAACACTCTAAATTACACTAAAAATATTTTTTTCTTTAGTCTTTTCTTTAGTTTAGTTAGCTCATGTATTTTGTTAAAAAAGTACATAAAACAGTTAGCAATTTTGTTGCACCTTTACTTATAACGCCGCAAGTATATGCAAACTTATTATTTTTTTCTATATAGAAAATGATTGGAACTATACTGTAAGTAACCCACGCACATTACATTTTCGTATTTTTTGAGATAAAAAATAAAATGTATATTTCTCCATATTGAAAAAAAAAAATTCTCCGAAACTATCAACTTTTCAAGAAATTCAGAATCATATAAAAAAAATTAGCTAGATACTCCATAAGTTATTACTACATCCAAGTTTTATCCATTTGGGCCCACTCTGTGCGACGCAACGCCCGTGTGGCATCTACCTAAATAAGACACTGAATAGGGAGTGTGAGTAGCTTAACTTACATTACCGCGGAAAGAAATGGGAGCTATTTTTTAGTACATAGTTTAATATTCTATGTCAATTACGTTACATACGTACAAATTAGATAGGTACGACAAGGGATGCGAGAATTCTCGAGAATGCGCCAAAATACTCTGAAAGATGCGCGACCTTTTTCTTGGCTCATATCTAGTTTGTACGTAAAGGCGAGTACTCATTAGCGAGTTGTAAACGTGTCTTGTGTGGGATACAAGCAACCGGCAAGTATACCTAAGAAGCGAATATTATATATATAATTGAGACGAAATCGACACATCGCCGGTTGCTGCAACCGCAATTTGTAGTCGTAATTTATGTTCGCTTTTAATTGCCGGTTGATTGTAACCAACACAAAACACATGTTTACGCGGCGCCTTACACAATTAACATAAATTTGATTATTTTCAAAACTTTCATGGTTATTCACTAAAAGATTATCACATCAGTAATTACAGGTTTCTTACATCAGGAAAATAAAATGAAATTATACCGTATTGTAAGAAACCTGTAATTAGTGATAATTATTTATTACAGTTCATTACGCTATGTAATATCTCATTACAACATACCCACCATGACCATAATGGGGTATATGAAATGTGACGACTCAAATTAAAAATTAAGTCCGTCTGCTGTTAAAATTGAATTACTGTCTACACTGGAATAAACTCGTTATGATGGCACCATTCTTCAAACTCAAGTATCATTAGCACCTATTAGCTTAGATCTGATTACACCGACAGAATTAGTAAGATCCAGTTGCTCAATAATTAATTTCATTGCTCCTTTGTTTATATGTCAACAAACAGCCTTTATTAAAAAAAATATTGTGACACATAAAGACTCTAATAACATTCAGTTTATAATACAAGCAAATTAGCAAAGAATATAATGTTACTTTTGCCTAATGAAGGATTTCTCTTTCTTCTCTGATTTTTGATCAACTGACATATCAGTCGCATTGGGCTCCTGGCCTACCTAAAGCAAGTATTAAACAATTCAACAATTACCATTCTATGTGACTACCACAACTTTAATACACAATGCATTTCAAACCTGTTGGGTACTATTCTCTACAGAACCAGGATTTGTTTTTACAGGATCAGGGCTGTTCTTTGTAGGGGCGGGAATTTCCGCATCCCAGGGTCCTTGTTCCACCCCATGCTCATCACCGAAAAATATCTTTGCAATCCTTAAACAAAAGTTTTAAATTTAATATGTATCAGGGATTTAAAGTAATTATGATAGAACAAAATTGATTAAATATTTTCTAGAATAGTATTTATGATGAATAATAGGAATGAAATGAAGAGAACAGAATAAATGATTTAATTCTATTCTAATGAAATTAACTAATAATAATAATAACGCGCACACACTGATAGCCTCACACTAAGGAAATCCTGTATTGCGGGTCCCATGGACACATACATAGACAACCACAAACTACACCCAAACTCACGACGTGGTACACTTTTACATTTTTGCCAGGTTTCCCACTTAGTGCTATTACAGATTTTTGTGGGTTAGTATTGTGGGAGTACTGGATCAGAGAGTGCTTATGTATTAAATTTTGAATTTTGATGTTGCAGAACAGATGGCTTATCTTATGGAGAACATATACAATGCATATAGGTCTTTATATGAGATACCGAAAAACAGACCGAACAAGTGATGTGGCTAGTGTTAAGCAACACGCATGTCCATAGCATTTGCATTGCTACTCAGAGCCTTAAATCACAAAGATCTGAGGGATATTTGCTACTGACACTTGCTAGTGAGAGATCAGTGGTTAAATTAAAAATTAATTAGTTAAATAAGATACCTGCAAATTATAATATTGTCACCTTACTTTTTTAATCTCGTATCTAAAAGCAGAACGTTACTGAAATGCAAAAAATGGATTGTATATACAAATTTTGCAGTAGATTTCATATCACATTTCCTTCATATTTACACACTAACTTTAACCTATTCTTAAAGTAAAGCATCCAAATTAACACCCTTGGTAATAAATTTAAAATAAATAGAAAGTTTGCCATCTCCTGATCAATCACTCTTTGTTAGATACGAGTTTGAGAAAGTAAGGCATCAATATGTTATTGCTAGTTATATGTATAATCACAAATTTTGATGATAAAAGGGAATTGATATAAGAAACTTGTTGTATTGTAACAATAATTTTTATTGACAAATTGACAAGTAACTTTACACTTTAGAAAGGAAAATACAAAGATTGCAGGTTTGGTAAAATTAGCCAATTGCTACCATTTTGTCCAAATAAAATGTAACAGGAAAATTAAACGAGGATAGCACTTTGAAGAGTTATTGAAAAATTTGTTTTGAAAAATTAAACATTAGACAACAAAATCACATATGTTGCTCTAATCCCTAATTAACTAAAGCACTTGTGTTATGGAAATCGGAAACAAGGACGGTATCACAAGCACCCAGACCCAACAATATAGAAAAGTTAGTTTTTTCCGCATTGATCCCGCCGGGAATCGAACCCGAGACCTCAGAGTGTGAGTGTGTGTAAGTTACTTGACCACGGCGATCGTAAGGTATTAACTTACCTTTTCCATTCAATTCCTATTCCGATAAAGGTAAATGTAAGAAAACCCTGCCACAATACTGTTACTAAAGCTTCTGGTTGCCTCTTGTGTCCAAAATTTTTGTATGTTCTAGTGTTAATAGCTGCCATTGGTTTTAATACACGTGATAGCATTATAAAACTAAATTCGTTTCAGGAAATTAACAAAATTAATCACATATATTTAATTTGGGAATCGCATTGAGGTTAGGAAGTTGTTTTGGTAGTTTGCTTTGACATAAAACCTGGTTTTTTTTAAATTTATTGCTGGCCATGGAAACAAAGAACTTCAGCCGAAAACATAAACGTTTAATTATATTTCTGTAAATATGGCCACCACAAAGAGGATAGGCAATTTGAGGCGGCGTGTTTGGATTGACTCGGGATTCCTTAGAACGGGCCGATACGGGTATTTTAGTTCGAGATTCGTATAATTTCGCGTTTTAATCTTCGATTAAGGCACAATAGCACTATCCTATTCCACTTTAAACTACATTTCACAAAATAATTGAAAGTCAAAATAAAAACAACAATTTTCCCTCCAAAAGGCCCAGAGCGAATCCCACATAAAACCTGCAACCTGCAATGTTACCACATAAAATGTTTAAAAAAATTCGTTTTTGTGTTTCGCGGCAACCGTTCGGCCACGTACAGGGTCAAGAGCACGTTAAGCTTTACACTTAAGACTTAAAGACTCTCGATCTCCGTTCGACATCCGTCCGAAACAATTAATCGACACTTTTCGCGAAATACATAACATATCGAGATGTACAACCCCTTATAAGCGGTTTTATAGTATCTTATTTAGTTTCAGTTTTATTGTTAAGCATAATCAAGGTTATAGACATTTCTTTCTGGTTTTACTAACAATAAACATCGCAAAATCTATTGTGATACTTATGTTTAGGAACCACGACGTAACTAAAATAAAATACTAAGCATAACTAACGTATTTATCACTTACGATGATTATAACTAGTGACATCAAATTTTTGTAGCAATACGTACGCAACATTAATTAGGTACCAAAAAATCAAATACGATGGTTACGCTTTGGAACACATCGGTAGTATAAAAGAAAATACTAAGTACAATTAACGTATTTGCCACTTATGATGGTTATAGCTAGTGACATCAAATACTTTTAGCTTTGCGTACGCAACAATAAACAAAAACGTACGTTTAGATTTATTCAAAATTGTAACCTATCAAAACTAAAACAATCAGTACATAAAGATTTTTTTGTCATCCCGCAAAATCCTAACGTAGGTACTTTTTTGTGATGAAATATTAGTTTCCGATAGTGAAAATGGTGATTCAAAGAAATTTGATGCGTTCAATGATTCAGATGGCAGTGTTAAAGGTCAAAATTATATTCCTGATGCCGATTATAACGAAAGTAGCAGTTCTGATGGTGAAAATGTGAAACCTACGTCGCTGAGCGGTAGTAAAACAAAACAACAAATAACTAAATAAGAGGCCAAAACAGCACATACGAATTTAGCATAATGCAAAAAGGGGTAAAAAGAAAACAATTTACGGAATAGAAGAATAGAAACGCGAAAAATACGTGGCAAATAATTGAACCGGAAAAAATTACAAATAACTACAAAAATACGAAGACAAAAAAATATATAGAACGCTAAAAACTTGAACTAGGAGAAACAACAAAAGTCTTAACTAATTAGAACAACGACATTGAAAGGACATAAGATAAAACAAACAATATAAATTATTAGCGCAACGAATATATTAGACATGCTCCCTGCATGTACCTTTTGCGGCCATTTGGAATGAAACTATATCCGGTAGGAACCAGGAAGACATAGTTTCTGCTTTTCGGGCCTTCTTTGTAAATAAAAGAGATTCTGAAAATGTCACTTTGTGACTGGATAACTGCGCGGCGCAAAATAAGAACTGGACATTGTTTACATTTTTAGTTCAGATTGTTAATAGTAATTTAATTGCAACCCAATCAATTACCCTTAAGTATTTTGAACCAGGTCACACCTTTATTTCCGCCGACTCTTTCCACCACCAGGCAGAACTGGCTTTGAAGACTTAGTTTGAAGAAGATGGACAAGGTGTACGACTTTTTTAATTTCGTGGAGTGTGCTCGGTCTACGAATACAAAAAAATTTCGTGAAAGTCGTGGATGTATCACATTTCTTTTACTTTCATGATTATGCATTACAACACAAGCTACGAAAATAGGTACGAGTCGCGAATATATTTAAAGGATATAGTGGTAGTACGGGTTGTGAGAGGACATTACTAATTAAAATAGTATAAAAGTAGTTATTATAACCAAGAATTCCAAACTCTAGATTTCTTGCAGACTAAGATAATAAAGTTACAAGAATTCCCAGAAGTTGCCGTTAAATTAGAACCAAGGGATATTAGTGTAGAAAGAAAGGAATCCATTACTTCAAAGCTCTTGCCTCTAATGCCCGAATATAGAAAATCATCAATCATCATGTCAATAACTTCCGGCAAACAAATGGTCGTGTACCAATCACTATTCACGGTACAACGATTCTCCAAAGCAACAGTAGCCACCTGTCAGTTTTAATAAAAAAGAAGCAATCATCCAATTAGTGGCACTTTGCACGCGCGCCACTTTGGTTGTTTTTGGCTCATCTCGAAAGACCCATACGCTCGATTGCTGCTTTGTTTTGGGATCGTAACTATAAATCCATGTTTCTTCACCTGTTACTATGTCCCACACCAAATTTGACGTTTGTGTAGTATTGATTGTATATGACTCATGCTTGTGCCTAAAGATGCCCGAATCTCATAATATGTCACATGCCTGTCTGTTTTGATCATACGTACGTACAGAATCGATGTTTTTGTTGTTCACAGCAGTGGACGGGCGACCATCACGAAATTCGTCACTGAGATTCACACGATCGCGTTTGAATTCTGCAAACCAGCTATCAATAGTCATCTTGCATAGTGCTTCATCACCAAAGCAGTTTGAAGCCGAGCGAAACTCCGTTGAGCTGTTACATTACACTTAAAGTCGTAGAAAATCATACTACAAAAATTTTCACGAGTTAAATTTTCAAATGTTGTAATTACTTTTTAAATATTGTTTATGTAAGTGGCTAGTTCCCGAAACTCATAGTGCGCCCTATGTAAGCATATATATATATATATATCATACTACGATGTTACTAGTCATAAATATCACATTTGCTTCATTTATGTTAGTTATGCGTAGTAAAGGCTTCTCCAGGTTCACTAGTCATAAGTTTTTGGAGATTTTAAGTACCTACTTACTAAAATATAATTTACAAATGCATTGTCATAGAAATAAAAATTATGATCATAGGTACCCAACAAAACTAAAATAATAAAAATATGACTTTTCGAAAGTATAAGAGGAGACAAGGAGGGCAGAGTAGTTGAGTCAACATAACCTTTTCGAATATTGTACTTAAAGTTGGTAGAATTGAAATGGGTCCATAGTTACAAGGATCAATTACTACCGCTTTTGAATAAAGGAATAACCTTACTGTAGTTCATCAAATTGGGAAAAATATATATGCCCTAGAGATCTTCAGTTTTTTTAACATGTATACATTTAATCAATGATGTCTTTTGACTTAACGCGACGAAAATTAAATACACTGCCACAAACTTTAACATTTTTCTTTAGGAGATCAGTAGCAAGAGATATATAACAAGCCCTCTCCGTGTCCTATAATTGCAGGCGACATAAATATTAACATCCTTTCTGACAGTGGCAATGCACATCTGGAAGCAAGCAGTAGATACCTGTGTTTACTTGCCGAACTAGACTTAATTCCCACTATCAACAAACCCACTAGAGCAAATTCTTGTCTGGATCATGTGCACGTTACGTCAGGGCATCCCGCTATTGGAGTTGTATGTCGATCTGATGTCACGTGTACGGACCATCTTCTAGTTGCAACAGGTATCTCTCTTAAAAGACGCAACACAAGAAATATAAAGCGTTTTGTAAATAATGTTGACTACGACGAAATCGTCAAAGAATTAAGCAGTACCGAATGGACGACGGTTTTAAACAAATATTCTGTAGAGGATGCGGTTTCAAACTTTTATGGGTATTGTTTTAGACATTACAAAACGAAACACCTCCCAGATCTTTGAAAGTCGTTCTAAATTCGCATTAAAACCGTGGATGACCCCCGGCCTTATCAGATGCTCCAAGCAGAGACAATATGATAAAAGAATGTTACAAAGCTTTCAAACAAAAAGCTTTGGAACACTTACAACTGAATCCGAAGTATTTCTGGAAGTTTTCTAAATATCGTAAGTCCAATGCGTCCACCATACCTCACAAAATGTTTCTGGGTAACTCTTCTGCCACGGGTGGTCAAAGTATATGTAACCTTTTTTCAAAACATTTTCAATCTATTTATGGCATTCACAATCCACCAGATTTAAGTAAATATAAAATCAGTGCCTACCAACACAGTTTTTCTCTCGGTAATGTAATAGTTTCTGAAGATGAAGTACTCAAGTGTCTTAATTGTCTTGATGGTGACAAAGGGCCAGGACCTGATATGATACCGCCACGCTTTCTTTGAAGCTGTGCTGAAGTTCTGTACAGACCACTTTGCATAATCTACGATAAGTCCTTGCAACTTGGTGTTTTCCGTGGTAGATGGAAAATAGCACACATTACGCCTATACACAAAACGGGTCGTTTGGAAGATATAGCCAACTACAGACCAATCTTAATTTTATCAACAGTTGGCAAAATTCTAGAATCGCTCATACAAAAAAAAATTACTCTCATGTTAAAACCATGATTGATGCCAACCAGCACGGATTTTTGCCACATAAATCAACTTCATCAAACTTGGTGTCATTTGTATCGGATATATCGAATGTTTTGGATGGGGGCGGTGAGGTGCATTCGATTGACACCGATTTCAGAAAGGCGTTTGATCTGGTGCATCATGATATTCTTCTGTACAAGATGGAACCGATGGGAATTCACGGATCGCTACTAAGATGGTGCGAATCTTACATACACAGTAGATCTCAGTTGGTGGCAGTTTCTGATTTTAAATCTGAACTGCGTTTGGTGCCATCCGGTGTGCCACAGGGCTCTAATCTGGGTCCACTATTTTTCCTAATGTTCGTTAACAATATTGCTTTTTCATTGAGTTCGAAATTTAAAATGTATGCTGACGATTTAAAGCTATACAGAGCTGTCAACTCACCCAATGACGCCCAGCTGCTTCAAGATGATCTTAACAGAGTGCATTGATGGTGTTGTGATAACGGAATGGTCCTAAATACAAATAAATGTTACCACATCAAATTTACAAGGCGTCAAAAACCATCAATTGTCACTTATTTTATCGACCATACGCCCTTAACGGAGGTTACCAGTGTTCGGGATTTGGGTGTTGTCCTAGATGCCACCCTAAGATTTAGAAATCATTATGACTCTATTATCGGTAAAGCTTCATGGTTAACGGGTTTTGTGTCTAGACAAATGAAAATTTTTAAAGAACCAGCAATATCTATTTTAATTTATAACAGTTTAATACGTAGCATATTAGAATACTATTCCACTGTCTGGAACCCAGGTTACCAGGTTCATTCATATAGGATTGAACGTGTACAAAAACGTTTCCTCTATCATCTAACGTATAATAATTTTAAATGTAAGCAGTTATTTTCACATGAGTCACGTCTCTCTTATTTTAATATTTCCTCATTGCAAAAGCGCCGAAAATTCAAGATTATTCATGGTTTCATCGACGCTCCTGATATACTCGAGTGCTTGTATCTATCTGTACCTCGTCCCGGAAGTCGCCTAATCAATCGTAAAACTTTCGCACTCCCTACTTGCAGAACCAACCTTGGTCAACACAGTCCAGTGTATCGCACGTGTTCTTATTATAATGCTATCAGATATGATTTTGACATATTCTCTTGTTCTGTGGTCTCAGCTAGAAACTCAACAAGAAAATGTATTATATAGTGACTGCGCGATGAATTTTAGTTGTTTGTTTCCTATTATTCATGAATAGCAGATATGTAAATCTTAATTTACTATATTTTGTTTAAGCACTTTGTTTTAAATACGAAACGCTGTGTTCACATCTAGAAGGACACACTCTTCTCGCCTTATAATGTTAACCAATCTGTTGTATTTGATTTAAGAGTTGTATCCAGTTTTGTGAACCGAATAAAAAAAAAAAAGAAAAAAAGAAACGATTAGACTTTTCTGTTGTCGTGTTTTCTAGTTAAAATGTTGGTTAGTAATAAGTATACTGTTGTTGTTAAAATCCTTAAGAACTTATTGATGTCAAAACAAAATATAACGTAACTATGACGGCATGTCAAATAAATTGTAAATTTACATTATATGTATACATTCTCATTATGACAAGTGCCTAGATTGGAGCAGTACGGGAATGCACTTAGCAGGAATAAAGTTCATTATGCTTTGTATAAATAATACTGTTACAAAAATTCGTTTCCATTCCGTTCTGCCGCAATATAAATTGAGCCTAAGGATTCTAGAATTGTGAACGCAGTCTATGTTATTTATCGTCAAAATTAAAACACCAACCTTCGTTACTTAATATCACTAAATATAATAATTAAAAGGCGGTCTTATATAACTAAACAAAAACAAATTACTTATATTCCGAAAGAACAAAAATACATCATTCACTTATCGGGGCTTATTTACAAACGAGGGCGACATAAATCACATTACATTTTAAACTAATTAATGACTTATCAATTATTTACATAATAAGTAAAAATTTAAAAAGCTAAATAATTGGAGTCACTGAAAAATTAAATCAAAAGTGCAGAGGTAATACCTAAATAAAATTGAGTTACTAAACTTAAATAATATTTATCTATAGAAAAATCTAAGTTAAACCCAATACATTTGAGTTGAGGTGAAACAAAAAATGGGCGGGATATTCAAACAGTAGTAGTGCAATATTAAGAGGAGATTAAAACGTATACCACAACATAAGTCCTTACTTTGGAGTGACACATTAAGAAATGCGATTAATAAATGCATCGGGTTTAACTGTTTAACATATAAGTAAACGTCGTTATTTTACTCCAAAACGTATGTATATATAATATGCGTGACAGTTAACTTCAATCCTCGAACTTGATGGAGTGGACGCCAGTGTCGATGGCGCCACCGCGATACGAGCCTCTCTTCTTCTTCGTTTTCTCATGTTTGAATGACTTGCCACGAGTGTGTCTTAAGTCTTGATTCGCTCGCTCTCCCCAAGACCCGCGGGCTCCGCTCTAAAGAATATAATTTCAATAAATATATGCAATGAAACATTTACATTCAGTGTATTTATTTAACTATGATCTTAAGCTGGTTTTCTACCGGCGAGGCGAGACGAGAATCTCGCCGGCCTATTTCCACCAAAAATTACCATTAATAGATCGCCCGAGCCATCAAGTCTTCGCGCTGTGGTTGTAACATTCAGAGCTGTTCAGTTTGTCCAGCGATAAACACACGGCTGTAGTAACATGTCCCGATTATTATTATTATTAATATGTTAAGGGCAGAAGAATCAGATCAGCCATCTTACTTTAAATCTCAATTTCTCAAATTCTCAATCTCGCGATTAACATTAAAAATGATGAAATGAAATTGTGGTTCCGTTGTACAGTATAAGGGTGCGTTCAACTTAGTCGCTGTCAGAAAGAAGCGCTGCAACTGCGCGGCGGCCGCGCAACTGTGGCGCTGCTGAAGTGCGACCAAATTTTTAGTGATGTTTTATCTTTCGACTCAGTTACGCGATGGATTATGACGAAGAAACATTACTTTTACCTAGTTCTTGGGGCACACACTTTATATATAGGTATTAAAAATTACTCACTTACTATGTTTTATTCAGTTGTAGTTTCAGTTTCAAAATTGTTAATAAATTTTAGACATAAATTTTCCAATGGACTTTTTTTATTCAGTCGATTGAAATCGGAACTGCTGTCCCATATTGCAGGCTGTTGTTTTACATTCTCTATAAATTCTTCAATTCGATTTTTATCCATCGTGGTTAACTACACCTCATTAACCGTGACTGCAACCGAGCGTGAGCGTGAGCGTGCGGTTGCAGCGCTTCAACAAAAAGTATGAAAGTAGCAACGCAAACAAAGCAACTAATTTGGACGCGCCCTAAGGGCGCAGGTCGATTGTAGTCACTGTTAGTGAGGTGTATAATTATGTTAATTTTTCAAATTAACCACGATGGATGAAAATTGAATGAAAGAATTTGTAGAACGCAATAAGGGACAGCAGTTCCTGCAGTTACTCCAATCGACTGGTTTAAAAAAGGCACGGGAAAATTTATGTCTAAAATTTATTGACAATTTTGAAACTGGAACTACAACTGGAAAAAACATAGTAGGTGAATAATTTTTAATACCCTATGTGTGAAGTGTGTGTCCAAAGAAATAAGTAAAAGTAATGTTTCTTCGTCAGAATCCATCGTGTAACTGAGTCGAAAAATAAAACATCACTAAAAATTTGGTCGCACTTCAGCATCGCGATTTTCGCGCAGTCGCCGCACGGATGCAGCGCTTTTAACCGCCGCTAATTTGAACGCGCCCTTATACTCTAAATAGGCAACACGACGGTTCAATTTTACATCAACAAATATTTCAATTCTTGCCTCGCCCATTCTCGTCAATACATCGAAGGTGAGCCAGAAGAGAATTGAAATTTTGCCATGCAAATTTCAATCCTCGTGTCGCCTAGCCGGTGGAAAAGTACCTTTACTGTGATTTAAGTTGTTTTTTCACCCTAGTGCCAATACAAAACTTACCTATTTAATCAAATACTATTTTCTTGTTTTGAGAATTATCTCCTCCCTCAAAACTTTTTCGGTCATTAAATCCTCCTCTTTTGTTGAACCCTCCCCGGTCTCCGCCCCACGAGTGCCTGTCACCATGTCCACCCCGGTTGCCCCCTCTACCGCCACGGCCTCGGTCGAAGCCCCCTCGTCCACCACGTCCTCCCCTTTCGCCCCCGAATCCTCCGCGGCCTCCCCTTTCGCCCCCGAATCCTCCGCGGCCTCCCCTTCCCCCGCGCCCTCCCCTATCATTGAACCCCCCACGCCCTCTGAATCCACCACGGCCTCTATCATTGAATCCACCACGTCTATCATTGAAACCACCCCTCCCCCTGAAACCACCTCCTTGCCAGTTGCCAGACCTATTGCCATCAGTCTCGTCTTCCCCATCATCATCGGCATTTTGGCCCTCCTAAGTAAAGAAAGGAAGAGCTTAATAAAAACCAAGACAACCCTATGTAAGGACTGTAAGTAAAATAGTAAATGCCCAAAATTTTACTAAGGCACCAGGCATATCAGTTCTGATTGAAAATAGATTTTGTTACTAGTCATGACATGGAGTCGCCTTGGTTTCTCAAACTTTGGGGCATTTACCTTTGCGTCAAAAGAATTATCCTTTAGCCTAGGATCAACATCCACTTTATTGGGGTCAACTCTCTTGAATGGGACTGCTTTATTGTTTGGTTCATTTTTCTCATTTGGTGTTGATGAATGGTTTGTCTCCTAGAATTCATTGGACATTGTGAACTTTTCAGTATAAATATGGTAATTTAAATGACTAAAACATGCTAAATAATGATATACTAAGAATAAAAGATTGAAAAATGTCGTAAATTCATCAAATAGGTAACAAAATATTAATATGTATAGTAACCTTTACAAAATTGCTGTAAGGTTTCTTAGCTTGAGGAGTTCCATCAGATTCCGAAGCTTTCCTTTTCTTCCCAGCTTTAAATCCATTCTGAAACAATACACACAATAAGTAAATAATAATTTCTCACAATGAACCTCTTACACCAACATGGTAGTTGTAATAAGATTTGTGAATTCACCTGTTGGAATGAATTATCTTGGGGTTTCTTAGCAATTTTAGCTGCAGGTGGGCCATCATCATCATCGTCACTGTCTTCAGAAGAGTCGGCCGTTTTGGCAGGAGTTGGTTTTACTGGTGTCTTCTTTGGTCCATCATCTTCAGAGTCACTGTCTTCATCTGAAGAATCCTGTTTCCGAGCTTTAGGTTGTGGTTTAGCAGGTATAGCTTTTTGAGCTGGTTTAGGATCTGCATCACTACTGTCACTCTCATCAGAAGAGTCAGCTTTCTTAGCTGCAGGTTTTGGTTGCGGTTTAGCAGGTGTCTTCTGAGTTACTTTTGGCTTTTCGTCTTCACTGCTATCATCTGATGATGATGAATCCTTCTTTACAGGAGGCTTAGTGAGTGGTTTTGAAGGTGTCACAGTTTTCTGAACAGGTTTTTTAGGAGCATCCTCTTCTGACGAATCACTGTCATCAGAGGATTCTTGTTTTTTTGGGGTAAGTTTGGGAGCTGCTTTAGCTGCAGGTTTGGGAGTTGGTTTCTGCACAGGTTTAGTTTGTTCCTCATCACTGCTATCAGAGTCTGATGAGGATTCCTGCTTTTTAGGAGTTGATTTAGGAGCAGCCTTAGCAGGTTGAGGTTTGGCTGGGAGTTTAGGCTTTTCATCTTCAGAATCATCACTGTCATCTGAAGACTCTTGCTTCTTTTGAACTTTTGGCTTGGCAATAGCTTTAGCAGGAGTAGGTATCAGTTTAGCATTTTTCATTTTAGCTCCATCATCACTACTTTCATCATCAGTTGATGATTCTTGTTTCTTTGTCAGAGGTTGGGTTTTTGGAGCAGGTTTTGCAGATTTGGCAGCAACTTTTGGTTTTTGTTGTTCATCACTATCACTTTCATCTGATGACTCTTGCTTCTTGCCTGCCATTGGCTTAACTGGTGTAGTCTTTGTGGGTGTAGGTTTAGCACCTACCTTGGGCTCCTCATCACTACTGTCATCATCTGTTGAAGTGTCCCGTTTTTTCAGTGTTGGTTTAGCTGCAGGTTTCTGTTGAGGTTTAGGCGTTGCTTTTTTAGGCTCATTGTCGCTGCTGTCAGAATCACTTGAAGATTCCTGCTTTCTGGCTGGTGTTGGCTTTTGAATAGATTTTGGTGGTTGTTTTTGCGCTGGTTTTGCATCTTCATCGCTGCTGTCCTCCTCACTATCAGAGGATTCTTGTTTCTTTGCTATTACTTTTGGTGCCACTTTGGCAGATTGTGGTTTCACTGGCTGTTTTGTAGGTTTTGAAGTTGCATTATCTTCACTGTCACTACTGTCATCCGAGGATTCTGCTGCTTTTTTCACAGGTGTAGGTCTAGTAATTGGCTTTGGAGCCGCCTGCAATATTTAGTGAATCCATTTTATTTATTTTATAGAGTACATAAACTATAGAAATAAAATCTATGGCTTGTTCAGAGGTAGTGACGAAAGATATTTTTAATATCACAGAAAGTCAATAACACATTTTACATCATTTTATAAGTACACGGTTTATTATATTCAATATATATACACACACGTCATGCATCGCATCAGGTTAAGCACAGACCAAAAAAACAGAAAAAAAGTAATACCTTTGTTGGCTTTTTATCATCTTCTGAAGAGCTGTCATCAGAGGAGTCTTGCTTCTTTTTGGCTGCTGTTAGCTTGCCGTTCAGCTGTGGTGCAGCCTTTTTTGGTGCTTCATTCTCACTAGAGTCATCAGAGCTATTTAAAAATGGTAAAATACCTTTTTTAAATTTATATATTAAATTATAATCATATATATTGTATATATTTCACATAATTTATATATTATATTAAATTTATACAATAGAAAAAGTGCACATTCGACCTCCCATCTCACCTGATGGAAAGTGACAATGAGGTTGACGATGGAGCATGCACCCTCACCTTAAAAAGGCTCATGTTAGTAATGTTCAGGGAATAAAAGTAGGTTAGAGAGTAAAATCTAAATGAAATTATACCCTGTAAAGGTACAATAAACTTAATGATAATGAATGGAAGTTGCTCCCTTTGTTGATACCTTTCACAAGCCTTCTGTGCAGGCTTACTCAGTTTCTTGACTTGCTGGATGATATCCACGAGAGAAGGCAGATTTTTTGGACGAGGTTTCTGAAAATACGTGTACATGTTTAACATAAATAACCAACTTATTTCGTGACTTTCTTATAATTAACTCCGAGGTAGTGATCAAATAAATGTATGTAAAATTACGGCGAACCGTCGAATTTGTAGTTGCTTTCGTTCTGATTCAAAATTTATTTATTTCTGATAAAAAATTATCACCGAAACATTAGCAATTGAAGCCAGCTAGTTTCGCAGATCATAGGCTTTTGTATTTCATCAACATAAACTTACAGAAATCATCACATTGCCGCAGTAAAAACCAACACGTGTTATCCCAACCCACACGTGGTCTTTGGTTAGCGAAGATGTTACTTACCGCTTTTGTTTTCTTTAAAAACTCTTGTGCTAGCGACTTATCAACGTTTAAGAGAAACTGGTGCACTAAAGAAGTAGCTTCTGCTTGAATTTCAGGTTGCACACCCATTTTTGTGTTAAATTTTATAAAATTAGAGCAGATAAAAGTGCGCAGGCAAGAGTCCCGCTTGTCCACAGATTAAAAAAGACAGCGATTGCTTTTGCAATTGACTTTGACATTTCTAGAAATGTTGCCCTAAAAAATATTTTGTCATCTATCTGACTTGGTTTGGTCGGTCAGGATAACTTGAGTTACACCAACGATATTTAAGAATATTTACAGGTATTTGTAATAGCTATTATACTAGTTTTTAACAAAAGTAGCAGAATTGCAATACTATACAAGTGCACAGTTTGACAGCGAGCGACTATTGATATTTTTGTGAATTCCGTGTTGTTGAGTGAGAAGTGAGCTTGTCGTGGTTAACCGATGATCACGTTACGTTTATCTTTATCGCAAATCCATTGCGAAGTAGTTGAAACGTAAATTAAATAGTAGTGGTTGGATAACATGTTGGATCGCTTTGTCGATGTTATATGCGTTCACATTTGCATTACATTCGAGTAAATGTGAGATGTTACGTAGGCTCTTTTGAGCGTTAGATAGGAAGGCAGGGGTCAAAATGCCAGTGCAGCAAATAAACGTGAAGAATTCGTCTGATATAGAGAGTTGGGAATGGGGCGGAGGATGTGGAAGAGAGGCGGTGCGCGCAGGCTCGGGCAGCAGCCGCACGTCCTGCAGCAACTCCAGCGGCGACATCTGCCGCATCTGCCACTGCGAGAGCGAGGTCCACAACCCGCTCTTAGCTCCTTGCTACTGCTCAGGTAAACCTCCCTTTACTCTCATTCTACACAGGTCAATCCCTTTCCCAAGTCATATCTTCAACACTGTTGCACCCTACTTTGTTTTTAGGAATTCCCTTTGCCATCTTACAGCCCTTGATCTAACTTTGATTCTAGACAATCCATACACTAATGGAAAGGTACATAAATATTTGTAGAATGTGACAAAAATGTTATTGTATGGAGAAGTTTTGTGGGTGTTATTTGTTTACATTAGGTTGTGTAAGTATATTCACGATGTGGGCATTAATACAACTACATTAATGTTACTTAGTAAAACTGGTTAATTTATGATTTTTTAATTAGTGCAATATTTTTTCTGTATTTATGTAGGTATATTGGAATGTAATGACATTTTAAAATTCAGAATTAAAAGTTATCTCTTATGGCACATTCACTGTCCTCTATATTTTGTGTATTGATGGTTGTATATGATTTTTAAAAATGTTTTCATGAATGTGAAATTATAGAATAGTAGTGCAATAATAAAGTATTTATTTGCATATACACTTAAATAGTTTTTATTAAGTGGGATGATTGTTTATTATGTTTATAAAGCACAAACTGATACATTTTTTTATTTAACCCCTCACTTGTTCTAGAGACATGAGATGCCCCTAACAATGTTGGTACTGTACCTAGTGTCCCAGAGTCACACAGTATCTCTAACTTGCAGCTGTGTTTCATCCACCAATAAAAAAAAATCGCCAAAGATGTTAGGGTCACCACATTTGTGTCTGTAGGATGCACGACAGGTTAAAGACTGTATGACTATGATGTGCAAGTACCTATTACTAGTAAATTATGAAATTAGTTTATATTCTGAGACTCTTGATGTGACTAAGTCAATATAATGATACTGTATCAAGTCATTATAACTCTGTTTAGTTTGTTACCCCTAAAATATATTTTATATATATATATATATAAACTTAAAAACTTAGCTAAGGTCTTATAGTAGTAAATATTCCAACCTAGGTAAAATAGAGCATTATTAAATGTTGATTGGTATATTGTTTTATATTATATCATCATTAATGTTTATAGTAGGTGTAATACTCAAAACAAGAACTCACACCTTAAAAATGCTGAACAATTAACAATACAAATGAGGATATTTTGAACAGAAAATTTCACAGAGAAATGCATTTAACTGTGATAATGTACATGTACAATAAATGTGCAAAAAAGTTAGAAAAAAAAATAACATCAGTTTTAATTATTTATAGATGGGTGATGGTTTTTAAATTTGTTATATATATTTTTTTTTAAATAGGATTATCCTGTAGAGTGCTTATTTAATATTGTGAATATTTAATATGAGCAGTTTTAATAAAAACATTTTCACTGCATCATATCCCAAATTTTGTTACATAAAGCTTAGATGTTTTAACCAGAACACATTTTATGAAATAAAATTTGTTTTGATGGATTTGAAGATTTCTTTTCAAATGACTCCTTTTTGAAGATCAAAATTGTCCTATACATGACAATGGATGTCATGTCATGTGCCCTATAAAAATAAAATACCTTAATTACAAAGGTTTGGACTTAAAAATATCATTGTTGTGAATGCAGGTGAGTTGAAAAGTACAGTTTACTTCTTTAATTAATATGGTTGTTGTGTCAAGTAAATTCTCACTCAGTACAATGCCAATTTTTTTATGTGCAAACCTTAGTATTGTACTTACAGGGTTTGTGCAATATTGTTATTGTATGTCAATTAGTGACACAGATGACAGCTGTACTTCAAATTGCTATATGATACATTTACTTCCAGATTAACTTAAAATAACTAGATGTCTAGATCTAGTCTAGATGTTCTCTAGACTACAAGTAAATAAAGATGTGGGTAAAGTGCATAAATAAAGATGTAGGTAAAATGTTTCAAGTTAATTTTATTGACATTGTTAATAAAAAAAAGTTGTTTGGCAGAATTGAGACAATATATTAGTCTCACAAGCCATTCATTAAGAAAAAAATTTTGTATGATTGTCCTGTACTCATAATGGAATGGCCTAGAATAGATTTGTAGAATTAATATACTGCCGCGTTTAGTTGTAAGGGTGCATGTGACATTTTTAAAAAAAAAAATTGTTGTGTATACTGCCTTGATCAGGTTTTTTTACTGATGAGGCAGATTTCACTATTTTTATATTTTCCTAGATGAATAAGGTATGAAGTTACCACAAGAGAAAAGAAGATATTTTTTAAATTTAATTTCTTTACACACTATTTTTCCGGTTTTGAGTTTTTGTTACAAGCTTCCTTTCAACTAACAGTGGCAGACTGGGATATATCTATAATAATAATATAGTAATTCAATTAATGTAACTTTTGTAATTTGCAACAGTAATAATTTTAACTTTTCTAAATTGATCCCAGGCAGTGCACTAGACTTAATTTCCTTGCTCTGGTGACACAAGGAATTCTCTAGTTAAAGAACGGGTATGGTTTCATTTTTACTAATTTATATTTCATTCATTTAGCGCTACTAAATTACTTTAGTGTGCTTGGAGTCCTTCTGTTCAAGGTTGACTTGTAAATCTTCATTGATGTGATCTGAGATGACATTGAGATGCCATTATTGCATTGGTTTGCAATATTTGCATGTTGACGTTCTTTGTTTACGTAATAAAATCACGTTTTAGCATTACTGGAAAGTGCGCCTTAAGACTGATTTTATTTAACGTGGTTGAATCATATCGAGTTCTTAGGTTTGCGATGTTTCGAAATTCGAAATGAAATATTTTGTGGGAATGTAAACTGGTTTACTTCATCCAGTTCCCTATACGACACTGGGTCACGGGTGTCTCCCCAACTGCTGCTCGTCAATCCTTCCTAACACTTTACATTAACTTAACATGAATGAAGTCAGAAAAATTTCAGGAATGAAACTTGCAAGTATAAATACAGTCAACATGTTATCATTTTGTCCATACAGCAAAACATATATAATTGTACTTTTTAATTGTTATCTGTTCCCAAGTTCTCATATTAACGTTACATCACTCATATGTCAAAGGATAATTACTCTGCAATAGTTAATTGTGTTATAATAGGTATATAATTTACCTAAACCTACAACAGAGTAGGTATGTAATTTCAATAGATTATATGTTCAAAAAATATTTCCAGTACTTGTTTATACTGACTTAGATCTCTTTTCTAAATTCTAATCTATATCATTTATAAGACGAGCAAAAGTCCTTATTGGAATGGCAATTGTGCTTTTAAGTACTTATAGAACATTAGCAAACTGGTTATTTAAGACAATCAATACATGTACGGACAACGGCACATTAGACAACACATTTTTGTTCGAAAATCGCCTCCATTGCAACGGATCAAGATACGTCAATGTGTAGCTTGATATGCTGGCGTGTGTACAACTTAACATAGTGTCAAAATATGAACATGTATACATATGTATGATATAAAATACATATGCACATCATTTTAGATCCGGGCACTAAAATTATGAGGGATGTACTTGTTCTATGTACCATCTGAACTCCACATTGATTGTCCATGGGGTCACGGTCAGTCTCTAGTAAACTAAATTCCGTCATGAAATACGCTAATGGATTGGTCTAATTGTGTTTTATAAATTAAATTGATGTACTACATGCACACACACACTATTCACATTGTGTAATGATTATCAGGGTCAAGGGCATATTTGACGACGAAATATTGGTACGAGAGGTTTTAGTATTTTACGATACACACGGCTCCTGCATTAAATATTATAGGCGAGAATTGCGTGCATAACGCGAGGACCCACTGCCGGCTCAATTGATGGTGTAAAGCCTTAGTTCCCAGTCTTCCAGCTCGTGGTCCTCTGTCATGTGTAGAAGTGTAATCCAGGTAAAATATGATGTAGAATCATGTAGAATTTAAAACGTTCACCTTCGCAGGAAGCCTGAAATATGTGCACCAGAGTTGCCTGCAACAATGGTTGACCGCATCGGAGACGAGATCGTGTGAACTCTGCAAATTCAATTTCATCATGCACACAAAAATAAAACCGTTCAATGAGGTAAGCATTATTCTTTAAACTTTTATTCGTTATTTAATGTCTTATGTAGCCTCGATCATTTACACCACAATAGTAGCATATGAATGACCTTTATTTTGATTTGTTACATTTGCAAGTAGACTTTTTCTTATCGTATCGATGGCATACGCTGTATTGCATGCTATCGTGAAAGAGTGTCATACTTAGTTGCGACAAACGCTATTTCGACTCGACAGTATTTCGACTACACATTCATTCGACGGAACACTACTTCGACAGGTCACTAGGCCGACAGATCACTATTCTGACTGAACATGAAATTGACAAATAACTGCTTAACTAGGTATTAATTATTTCTTAGGTATATTTATGGTTATGAGATATTCCGCTCAAGAATGAAGTGGTCCCTAAGTAGTCTCTCAGTACAACAAATATTTCTATTAAATATTTCATGTTCTGTCGGAATAGTGACCTGTCGAATATATGTGTTATCGAAGTAGTTTTCTGTCAGTGTGTTTTTCCCGATAAATATCCGTTTTTACTGAGTATTTATCCTAAAATATGGATAATTTCTTTTTTGTAACTTTTTATTTTTATAGGAAATGAAACTATTTTTCCGGATTTAAATCGCGTATATTTGTTTTTACAAATAAACCGACATTGCGGGCCCTTTACAGGTCCCATGGTCGCGGGTGATTGAGGTGGTACAATCTTCAACCAGTTATGTCTAATAATAATGCAAACCACCCTGTTTTTTCACTATAGTTACAATAGTTATTAATTAAATACCTTATTTTTAATTTTACAAAGAAAACATTCCAATTTATCTACATTAAGTTTTACAAATTATTTTATTGAATGAATTTTTATTAAGTTCAGTTTATTTTTAATTAATAATAGAAATTAGAATAAACTAAAACATATTAATTAGTACTGCAGTCTTATGTTTGTTTGGGATTTTTCATCAGAGAAAATACTGGATCCCAAACCGGTGGTACGGAGAAACCATCTTCCCTGTTGAAATTAGGATGTTTTTTAATTTCAATGGCCTCTCGCAGCATCCTGGGTAGATAACGGACTTCTTTTGCAAGGACCTGGGGTTTGCCAAACTTCATTGAATGTGTAGGTTTATCCATGACATGGTCGCAGACTGCAGACTTGTTTACGCGACGGTGTTTGACATCAACTGTATGTTCTTTGACGCGGGTACAAATACTTCGCTTTGTATGTCCAATATAAGAGAGACCGCACTCACAGTCAAGCTTGTAAACTCCTGCATCCTGTATTTTTATTTTTATGTAACAATACTGTTCTGCCTACGTTTTTCGAGTCGAGCGGTATAAAAAATTCGGTTGACAGAAAGTTATTAAATTAACTGTAACCCTTGAGCTGACCTATCCTGCGTTAATAAAGTGCAACCCAACTTTATGGTCTTGAAATAGCCTAAGAATTCTCTTTCACATGTCACACACAAAATCTATTAATTAAAACACATGATATAAAAAATAAATATTTATATTTATGTAGTTACCTACACAAAGTGTTTTTAAAATATACTTTGTTTTACCAAACATAAATAATAAACCACGATTGAAAATATTTATCCACGTTTTGGGATAAATATCGGGTAAAAATGGATATTTATCTTGAGTATTTAACCCAACCCAATGATATTTATCCATGACCCATCTCTAGTAGTGACCTATCGAATGTCTGTGTTGTCGAAGCAGTGTTCTGTCGGATTAGTGACCTGTCGAACATGTGTTTGGTCGAAGTAGTGTTCTGTCGAATTAATGTGTAGTCGAAGTGCTTTCGAGTCGAAATTAAGTATGACACTCGTTGTGAAAGGATTTTGCCAATCGACGTGAGGTACTCATTGTTTGTTGCCCAGGATGCGCCAGACGAACAGGAAAGGAATGGTACATACATTCCAATTAGCAATTAGTATGAAGTATACATACCATATTGCGTGCAGTATCTTGTCTGTAGGTAAGTGTCAAATTATTGCAGAAACGGAACGCTGGATTTAACTCGTATCGAACTGGAATATATTAAATTTAGTGCATTCTGACGATACGACGACTTCTAAGTTTAAAATGTTTATACTGGTTTATAGTTGTGGCGCTAAACATTTAACGCGCGAGCCAATATTTGCACTGTTCGAGACATAAATCAGATTGCTTTGTGATAATTTAATGATTTTTTTAAAACAATTATGATACTGAGTACTCTGCCCAATTTGGTTTCAAGATACAATGCGCAAGCATATAACTAAACTTCGATTTCATAAGTTAAACAGCGCTCAGAAAGTCCAAGGCAGTATAAATTTGCAACATAATTTACCAATTTATGTAAACAGTAAATGAAATGCTCAAGCGATGAAACATAGGCCTTGTCACCTTGACATTTGGAGATACATATTTTGCTTACCGAGCATTCGTCGTTATCACAGCTGGGTTTGTGTTTACAGTTTGCACCGCGCAATGCAAACTGGTGAAAAATTGTCACGTCTGAACGTATCCTATGGCATTGTAGTTTACTTTAGTTATAAGAAAAATTTAATAATGTTGTGTATTTCCTAGTTAGGTGCTGTACGCGATTTGGTTTGCATTTATGCTTAAGTGCACCCAAAACTATATTGTGTTTGAATAAAGTAACAAATATCTTAGAAAATATTCAAACATTCGCATTTATTTTATTGGTAGGTAAATGACTTTTTAAAGGTCGTGTTTCATTATCTTGCTAAGGATAATATTTTACTTTTATCTCTTTCTCAAATTTGCAATAATGACAAAAAATAAATTCATTATCATTAATGGTCATTAGGTAGTTCAATATTTCTGGTAGTCGGCAGCTTCTCAGGTATACAGGGTTATTAAACTAGACTATATTGCAACATCATAAACAACAAACATGATTTTTAATATATCATTAGATTTTACTTTGGTACAAAAATATAAATATTTAAATTGATCGCTCTAGACATTGATAACACATTTGAACTTACAACATTACCAAATATAAATCTAAAAAGTGTCAGACAGTACAACAAAAACGTAATAGTTTTGTTTTGTTAAATTTATTATGTTTTTTAAAAAATCATGGAACAAAAGTGGTTGTTTATGATGTTAGTAATAAAGTCCTGGGAGGTTGTTGGTATTTTACAAATGACTCTGTATACAGCACAGATAGGGAATAGCATGCGATTGTGTGGACTTATATCAATCGACGGTTTTGCCGTTGAGTTCCAAGATATATCGGATTAATGTAGAGGTCTGTTTCCAGTGGCGTCTCCTGGAGATGTCAGGCGTAGAGCGACGACGACTATGCTGCGCTGTTCTTTTCCACTGCGTGGCCGCCCTCTGCGTCATGTGGTCTCTTTTCGTGCTCATAGAGCGCGCCGTTGAAGAAGTCAACCGAGGCCTTATCGGTAACGTTACTTCTTTTGTTTTACTCAAAGCTTATTCATATATTGTTCGATACCGACATTGTCCACTGATTGTTCTTTATTTACCGATTGTACTTTATTTACCGTGCAAATATAAATATTTCCGATATTGTTGTAATGATTGATAATGCTTTAACTATATTATAATGTAAATTAAATTAAACTGCTTAACTATAGCTGTGATATTATATTTTTTAAATTCTTATACATTTATTTCTGTTATAGTACAGAAACTATCCTTTAAATTTGGTTGCCCGAGGTGAATCATTTGTTTTTGAAAACGCATTCGCTAATTTTAATAATTTTGTTTACATATCGATACTTTGGGGAAGAAAGGGCGTAAATGACAAAATGGTGAATTTTCGTAATATTCTGACAAGTAACGTTTTATAAGATTAATAATATAAGTTTATTTAACATAATTAATACCTTTACAACGCCATTATAACCTTTGGAATGATAGAAATTGTGTAATAATTTGTTTGAATTTTTGCATACTTTCTGGCGATTATCCCTGTTGTTAATATAACATTCATAACTTACTTGGTACTTGGTGTAACGGGCTGATGTCCGCAACTCGACGTCAAGGCGCCTATTTTTTTTATTTATTTTTTATTCATAACTTATTAACTAGATATGCACATCGTATTAGCACAGAAGAAAGTACATAGAGATTTTCCATTTTTTCTATCCTCTTTTACATTTAAATAGGGTTACATGGATTTTCTTGCTTTGCTTTTTGTTCTCCTTTGTGTCTCCCTTCTTTATATCATAAGCTTTTCCATCGTCTTTAATTTCTGATTATTTTTTAGTTTATTTATTGATTTCGTTTATTCATCGAGTATATAACTAGAAATAGAGACGAAATAAGGGCCATATATTCCTGGTAACACATTAGCGATACCGCTCTTATAAATATCAACTCTCGTTTGCACTGAAATATAGACAGGCCAACTACTGACCTGTGTGTATGTCTCCGTATATTCCAAAAAATATTCTGAATTTATTGTAATAACGATAATATCTCTAAAAATGCCGTGCTGTTCTACTCGGTGGTGTGGGAAAAACAGCAAAACATCTAATTACAAAACAAACGGAATCACATTTCATCGGTAATTAAATATGTAATTTTGCACTTTTGGTCCATCGTAGCAAAGCTCAAGTTTACTGGTCGATTTGAAGTGAAACAGTTGACGACACCCGTCAATTGTTTCGAACTCGGGCTAGCCAATCGGAGCGCAGTTGTCACAGTAATGATATGGCAGAATAGTTTTGAAACAAATTAAATAACATTTTGTCTCTATTTCTGGTTATATACTCGATGCGTTTATTTATTCTTCCGAATTTTAAGTTTTTTACTTTATTTTCTCTTTTTTTGTGCGAAAGAACTATTTGAACCTAATTAGTAGGTGCAGTCATCAGAACTCACTCCAGAAAAATCAATTGAGAATCATCTGATAAAAAAAACTATGTATAAACTCGTTCAAAGTTGACGGTATACATTCGTAGTTTGTTAATATATTAAGGTCTTCGATTTCTTTGATTGGATTGTTGAAAGATTCAACTAACTATAGGTTAAAAGGCTCAGTTTCGACACAGGTGGCGGACCAATATCACTGACCATTCAACAAGTTAAATTTCAACGGTCTTCAGCATAGAAACTTCCAAGTTGAAGTATGTTCGACTTGTGGCGGAGAGCGCTGGGTCTTAGTTGATGTGGCGTAGGTTCCAATGGTTGACGGTTTAAAAGCTTCAGGCTAGAGTATCGAAATGTGATGCAGAGTGCGAAGTTAAGGCATTGTCGCGTAGATTTTAATTAGTGACTGGTTTAAGGTTTCTGGACTCGGGGTTATAGTCGTACGACGTAGATTTTGGTGGGCGACAGTTTAATGACTTGAGCTTGAGTATAGACAGACAGTAAGTAAGAAGCCTCTGGATATGTCGATTTGTGTGACATAGAGTGCAATTTAAGGGTGAGCGGCATTAGAATCCATAGGTTTGTTGGCTGGTTAATTAAGTGGAAGGCATGATGCTGCAGGCAAAATTGTAATTTGGGGAACGTTTTCCTGCTGCGGGAAGAATATAGGTTACGGTCTGATCGGAACTATTTTCGAGGAACAACGGGTTGATATGCTGATGGCATCTATCATAAAAAGTCACAAGTGTCATAAGTCGTAAGTCATAAGAGTGTCAGCGTATTTATTACGTCCATGGAAATAATGTGGATCTTATTTCTCGCAGTTATTAAGATTTTTTGAGGTGTAATTGATTCAGCAATAATAACCGCAATTGTGTACGTTTATTTATTTGTAAAAAAACTATGTTTATGTTTTATTGGTCGTATTTCGGGATCACCACTATCCTCAATGATGCCGCTCCTGTTATTTGAACTGTATTTTGAACAAAGCTAATGTGATATTTACACGGGGCTGTTTGCAAAATGTTTTAATTTGTTCTCGTCCAGCTTTTCACTTGTCATTCATGTTATATCATTTAAAAGTCTTATTGTCAACTTTGTTTACGTTTGAACAAGTAAACACTTTTTTTTTATACGAGCTTGCGCCGACGATCGCAAGCCTGCGGCAGATCAAAGCGTGCGAATAGCCACGCCAGTCTCCTTTTTGTCTATTGCTTTTAATAAGGAGTGCAGAAATCATCTCTCTAACACGTGTGTTCCCATATTAGAGTTTTAAAACAGATTTATACATTATTACCACCGTATTAAAGCCGAAAATAGTTTGTCATATAAGGTCAAAATTAATGTAAGGCCTTCAAATTAAGATATCGTTTTACACACATACTTTGTTAGTCACAGTTTAGTCTTGATTATAAAATAATGCTCCTGATTCCAAGGCAGTAAAAGACATTGTAATAATAACACTCATATTTACGACCCTTACGTTGCCGAATATCCTGGTTATAACTTGGCGTATACGTCAATTAAAATTTGAAATTAGTAATTATTTACGCCGTTAATTTCATAAATATTTGGTTTAGGAAAGTGAAAAAACATGGCAGTGAAATACATTTATTTGCGAATTACAAAACTTTGAGTAGACAGATCGAAAGAGCATGAAAATTGAAATCGAACTGCATTCATCTCATTTTTGAGAAAAGTGGTTTTTACGACCTTTTTTTCCCGAAGTATCGATATGTGTAAATTTTGTCCTTGTATTTTAATATTCGGATCAATCAGATTAATAAATATTATATTAAATTCATGATATGACAAACTTGGAAACTTCTGTAAAAAACGTTGACCAAAATAAATATTGGTTTCAAATTAATAGCATAAGTGATAATCGATAATATGAACCGATACTGCTATCAGTTGTATAAAAAAAATCAATACTTCCGTAAGCGTGAATAAACATACATTGATAACATTGCAAGGTACCTACTTAAAAAGTATAAATAAGAATATATTGGAGTGAATGTTATGTTACTACAAATAGATAAAATGTGTCCCGAATAAATGTTATAGTGGTATTATTGCGCACGATGTATATATACTATACACCCGTAGACATATTCAGAGAACCGCTAAAAAGGTTGAATTGTGATAACAATGTTCTTATGAATCACGGACCATATATACCAGAACATTTAATTTGAAAAAAATTACTTCAATCGTTTTTTGAATTCAATTGAACGCTCTGGTATATGTGGCCAGTGAAATAACACATGATTAACATGAACATTATTATCATAATTCAACATTTTTTTAGCGGTCCTCTAAACTGCCGTGCTTACAAATAGGTTTACTGTTCTTATCGTAAGTATGGCAGTAAATATGTCCATGAGTGTATATATATATATATATTTTCCCTCTTTTTTTGTTACGAAAATTTCGAAAGTGTCGGCCATGCCTAATTATCAATTTGCAGCATTTGTGCGGGAAAGCACTTTACAAGTTGGAAATAATAACAGCGTTTTTTCCTTAATTAATGTAGCACTTTTTACACATTCTTATCCCTAAAGCTGTTTATTATTATTAGAGTGGCTTCAGGGCCTGCGTAGCCTTTCATCGTAGCGACTTCTTTCGTCTTTTCAGATTAAAACTGTCAAATGGGATAACCATGAGTTATATTGATATTTTAATAATTATAATTTTTTAATAAAAAAATTGACCTCAATTGTTAACTTGCCCGTGTTAGTACCGCGGTCTCCTCAACTACATATCACACGTGACAACTAACATAGTATTATCTCAAAAATGGCGTCATTTTATATTTTATCTCAAAATTGCGTAATATTAATAATTTTTCTCCAAAATTTCGCTATACTGATGTGTCATTCATATACGATTTAATTTCAAAGTGACGGGACAATACTGTCGCTTTGAAACTAAATAGGTAATATTAATATAAATTAAAGCCATTTTGAGATAATATTATGTTAGTTGTCATGTGCGATATGTATAACTAAAAACGTGTAAGGCAATCTTCGTCAAAACGAATCATTTGAGCCCAAACACAAGGTAGCTGCTGTACCCTATTAAGAATTACCTCTCATCTGTCCGCCATTACCATCTAGGTCACAATAATATATTTTTTTATTGGAATTACATAAATTCGTCAACTTTTATTGAAATCGGTTGACGGAAAGTGGGTGAAATCCAATAAACCAGATTCATTCCTTAGTTTGCTACTCTTGGAATATTTTCTACAAATTTGAATGGGACCACTGCTAAGGTACCATCTTGCGTACAAAAAAAAAAGAATCATCAAAATCGGTTCACAAGTGTCGAAATAATGGCTTAAAATGCACACGGACACCCTTTATACACGCAATAACGGATTTTACAAATCACAAGCGGCCATTTGTTTTCAAGAATATTTGACAATAGACTTCCAGTGTCATTTATCTTAAGTTTTGTAAATAACACCAATCGACCTCTGACAGTGATTGTAAACAATTCTGCTCGTTTCACCGTCAAGAAAAGCTAATTAAGAAAGTAAATCTCGCTATTGTGCATGTGATTTCTTCTAATACTGTACGCATAGTCGTGTTGTTCATAATAGCATATGGCCTCTACGTACATACATACATAGGTTAGGTACATACCTAATTTCTATGTCGACTGTGAACTGGCAATCGGTCCTATCCCAATTTTGACAACTTTACCATAGCACCTGGTTTATTAAATAAAAATACGTAGTTTTTAAATATTTTTGTTACACATGTATGTACACTACGTATTTTTAGTTAATAAACCACATGCTATATAAATGATTTTTTCTTCAGTGTTCTTCCTTCCTGTAAAATTGTCAAAATTGAGATAGTACCGGTTGCCAGTTCACAGTCGATATGTTATCACAGCGCATTAGGTCTGCGGTAACAGTTTTTTGTTTTTGGTAATGGGTTTTTGTGTGTAAAAACTGTTTTGCCATGTACCTTCTCCCAAATGAAATACACTCATAAGAACATTACCAAAAACAATTTTGATAACAATGTTCTTATGAATACTTGCCACATACATTAATTCGCAAAAAGAATAACTTTAATAATGTCTTTTTATTTCGATAAAACGATGGCCTTTATATTGTTAACGAATCGTGACATTAACGTGGGGTGCACTATAAGTTTCCGGAATTAATAAGAAAAAAATACTATAAATTGTCAGAAATGAACTTATTGTTTCTCGAAATATTCTCCGTTAGCGTTAATGCACTTTATCATACGAATGAACCAATTTTGAAAACATTTATGTCACTCCTCCGTGTCAATCTCTGAAACATATTTAAAAATCGTTGACCGCGTAACTGGTTCTTAATTTTTGGAAATAAATAAAAGTCTCAAGGTGCCAGGTCGGGACTGTACGCGGGATGGCTCATAAGGTCAACGTTGTTCACCTTCAATAATTCATTTGTCTGTCTGGCCGTGTGAGAACTGGCATTATCGTGGTGCAAGGTGATGCGGCGTTTACGGTTATTTTTACGGAGTTTGTCAATAACTTCCGGCAAACAAATGGTCGTATACCTATCACTATCCATGGTACAACGATTCTCCAAAGCAACAGTAGCCACGTGTCCAGTTTTATTAAAAAAGAAGCAATCATCCGCTTAGACGCACTTTGCACACGCGCCACTTTGGTTGGTTTCGGCTCATCTTGAAAGACCCATACGCTCGATTGGTGCTGCTTTGTTTTGGGATCGTAACTATAAACCCGTATTTCCTCACCTGTTACTATGTCCCACACCAAATTTGACGCCCCTTCGTTGAATCTGGTATGCATGGCATTGCACCAAGTGACGCGATCCGTTTTTTGAGCCTCAGTCAAATTGTGTGGGATCCACCGAGAGCACAGCTTTTTCACACCTAAATGTTTGTATAGTATTGATTATATTTGACTCATGCCTATGCCTAAAGATGCTCGAATCTCATGGTATGTCACATGCCTGTCTGTTTTGATTATACGTCGCACCGATACTGTGCGACCATGTTTTTGTTGTTCACAGCAGTGGACGGGCGACCATCACGAAATTCGTCACTTAGATTCACACTACCGCGTTTGAATTCTGCAAACATGTTATAAATAGTCGTCTTGCAAGATGCTTCATCGCCAAAAGCAGTTTGAAGTCGAGTGAACCTCCGCTGAGCTGTTAAATTACGATTACGATACGATAAAGTCGTAGAAAAGCATACTACGAAAATTTTCACGAGTTAAATCATGGTGATGTAGACAACCAATTTCTAAAATGACGCCACAGTGTAAAAACAAGTGGCAGTCAGATAAAACAAACTGTATTCTACAGCCAAAAAGTTTCATTTTCCAAACAACAAACCAATTTTAACAAACTAATTCCATGTCGGAATGTAGAAACCACGTTTTTCCTAGCTGAGTACAAAGATTTTTTAAAGAAATATCTCGTCTGTATTGTCGAAGTAGATGTCTGAGAAAAATCATGTCGATGTAACATATTGTCGGAGTAGCGTGTGTCGAAGTTCAATTTTAGAGTCTTTATGTTTATAAAAGTCAATGGAGACTCATTTCTACGTTTACTATGAAGATCTCAATCAATATGTATATCTGGTATATACAACATTCAATGGTTCATATGAACGCTGTGATTATGAATACAAAAAAAAGAAGAACACAGAAAAACTGGACCCGAGGCTCAGATGGTTAGAGCAATGCTACGGTGCAGCGTGGACGTGGGTTCAAGTACTACCGGGTCGACGAAAATTTTTCTGTGTGTTGGATCTTGGTATTCATAATTGAATTTATTTCACAAAAAATCTCAATAAATCCTATGAACGTTGTTATCATCTTTTCTTTGGCGTTTCTGGAAATATATCCATGAGAATATTTTTACTGCTAAACAGCACTGCCTGTTCTGGATTAGAGAGCAGGGAAAACGACTGCGGTAACAGTAGATGCCCAAGGCTTATAATAAGGATACGTCATTAGATCGATCATGACTGTCGGTTTGAACACAATGAAAAAAATCTTTATTGTTTACACTAAAAAGTCTTTATATTTTTCCAAATACGCACAAAACTCGATTACAAGTAATGACAATCTAATTTAAACGGAAAAAACGTCAACTGCAGTTGTGACCAACAAACTTGTGAAATTAAACAAGTAAAGTGTAAGAGGTGGGCAAGCAATAAAACTTGTACATACGTTGGTCTAAGTAATATTAACATTGAATACATACGACTATGTGTATATATTTCAGTGTATTCTCTAGACTAGGGGTCGTATTCTAGAACTCTACTCAATGCTCAAGTCAGGATTTCAGCAGACTTGAGTATGATTTCAAGCACTGGAAATACGACCCTAATAGTAAGGACTTGAGTATGATTTTCAGTGCTCACTGCAATACTCAAGTCCTGACTTGAGTATTGAGTAGAGTTCTGGAATACGACCCTTAGACAACTAGGAAAATAAAACTTATTTTGTTAATACCAACACCACTACGAGCAGTGGTGGGATAATCAGATGCTTATTTACCTACATTTCAGTTGCTCGCTAACATGGAATGTGCTTTTGATAAAAAAAACTAGCGATAGATTGACTTATGGAAAATAAATTTTAAAATGTAATTTGTAAGTTTGTATAACACTTATACGACGACCTCAGTGGTCGAGTGGCTTGCACACCGGTTTTCATGGTGTTGCCATCTTTGAGGTCTCGGTTTATATATATTATCTTGTTTTTTGTACGATCGTCGTTGTTTCCGAGTTCCATAACACAAGTACTTTAGTTACTTTGGGGTGTGAGCAACATTTGTAATGTTGTCTAATGTTTATTTATATTATTTTTATCATATAAGTAGAAAGTGAAAATTATAAAACTTCTGACATGAGGACTTTTTTGCAGTTTTAATATTTTTTTACCGAAACCATTTTACCATCGTTTATGTTTCAAATTGACTATTCTAGCTGTTCACTGTATTTCTTTTTTTTATTGTACAATAATAAGAAGAAGAAGTGCATTATTTGTACTTATTATACAAAAATTTTAACACGTAACGCTATTCCGGCATTCCGGAATTTATGACAAGAAAGAATATATTTTAAGAATCCGCTTCCACATTTCTACAGAATTTACGGGGAAAAGTGAACTTTAGGTATAAAAGCATCCGAATATCCGACCACAAACCATGACTTCACAGCCACAGTTGTTGCTAGCGAGCATGTAAAATGTGTGTATGCAAAATATTATGTATACCGAATGTTAATAGCGACAACTGCAACTGTAAACTAATGGTAGAAGCACAGAACACGAAATTAATAATAGTGTACTGTAGATTTCGTTTTAAATTGGACGTAGTTAAACAAAAAGGATCCAACGCACATCCAGTCACTTTCGAGATAATTGGCAATTTGAAGTTTTGAAAGTGCTTCTCACTCTTGTTTTATTTTCAAAAACTATAATGTCATGTAACTCCAGAGAAATTTATTTCTTATTATATTATATTATAATATATTATTCATTTGTTGGTTTTTTGCTGATCTAAGAGGTTAGAATTTAGGAACCGTTTGGTACATATAACTCATGTTTTGATAATTTGTGTTGTTGAAAAATTTTGTGGATTGGATCCTTTTTGCTTAACTACATCCAATAGTAGTCCTGTGTTACTACACATTGTACAGGCATAAGATTAATTTCGTGATACAATATTATCGCATCGCTTCACCGATCGAAACATCCCGCATTCATTCTAGCACATGACACATTCTACAAACATTATTGTTTGTTGCACAACTACGGACAGTTATACACGGTGCATAGTAATTGGCCATTATTTTTACGTCATCACATAGTAGTATTTTAGTAGCAGTAGAGCTCCTTGTGAAAGAGTTCGTCCAAGGATGTACTGCCGTCTTACCTATTTCTACCGCCAAGCAGTAATCCGAACATGACTGCGTTCCGGTTTTGAATGGTAAAGGGCGCTGGTGAAACGGCAGGCACGTGGGATAGGTCAACTTGTGCGCGGTGGTAGTGCCTTTAGAGTTTTGCGATTTTTAAGTTCTGAATGACACTGCAACTGCTATGGACAGGCGTGTCCCTTACCATCAGATGCACGAGTTGTTCGTCCCGTCACTTGGTATCATAAAGTAATAATAACAATTTGATTCGAAATTAAGGAAGCGTGTAGCGAATATTACACGATAGTATCACTATTCATTTACCTGGCCATGGAAAAATTGTTTAACGAGCATCACTGTCGTAAGTTTATTGTTTCTTGATTTATCTCGTTATCTAGGACGCATGGGTCGACCGGTTTTTTTATTACCTCCGTGCGCCAGCTCGTGGTAGCGTTGCTGCAATCGTGTCTAAACTTGGCTCAGCCTTGATCTTAAATACATCTATTAGAAATTTGCTTTCTATTTAGTGCGTAATGCTAGTAAATTACACGGCCTGAGCATAGGTTATGACTATAACATGTTTTATTTGTTTCAGCGTGGCCGTTTTGGACAAAACTGGTGGTAGTTGCAGTGGGGTTCACGGGCGGCGCGGTCTTTATGTACATACAATGTCGGCAGTATCTGCATCTTTGCAATCGCTGGCGGGCTCATAATAGGTCAGTATAGAAGAGTATGACGTAGATATGCGAAAGTAATACTCCACACCTTAGCTTCAGCAGAAGGCTGTAGCGATGAACCATTAACCTGGCAAACAAGAACACGCTGCAGGTGCCTTTTAACTGGACTTATCCCTTTGTCGATTTCGGAACCCAAACAACAGTTAACAGTCTTTAATGGAATTGTAATGTTATTTCTGGTTTTCCAGAATATTACTAATTCAAAATGCGCCTGAGAAGGTGCCAATGGGTGGCGGGTCGCCCCCCGTACGTCACAAACGACGCGAGCGCAGTGCGCGTGGACAGGTGAGATTACTATTCCGTTATGTAAACTATAGTGCGGCTGTTATACAAACTGACATCGGATATGATTTTACGCAAGAGTGCCTAAAAAAATTGATTTTTGCTTAATTTATTGTCTTTATGGCACACAAGAACAAAATACGGAGACAAACTAAGCATAAGACAAATTGCAACACGCGACCTTATTGTTCGGTAGCCATCTACTTCAGGCAAGTTTGGAGTAACAAGAGATATGTAACTAAATGTTACGGCCGTTGTGTTATAGAATGTTATTTGTTGTTAAATATTTATTTGATCTGTTACACACTGTTTACAGTTATATAATTTCCATTGGCGGACACGGATATTTTCTTGGATATTAGTTTATAGACAAAAGAAATGAAACTATTTTCCGGATCTAAATCGCGTATATTTGTTTTTTTGTCATACAAACCAACGTTTCGGGCCCTTTAAAAGGCCCCATGGTCACATCGATCAACTGAAAAATACGCAAGTTGATACGAAAAAATACTTTCATCGACTGTATGTTTAATGGTGATTTGTTGTAAATCTTTAGGTAGTAGCGAATATTGAGCCGCCGCCGCCGCCCGCGGCATTTCACGAAGAGGACGAGAGTGGTGGGTTCGAGACGTACCGCGGGAACCCCAACCGGCGGCTTTCCGCACTAGCTGACGATCGGCTGCGGCCAGAGCCGCATGAGGACACGAGGCGTTTCTCGGACACGCGGTTAGCCCAGCCCGTCAGCGTCTCTATTGAGGACACTGCCACTGCGCCTGCACGACCCGAAGCCACTTTTGTCGTAAGATTCAATTTGATTACATTTTCTTTATACGCCGACTCATTTTTTGTATGATATCAAGCGACGCGACGAACAAGTCGTGCGTCTGATGGCAAGCGACACGCCTATCTGTGAGGCCACAAATTCCCGACAGTGATGCGTTCAGGATGGCGTTCAAGTATCCAACACAAGACATACGTTTGCGTGTAATGTGTCGTAAACCTTGATCGCCCGCTTGCATCGTTCCAATTTTACGGCCTGACAGTTGCAGTGACGCTTATGTGTAACAGTACAGTGCCACTCAGAGATTAAAATCGCTAAGATCTGAGGGGCATTGCCACTGCATCCTTCAACACCGAAACGCAGTAACGCTCACATTTATTGCTTGATGGCAGAAATAGGTAAGGTGGCAGTACTTTCCTGGACGAACTCTTTTACAAAGAGCTCTACTTCCCTTTTGATGTTTCTAAAAAAAAACTATGATCACATATCAGAGGATCAACTCTCCTTCTGCGTCCGACATCCGTTCGAAACATTTACTGCCAAATGTGTGATACTCGACCAAAACTACAAGTAAATGTCAAGTATGATACTTTATTCGCCTCATGCGTTTTAATGTAGTAAATACATAATAATAATAAATAACGCACACACTCAACATAGCCCCGCACTATGGAAACCCTGTGTCGCGGGTGCCATGGACACACACATAGACAACCACAAATTACAACCAAACTCACGAGAGAAATAAATGTAGGCCATACAAACATTTCTCCCGACCCGGGAATCGAACCTGGAACCTCTGCGTGGCAGTCCGGCATGGTAACCGGTCGGCGACGGAGGCAGTTGAGTGGTCGAGTTATACTTATTTGATAGCAATTGTTTCATACAGATTTTGGACTGAGAACGAGAGTACAGGGCCAGACGCCCAAACATCTTTCCCTTTTAGTTCTCCATTGTCTTTAATAACTTACTTTTACTTAACTTATATTTTCTTGAATTATTTTATTATTAACACTGCCTTATTCCATTATTCTTTGCACTGACGACAACACTCTAAAATAACATTTTGGTACTAATTGATGAAAAAATCGTGTAGTAATAAGTATTATGGTGACTTCAAAATTGAAGTTGTTTTGTGTTGTCATGTTATCATATGTTTTTATCACGTAGCGCTCACGATACACGTACTAGCAGCAATATCTATCGTAGTATTAAAATGTTACACATGTGCGAGACTATAATGTCTAAAGCTGTTGTTTTCTATAGCGTCGGTGAGGTCATGCGGCGAACATAATTATAGTTAAGGATGACATCACATAAACTTTGCACATATTATGGCGTAGTTTCCATGTGCATGATAGCTATTGTTATGTATTACAAATCAAAGCTTTCCTTACATGTCATCAGAGTGACCAAAGTGATTGATCCTACACTTATCGTTATGCGGAATCAACCAAAGCCATTTGAGGTATACACTCTTAAGAACGTGTCCAAAGTAGTTTATTCCGACGTTTGATACGAGCGTATGTTATTATTGTTATTGATAAAAAAGATCGAATACAAAGAAAAATTCCTTCGATCTGCCCAATGTTTAAACCCAATACAGAGATCTGATAAAGTCCCTAGAGATTTGCTCGATTTTCTAAAGATCGCCAAGTGTGATCAAACAAAACGATTCAATTTGTAAGCAACATACAATCGAAATCGTATTTTTTGTCGATAAACTCGTGTGACTCGTTTTGTAGACACTGGTTCGAGTCCAGTCAGGTCCATGGAATTTTTCATTTTGTTCGATCTTTGTAGCAATAATAATAATAATTTTAAAAATAAACAATGTGTGCGTTATTAAAATTTTATTTTTAATTTATTTATTTAGTACAGGCCAAATGACCCATATAATATATACCTTAATTACTAACATACATACAGTATAATAAATTAGTGGAGTAAAACATACTGAAAAAAAGCCGCAGGCCTGTCAAGCATAGACCGTGGTTTTCGAATGTCTCAGTGGGAGTTAATTTGAAATTTACTATGAGCTTTTTCGGTGAAGGAAAACATTGTGATGATACGTGCACGTCAAAGAAGTGTTCACAATCCTCGGAAAACGTGTGAAGACCTAATGTAGTGGCCTAAGGTCTAACCCTCGCCTGAGAGGAGACCCGTGCCCAGCAGTGGGGCGTATATACAAAGTAATAATAATAACGCACAGATTCATAGCCCCGCACTAGGGAAACCACACAAACAAGCATAAATTACACTCCAACTCACGAGAGCAGTAAATGTAGGTCATACAAATATGTCTCCCGGGAATAGAATCCGGGACCTCTGCCACGAAGGCAGTTAAATGATGATTCCTCATATGTTGATGATGAAAACATAATGATACTCAATAAGTAACAACGAGAGTACGTGTTCTCCGCAGGGAGGGGTGTACCATATCAGCGTGGACCCCCTGGAGGCGGACATCCGGTCTCTGCTCGCTTTGGAGGCTCGTCGCGAGGCGCGCGCGGCTCGGTCGCTGCCGAACCTGCGCGCCAGCCGCGAGAGCCTCCTCCCACTGCCCCCCGCCGCCGAGGCCGCCCCGCGCGCTTCCTGAGACCCGCCCCCGCCCCCCACGCTAGCGCCGCGCCTGCTGCTCTACCCCGACGACACCGTCTATTAGCGATGGCCCCCCGCCCTCGTCCGGCCTTCATCCCCTCGAAGCGATCTGGAGATGTCCACTGTCTTTTGATTGTCTAGTCTAAACGTCGTCGATGCGAAGTTAGTTTGCAAATTTTACCGTTTAGAGCGTCGCATAGACGCAGCGGCATTATAAAAAAAAAAAAAAACTAAACCGAAAATAAAACTGGCCATATAATTGGACTACTGGACATCCTTCATGTCGTTTCTTTGTGATGCAGTTGAATAAATAAATAAAAAACTGTTGACGGTGGGCGGTACATTTGATGGAAAAAAGGTCGTATGTTTTGAATAACAAAAAATCGTTTTATTTAGTAGCTCGTCGCTATGAACTAGTGCGCTCGCACTTTCACCAATGGTGACACTTCTATTCCTCGGGGTGACTTGGTACCCGTCGTATATAAATTTACATACTCTAGTGTAACATAGATAATAATAAATGTCACATAATTATGGTAGTCTTAAACGGGACTGACATATATTATACAACGTGAAATTGAATTCACCAATGCAAATTTAAGGGTACATACAATCAGCCCTTGTTGTTTTTTTTATTTCATTGTGAAACCCCTATACTAAAACTTATACATGTATATTAACGGTATGTCTTGAATTTTCTCTGATGATTTAAATTTCACCGTGTATTCGGTTAATTATGGCCTTATATTGTTAAACAAAAGTTTTGAAACTGCCAAATACAATTGTAATCCATTTTCATTGTCATGTATATTGTAAATTCGTTCCCTATAACACTAATGAAAATAAGTTTAAATTTTGACGAAACTGATCTTGTAAATAGATCACCAAAGTAGAACATATATTTTGCATCGAACTTGTAAATGACAATTTTCACTTAAAATTGTAAGTTACGTTGTCGTAGGGGACGAATAGTTCATTTCTCTCTCTTGAAATTCCATCGCCCCGTGGAATTGATAAACCATGTTCTAACGATTATGATGATACTCGATGTGCTGTGCATTGTGCGATCAAGTCTTTGTATATAGTAGTATGGAATGTGTAAATAGTAAACATGAAATTGTAATGGTAATGACTGCTGGGGTCGGAATGACCGTAATGTCGTATCTCTCGTCCGTTACGTTGCTCAAAGTAGAGCTGGAAGAACGGGAGAAGATTGTCCATCGAACCTTATTGTATAGTGCTCTGTAACTTCAAACATTATTCATTTACTTTGAACAGTATAATAATACAAATTTCTATTATATTATGGGGCAATTTTCTTTATTGCTTTATACTCGTGAAAACGATTTGTTTCCTACAAGTGTAGCGGAAAAAAACTTAAATTATGTTTTGAAGTAAACCAATTATTTATATTGAATATGAATCGCACTATATATAAACTTAATTTTTTTTATGGATTTGTTACTTATATACTTAGGCGCTGATGAAGTCAAATTGATTTTGGTAAATTTCATTAAATTTTTATTTATCGATTTCTTAGGTTTTTGCGATTGTTACACAATTGGAAAAGAAACAATTTTTTTTCGGATGTCAATCGCGGATATTTGTTTTTTCAAACAAACCAATTTTTCGGGTTATTTACTGGGTCCATGGTCACTTCTGACTGACACAAACACGTGTGACCATGGGACCTGTAAAGGACCCGAAACGTCGGTTTGTTTAAAAAAAAAAAACAAATATACGCGATTGAGATCCGAAAAAAATAGTTTCATTTCCAAATATCTTTATTTTTTTCACGGGTGTAATTAGAATATGGCTCGCTTAATATAATAGAATTTTTCATATCCGCATACAAGCGTTTAATGACAAAATTTACGTCTTTCTCTAACCTGAAAAATTCCTTACTGGTTCCATTTTAGTAACATATGGTTATGAAAGATGCATGTGTGCTTTCATGTGTATTCGAGCCGGGGCATGTTTATTTTAATATTTATTTCTATTTGAGAATTTGCATGGTTTTGTGCGAACTCCAGTTTTGAAGCCACATTTCACTCGTGTCAGCGCAACTACTTAACGTAGACGACGGTATAAGTATTATTTATTATAAAAATGATGCTGACAAGATTGCTTTTGTAATCTTCGTCAAATCGCGAAATTTTTAAGAAACAATTTCTTGTACGGCCCATACAAATTTTTATGTTAAAGTCAATAATAGTGCCATCATTTTAGAGTACATACAAAATTACGCTTTAATGGTGCTCAAATAAGGGTTATGCAACAATTGTGAGCACCATGTCCACACAACGAACTTAGATAAGGATGACATTCATATTGGCACTGCCAGAGCCTGTTTGTTTCACGCGGGTTTTGCTCACGTAAAAGTGCCTGCCGTGTCGGTCCGTTCGGCAGCCGTGCGCTCACAGTATGCACGCGTTGCGCTTGTAGTAACGGCTTATAGATCGAAACGTTGTCTTCGCGGTTACAAATACTTAGTAGTATAGATCTACTAGAATCTCTTGACAAATGGGAAAATTTATATTAGCAACACTGAGATGATGATGATGATTATTATTATAATTGTATTTAAAGTCGTGTATTTTGTTTTGAAAATTACTTATCAATAATTAAATTAAAATTATCAAAAAATGTTTATTGAAGTTACCTGTTAAATCAGAGATGTCATTGAACTCGCCATATATATTTCTTTTTGTTTCATGTCATGGGATGCTAGAGGATCTGTATTTTGCATTATTCTGTGATAATAGTCATATTTCTGTTGATTGACCGGAAGCAGAATTCACAATTTGACTCGCATTTTGTATCTTCTGTACTTGTAATATTACAAGGTGACAGGCCATATTGCCGAGCGATATTATGGATGTCCATAAAACGCTTAGTATAGTCCATAGGCGTGCGGACCAAAATCCGCGTGACCATTCTTAGCTCTATGTTAACACAAACCCAAGGCATTTTTATTTAGAATAATCTTGTTACCGAAGCGTGTTCATTAACAAAGCTTAATAATATAAAGACATGCCCTGGTCCGACAGTCAATTGTCGCTTCACGCTTATGATGACTTAAGGAATTTCACGCCAACATATACTCTAGTGCACTAAGAGTCAGACCGAACAAGAACACACTTCTTTATACTGTAATTGGTGAACAACAAAATTATTCTTCACACGTATGAGATGTATTTCACTGTCACAAATTCCGTAACAACACTTGTTTCTTGCAAGGGAATGAAATATTAAGCAGCGCTGATTGATTTTTATCTGCAACGGTGCTGAATAATATTTAGCTGCCTGTTATATAAAATGATACTGTCTACGGGTCTGGCAGTCGAAGCTACGCTTTAAAATGATTAAAAATTAAAAAAAACATGATCATAATATGTTTTTTTTTGGTGAAATAAAAAATTCGATACGAAATTCTTGTTCGCCAAGTTTCAAATTATAGATGTTGTGGGATCGAATCTCTATTGTAACCCTTTACCTTCTGTAGGCTCTCTTTAGTGTTTAAAATATATATTTTTCGAGTTTTGTTCAAAAAATCCTTTAGGTCATACATACATCCGCTATTAGGGTTATGCTATACTTATCTAGTTTTAGTATCGTTGCATACTCAATTTAAGAATTTTTAATTTGAAGTATTTCCTACGCATTTCACATTCACATGGATACGAAGAATCTATGTTTTAGCGTGCATATAAGTGTAGTATAACCCTAATGGTTGAACTTGACATGTCAGCGCGCTACAGCTCTCCATTCATATTAAAAATATCAAACACACGTTTAGTATGATCGCAGTGCTGACAAATGCGATTTAATCCTTAATCGGCATTCGAACTCAATTAAATATTTATTTTTGTAGCTTTAAATTGGACCAATCATTTTATTTGATTTTATAATTGGTCAATATTTTCAAATTAATTGAAAGTTCAACTATAATAACAAGTTCTGAAAAATTTGAAAATTCATTTTCCATCCATTTGACAAAACCTTTATGTTTAAGAAAATCTAAGCAGAAACACCAATTAGTGTTTATATAAAAGTGCAATTTTATTTTTTGTGTAATTGTTCACATCATTGTGCATTTAGTAGGTGTTTAGTGTGCATCTTTAAAATTGGCACCTTTGCTCGGCGTATGATCATTCTATTAATGTTTTTCTAAATTTAGTTTATCTCACTAATCAAACGGTGAAATTTACTCCTGGCTAAAATTAACATTTAATTTTACTGCGATTTAATCTGGGGCCAAAGCAATGTTTTAATCATATTAAAACATATATTTTAGCTTTTCTGAATTGCTCTTATTTAAAATTGACACACATTGTGTCAATTGATTGATTAAAACAGTTCTGAAACTGCCCTTTTTTAGTACTTACGAGTACCTTTTACGACTGATTTTAAAAATTTAAGAACACACCTAAAAGCAAAGAAATTTAGGCCAGGAGAAATCAAAGATGCTAATATGTTTTACCTTATATAACTTTATTATTTCGTTAATAATTTACTGAAACACGTCAAAAATTGTGTTTGTACATAGATAGTTTAAATCGATCGGATATTATATTTGGTGCTAATGGTTGAAAAAATAATTCAGTCCAAATTAGGTATTCTTTATTGTGAGCCCTGAACCGAAAACAAAATGCTACGTTTTCAAATACACGATTATAAATATCAGGAATTATGTTCATGTGCAGATAAAAAATCCTTTAAGGTAACACTCGCTAGTATTGAGCGTGTTAAGGGTCCTGTTCTTGGTCAAGAGTTTTAAGTTTAATTGTTTGTAAATATAATTTACTAGCTATTTTCTGAAAGGATTGATGAAGGAAACTTAAGTTTTGCTGCTATGGTTCCCTATATTATCATTCACTACATTTGCAAGCATTCTTTTCCGTGCAGGCCCCTTACCACACTGCAGTGAATTTAAAATCGTGACGTCATTCATATCGTTTTGTCAGTTATTTCTTCCACAATCAAATACATAGTCACATACTAGTCAAACATGTGTTTGATTGCATAGTAAATTTTAAGGTTTTTGTAACAAATCATCTACTATCATTGTTACGGTCTCGGTCTGCTGTTTTTATTCACTCATCACATGTTTCATTCTGGTTTTCCTTGAGGACTTTATGTTGTTGTATTGTGTAATATAATAACATGATAATACCTGGTCAGTTCACAATTATACTGAATAATATTAATTGATCTAAATTACTTGGGTGCTCAGGTGATGTTTTATATATTACACGCACTTGAGGCACTTACTTTTATGTACTTACTATGTATATTACATATCACGTTTTCGTCGATTTTAAAACTGTAAATAGTCAATTTAATATTTATTGAAAGTGCTCGTAATATCAACACATCTCCTGTGTCGTGTGCTAAGGGAAATAATCCAAAATTGTTTGTTTGTCGTATGTTGAAGAGACGTAGTGCCTTATTTGGATATTCTTTGAATTTTGGGTAACGTTTTTGTGCAGGTTATTGAAAAAATTTCAGTCTAAAATGTCTCTGAGATGGGCGGAGTGTGTGAGTCTCTGTCAGACATACAAACATCGTGTAAATCTTATTGAGGCGTAAACGTAGTTATCCGTAACGCAACTTTCCTAAAGTAACACAGCACCCACAGCTGTATATTGTGATATATACGTTGTTAAGCGTTTTTTTTTTGCTCAAAATTATTTTTCATCCTTGACCTGTGTACTTATCATTCATGAAATTTTAAGACTGTATTTTATTTTGTTGTGTAACATTGTTAATTAGCTCCAGGTTATAAATATAGTTATTTTGAGATTTATGAAATTTTTATTACTAACCATCACGTTTTAGTAAAATCAGGAGTCAGGTGCATTATTTCTTTTTTATTAAAAAAATAAACGTGCATGTGATCTCCATTTCACCGATGGAAAGTTAAATCGAAGATGGAGCATGCATACCTACATTTTGCCTATTCACTTTCGCCTTGAAGGGCAAGGCGGAATGAAATCGTACTCAATGATATACCCCGTAGAATACCGGTAAGCACGCTTTTCAATTGAATCAAATTATATACGTTTTGGCTCAATTTTCGAAGGAAGTCTCCGTTTAAATAACATAACATCTAAAATAATAATAAAGGTTAGCAATTTTCCCTACTTGTATTACACATGAGACAACATGAAATAAAACAATGCGTTAGATAAAAATAAATAATTTATTTAAAGTTGATCGAATTTCATACTCGTGGGTACGACCAGAGCTCGGGTCGATGTGACTAGACTGTACACTCAACATTTCACATAATACATAAACAATATATTTCTGTACAAACAGAAAATCAACACTTAGTAATAATAGTTACATTTCTACTTAAAGTATAAATATAAATTATATCACTAATACTCGAGTATTAGAATAATTAAATCCACCGAAAAATAATATTACACACTGCCAGGAGCATTATAATAAATAGCCTCCTAAAATTAATGGTGTTAGTCTTATACCGTTACTAAATCAACAAGTCAATGTCTATCGGCGCCTTCGTCTAACCGCCATAAAACCATTCTCAACATCAGTCCTTGACATATGCGTGGCAAACTTTGGGGCATCGGCTTAGTGCACTTAGGGGCGTTAAGCGACTGTGTGCATTGTTGAAAATATAATACTTTGAGTATTATTTTGACAGATAAAGTAGCTAGTAGTCTATAAAGGGGTTACCTACGTCAAGTTTGCCGCATCTATCGATACATTAGTATGACGTTAATACTGTGTTGGCCTGCTAAAACTCGGTATCGCCGAGCACGTTGTACATGAGACGTTTAAACGAGTTCGATTGCTGGATGTGCTCTTCGTGTAGTGAGTTCACCTAAAACAAACATTCATTTAAAAACTTGCTATTTTAAAAGAAAGTTCCGTATTTAATTGATTTTGTCTTATTAATTTTAGAGGTGACACAGGGTCGATCTTGGCGAATGACCTGAAAATTGAACCACGAGAACATGACACGGTAGTCTAGAAGAATCTCGTTACCGTAACGTAAAAAGCGCCTACATTTCCCGAAACTTATTTACCAAGATGGCAAACGGAACGGACAGCCAGTATTTAATTCGAATTCAAAATCGTGTAAAATTAGGGAGGCACTGGTCAGAAAAGGCTTTATGTCTATGTAATAAGAGCGAAAAAGACGTTACGCGTTGGCGCGGCGGCGGTCCAAGCGGAAGCTTTCTTTATGATACCAAGTGACGAGATGAACATATGGTGCGCCTGGTGATAAGCGACACGCCTGTCCATAACAGTTGCAGTGCCGCTCAGAGCTTTAAACCACAAAGATCTGAGGGGCATTTTCACTGCCACCCTGAGACATACGTTGAAAAATCCCATGTGCCTGTAGTTTCACCAGCAGCTTTACCCTTCAAAACCGAAACGCAGTAATGCTCACATTATTTAGCTTAACGCGTGAACGTGTTTTTTGCTCTTAATACATGGAAATAAAGCTTTTTCGGAGCGGCTCAAGCCGATTCCACTTTCATTAGTATGGTGACTCCTTTACTTAAAAATCCCACACCGAAGCTAGACGGAATGTTAAAGAATTTTTAAGTGGCTCTCATTTAAATGAGACACAGATCCGATACATTAAAGACTAAAGATTAAAGGTATACTTACGAAGGTCGTTTGTTTTCCCTTCGGTTTCCCCTCGGGCTGTTTCATTGGTCTCGGAGTGGGCGCCTGCCTCTGCCAATGAACATGTAACTTTATTAAAACGTCACGAATGTTAATTCAAGTATAGTGACCATTTAATTAGTAATGTTTTATTACGCAACAAAGTTTGACAACCTCGGTGGCCACGGAGACAGAACTCTGTGAGCGCTGAACGAGGAGGTCTGGAGTTCGATTCCCGACAGGACCAATTTGAGAAACGACCTTTTTTAAATAGGTTTTAGTCTGGGTGTTATGGGTAGTGCCCTGGAGTGAATTTCAAAACTCTGGTACTCATAGTTCAGGGAATATATAGTTTGAGACCAGGTAATCGGTGTGGGTGTGTGGTACTTTATTATTATTATTAACAGCAATACATAACTAAAGAAAAACATTTAAAGCCTGCACAATGTGCAATTTATTGTTATTTGTTGACGCATATCGCGTAAAGTCACAATTCAATGCTAAGTTATGCATAGTTTAGTACTAAGATCCAATTTACTATGAAACAAGAGAATTGTGGTATTTTAGCTTTCTTAGATGTTTTAATTAAAAGAAATCCTAATAACACCTTAGGCCATACTGTATTACGAAAGAAAACCCATACAGATAGGTATCTCAATGGTAATTCCCATCACCATCCTAGCCAGTTAGCTACCGTGGGCAAATCTTTGTTTCAGAGAGCACATGGTGTCTGCGACAGTAATCATCTGGCAGGGGAACTTCAGCATATAAAGCAAGTCCTACATGCGAATAAGTTGAAGATTCCACGCCAATGCCGCAGGCCCCGTGCGAAACCACCAACAGTCGAGAGAAGACCTGCCATATTACCTTACGTGATTGGTGTTACATACAAGATCGGAAGAGTCCTCAGGCGTGCATCTATCAAGACCTATTTCAAGCCCCTGAGGAAGATTTCTCAGTTCCTGAGACCCGTAAAATGTAACATCCCCTTACAGGATGCAGGAGTTTATAAGCTTGACTGTGAGTGCGGTCTCTCATTTGGACAAACAAAGCGAAGTATTTGTACCCGCGTCAAAGAACATATAGCTGATGCCAAACACCGTCGCGTAAACAAGTCTGCAGTCTGCGAGCATGTCATGGATAAACCTACACATTCAATGAAGTTTGACAAACCCCAGGTCCTTGCAAAAGAAGTCCGTTATATACCCAGGATGCTGCGAGAGGCCATTGAAATTAAAAAAAAACATCCTAATTTCAACAGGGAAGATGGTTTCTCCGTACCACCAGTTTGGGATCCAGTATTTCCTCTAATGAAAAATCCCAAACAGACATAAGACTGCAGTACTAATTAATATGTTTTAGTTTATTCTAATTTATATTAATAATTAATAATAAATTGAACTTAATAAAAATTCATTTAATAAAATAATTTGTAAAACTTAATGTAGCGTAAATTGGAATGTTTTCTTTGTAAAATTAAAAATAAGGTATTTTTAATTTAATTTAATTAATAACTATTGTAACTATAGTGAAAAAAATAAGGTGGTTTGCATCAATATTAGACATAACTGGTTGAAGACTGTACCACCGCAGTCAACCGTGACCATGAGATCTGTAAAGGGCCCGAAACGTCGGTTTGTTTGAAAAAACAAATATACGCGATTTAAATCCGGAAAAATAGTTTCATTTCCAACAGTACAATATAAATATGCTTTGTACTCCATATTCATGTATGTAGTTGCTTTTCTGCAAGAATGGACTTTTGATCGAAAATTATAAAACACATCAATCCATATCTATAGCTATAAATCCATTGACCAGACGAGACAAGAAATTGAAATTATTTGGTTTATAAAAGTGAACTCGACATTATGTCTTCGACCGGCTAAAGTAGTAGTTAATGTGCACCTACTGCCAAGTTCTTGCGATGTACAGCACTATACAGATATATAACACTACACGTGCGGAGAAAAGGTTAAATTTTTACAGAAAAGAATTTAACATTATGGTCTTTCTGGTGGTAGCCTTATCACATAGAGATAAATAGAAGAAGAGGTAATAGAGTAACACCATAGTATACGAGCAAGTAGGGCCGCTCTCGTTGTTTGGCGCGTAAATGCCTACACTTCGCTCGGAGTAGGGTTGTTACATTGTTATTTTAGTTGTGCCGGTTGTAAACATAATTTGCAAACATTACGGTTTAATTATTAATACAAAGATCGAACACGCACCGAAAGATCGAACCGACGTCTTCTAGCATACCGTGCCAGATCCGTTCTGCAACGGTATGCTAGAAGACGTCGGTTCGAATCCGGCCGGATAAAAGAATTTTTTCTGAGTGTTCGATCTTTGTATTAATAATTATAGCAAACCAGTGGAATAATTTCACAAAAAATAATTGCATATCAATTCTATAAAAATTTAAAATTAAGGTTTATTTTATAATTCAATGCAGTACGTACTGGTACTACTACATACTTCGTTTCAATCCATTTTGAACAAAAAGTAAACAAACAAGTCACTGACCCGACCATAGACGGTTTAGTTATGGCCAATTGTAGCGCTAACTACAAATTGATTAATTAATTGAATGAATCGATTTGTTAAACTGAGTCATACTAGCGGTTTCTTTACATAACCTATATAAGCATATTTAAAATTTCAATTGAAATCCTCGTTCAAATCCTTACACTTGCACATACTTGTGCGATTGCGATTGAAATGTTCGATTTAATAATCGATTACTAAACTTTAATTGAATGAACCGAATGTTTTTTTCGAACAGCACTATGCAACCATAGGCAAGTCTTAGATAAAAAAGTCATGTATAAAAAAAAGTATAGATGAATAATAACCTCACTTTTGGACAACCATTTTTCAAATACGATTTTACGATGCTATTGAAATGAATATTGTTGGAGAAAGCGATGATATATCAAGTCGAAATCTTCGAAATATACGTGAAAGTGTTACTTATTCAATTTATTGAGTCATTGCTTTAGAATTTAACCGTTTTACCGAGGTTTGTTTACTTTTTGTTAAAAATGGATTGGAACAGACTATAGTACAAAATTGGTATCTTGATTATGAAGTATGATTATGAAATAGAAATGAAATGTTGAACTTTTCTGAATTTGAGATACTATTGTTCAAATTACCAAAACCACAACAATAAACACGTGTACTATGTGATATCATTATACGCTTCAATTTTGTAATGAATGGCGCAAGGGACGATCCGCACTATGTAACGTGATGGCACGGCGAGATTAAAATGCAATTGTGTGCGTCTTTACACACATACAACCCGCGGTGCTAAGTTTGTATGGAGTTACCCTACTTGTTTTACTATTATACTATGGTAATACTTTACTGTCTCAGTTAACGTAATATACCTTGTTTGGTGGCGCGGTGAAAACCTTGGTCTGCACGGGTGTGGGCACCTCCTGGACTACGTCGCCCAGGCCCTCCTCCTGCAGCGCGCGGAACGTCTCCGACTTGGCCGGGTCGTACAGCATCGTGGGCTTGTGACTGTTGGGCGGACGGCCGTGGACGGCGTGTGGACGGGGCGTTAGTTTTTAGTCGGTTAGCGGGCGCAACACAATAGTAGAGAAACACATTAGACTCGACAAGGTTCGTTAAGGGAACGCGGAAGCGGTTAGTACACGTCGGTATTTAGTTTTGTTTGTGTTTCAGGAAGGACAGGTCGATAAAAATACTAAAATTAATTATGTAGAATAAGTTCTTTATCTTAACATAAACAGGATGTAAACTTAACATCTAGTGTAAATTTCTGCCGCACCGATTCACACATAATGTTGTCGCGTGATCGTGAGGCGAATGAAGTGTCAAATGATTGCTGAACACTTCTAAGACCGACTTTGCGGGCGTCTCTACGTATGTGGGTAGACAGACCGAAGTCATTGTGTAGCGTGAAGAGACAAAGTCCGTAAAGAGTCGAAAGATAGCAAAATAAAAAATAAATAAGCATTAATGCGTCATGAGAGATGGGCGTCGACGTTGATTGGCGGCGTTTCTAGTAAAACACTTGCCTCTTGACAACGTGCGGGCGCCCGTAATGGCCGTTAGCGCTATTGATCAGAGAAATACTCCATTATTACACCATACTCTCTAACAAATAAACACAATATTAACAGTGAGTTCGAATTTAAATAACTGTGTATTTCTAAAAATTCAGTGTGATGCACATAAAGCCAGGGGATGTCTAATTTTATAATCCATTCTAAAATTAGATTCACTAAATTTTGCACACCGCTACTTAATATGACTCAGTATGTCTAAATTAATAATATGAAAACTGAATCTAAATATCACATATGCATATATATAATTTTGTACGTGATTCGAGTAGCTAAATGTGTGAGAATTGCGTCAAGTATTTTCTTACCTAACATTTAGCGTGTTAAGTTTGGCTTTGGGCCATGCTCCTGAAATTCAGTGCCAAGATATGCGTCGGCCACGAATGGTGACATTCAAATTTTTTAAATTTCCCACACAATATTACGACAATGCGTGTAAACACTTGTTTTCGAATTATCATTTCAGCAGCGATTTGCACGTTTTGTTTTAAAATTAACTTTGGAATACACGATCATTTTTATTTTTGCATTATGGTCGATTGAACGGTTATGTTCACTGACTTAAATTATGTAAGACAGAGCTCGACAACCTACTTCAGTGCGAGTAAGTTTTATATTTTCATCGCGGCATCTACAGCAGCATTTTACTACTATTGAAATTTATAAGTACTAATTAAATTTCACTTTAATATAAAGCATTTGTACTCACGGCAATGGCGAGGATTGTTGCCTTATCGAGTTAGCGATGTTCTGGTCCGAGTACAGATTAATCGGCGAGTTGAATTGCTTGTGCACCATCTGAAGAGATCCATTATATCAATATTAAACATTTTGTTGGTTACATTTTAAAAGGAGTTACAAAATTGTGCAGAACGTATTTAAAACAGTGTTCTCGAGATGTATACAATTTTGGTACAAGCTGGGTGTTGCTAGGTGTATCTACAGCCAACTCTACCAACAAAACACTGCAAGTCCCAGTACAGTATTTTGTAATTTCGTTACAATAAGAATCTTTCGGCAAGGCAAAACAAATTAATTAGTTTTTCAATAGAAATAGTTTATTTTGCAAAGTATAATGGCTAAATAGAATTCTTTAATATCTAATATTCAAAGTAAATTAAATGTATCTTTTATGTTATTGTTATTAACTAGAAAAAATACCAAAAAAAAACAAACAAAAAGTGTTGTGCGCAGCTTTACAAATTGCTGTTTTTGTTAAGTAATACAATGTATTGACAAAACATGGTGGAACTCTGCTTCACCTTCAGATGGCGTTATTCAGAAGCGGATTACAAAGGAGGAGAGGACAATATTTATTATTATACGAACACACCCTAAGAATGTACCAAACTACTATTAAAATATACACATTTTTGTAACTCTCTTAATATATTTTGTCAATGAAGATGGTAAAGGTCAACTTAAGAGTAAGGTTTTGGAAAGAGGTCGTTTTAACAGATATAATAAGTTAAAGAAACTGAAAGGTGATGACACCGATCAAATAGATGCTAAAAAGAAAATTAAAACGAAGATATCGACGCAAACTAGAAGCTCAAACAATGACGTATGAACAGATGAGAATGAGAGAGATGCCGATGATTTTTGCAAGTTTCATTCAAGTCTGATTATCTAGTCAATACAGTAGTTAAAGAATTTTGGAATTGGAAAACTATTTATCAAACATAAAACATATCTATCAAATACATAGTCGTCGCAAATTCAAAAATGAAAGTGGACATTGAATTTATTAAATAAAAAAAGATTTGAGACAAAATGGCCGAAAAGTGAATAAGTTATTCTGCTTTTTTAAACGATTACCCGCGAAAAAATGTATGAAAATTAAATAATTGAAGGAAAATTTAAATCTGGCAGTATGGTTAAAGACGCCTTAGCCAGTCCCTAACGACGAAAAATTATACTACTAATTATTGAATAAATAAAAAACAGAGGTGAAAGGGTTGGCATGGACTATTACTCGATGAGTAGGTACAATGTATTTATGATCTCGCAATAAATCATCAGCAAGAAAATTCTTCGTCCTAGAAGTTTGTTTCAAGTCATGCGTAAGCAGCACGCGAGTTAACCACCTTATTTCCATCCTCGCCCACCACTCGCTGCAGCACCGACTCGGCAACCTGAGTTCCCAGTAAAACAATCTAAATGTAATGTCAGCCAATTCGTGCGCTACACTGTTATTTCAATACTTCTGAAGGCACGTGAAATTAGCAAGAGGATTCTTTATTAACCCATCACGTGTCCTAAAATGTTGGATTAAAACACAGCTGCGCGTTCCTCGTAAGACGACGCAGTCAGTCACTTTAAATTTTTTAAATATGGTAGGCTAGTAGAATCGTCTAGCCGCTTGTCGTTTTTTCAAAACAATTTTTAAGTGTCTTGCTAGTTTCTCGTTACTTCAGTTAAATAACAATTTTGATCTATAGAAATTCTACAAATTAATTCGGTGCCTTATACAGCGTCTACAGGTGTTGATTCCACACATATCTACCCCTAATTTTGGGTGTTTGTGTTAATTGGCTGTACGTGGGTGTAGGTATTTTGAGTGTGTTAAATAAATGAATTGTTTTGTGCGGTGCAGTGTGTGCGGCAAAGTATCTAGATAGCTGCTGTAGATAATCATGCTCCTAACCCATCTACTATTTAAAAAATAAACATAAGTTATCGTTTGAAAATAGAAGGACAGGCAACGGAATCTTATTTTAGAGCTTTATTACGTATCTATATATTATCTATAAGAAATTCATATAAATTCATAGAAAGAAAAATACCTTTCAGTTTTCATTGAGTCATATTTTTTATGAACTCGTAATTACGCGTTTATCTGCCATTTGACTAAGCTAACGTACAATTAAATACGAAATTGAAACTTATTTAAAAAGGGTTAGATTCAAAATTAAAATTCTGTAATAGCTCACCTAATAATTACTGTCAATGTGAATATTTATTTTATGCTTTTTGGGATTTCGCATTTAAACTAGGAATCCTTAGTGGAGTCATGGCGGTCCGTCTTTTGGTATCGTATATCAAATATTAACAAAATTGCATACAAGGTTGAGACATTCTTTTAAGTAAGAAAATACTTGTATCAGGAGGTCTCAAAACGAGGTTTTCAGCTCAAGGTCCTATACAACGAAGAAAAAAGCTACGTCTACTTCTTTGTTGGATTATCGTAAGATAGGTTTTGTAAAATGCAGCAATATAATGCGTTATATTAGGTACTCATATACGTTGAACGGTTAAGTTTCGAGATCGTAAGTCTCAACTTCGAAAGTCAAAAATATAACAATTTACTTAGGTAAATTAGGTTATACCTACTATTAATAAAAATGATACCCGACTTTGTAATAAGAATAACAGATAATTAAGGTTTTCGAAATAGCATATTTATGAATTTCACCAAATTCCACCAATTAATGGGGCATATTTTTAAAGTTGGAACAGAATGTGGTTGAATTGAGTTACAGAACGGGTACGGAACTCTATCAGACGCGTACCCGACACGCCGTGGTCAGTTTTTACTGCATTGCAATGATATCTTTAAAATATTTGTAATATCAGAGTAATTAGTGTTTTTGGTAATGCACTTACCCTCTGTTTCATGACAGTATCACGGTAGTCGTGGTGTGGGGGTGCACGGATGGCGGGGTTGGGGTGGTGACGCAGGTAGCTTTCTGTGGGGCCAGGCTCACGGCGGACCTTGGCGCCGGGCAACACTAGAGGTGTTGTGCGGTATGGCTGAAACGACGAAATCAGTCATCAACATTATCTTGAGTTAATTCGCATTAACAGCAGTAGGTTATTGTATTAAGGCCTACTAAGAAATTCCTGTTGCAATCTTAACGCGAACAAAATATAGTTAGTATAGGAGTCCCCCTACTCCCCCTAGGCTTACCACCTAGCCCTCAATTGCTTTACCAGAATAGATTTCATACTAAGTAAACTATGTACGTCTTACCATCTATTTGAGGTATTGGCGACCTCGGCGGCTTAGCGGTTTGTATTATGACGCTGGATGAGGAGGTCTCAGGTTCGAATCTCGGTAGGGCCAATTTGGGGAAATGTATTTTTGTAAATTGGTTCTGGTCTGGGTTGTCTGGCACATTATATTATCTAACAATAACTGCCATACATCAAATATCGTAATCATAATAAGAAATTCAAAAAGAACAATGGGAAAAGTTGACAAAAAAAAATTACGTATGAAATAATACTATTTTTTTTATGATATCAAGTGACGGGATGAACAAGTCGTGCGCCTGATGTTAAGTTATACGCTTGTCCATAACAGTTGCAGTGCCACTCAGAACTTTAAATTGCAAAGATCTGAGGGGCACTGCCACTGCGCCCGTCACCCTGAGACATAAGTGGACAAGTCTCATGTGCTTGTAATTTCACCAGCACCCTTAACCTTCCGGTTCCGGTTTTTTTTAAACCGAAACACAGTAATGCTGACATTACTGCTTGGTAGTAGAAATAGGTAAGGTGGAAGTACTTCCCTGGACGAGCTCTATTGCTACTAAAACGAATAGTGCACCAGTCCGTTACACCATGTACCAAGTAATACTAATTATATAGATATATCGGTTTTCCAATCAAACACAGTTTTGTGATATTTGGTACCAGCCAAAAGAAGTACATCGCAGTCATTTTTTAAACTAAATTGCAGGTTATCATAAATTACTTCGTGAATTTCTTCACTTAAGTATTAAGGGCTACGATTTCAAGATTCTCTAAATAAACATGGAAATACGTACATTACTTTCCTATCCCGCGAACCGAGAAGGTTAAATTTGTGCAAAATAGTTGCGCTCGTTTGGAGTTTTTTTCACGTAAAAGCAAAGTCATTTAGTCCCATTTTTATTAACATGGGTTTTCGCAAGAGAATGCCTGAATGTATAAATTGTTTCTTTATTTTATTTGAAGTTGTAAGAAACCAGGAGTCACATAATGAAATTAAATTCTACTTTAGAATAAAACAAAATTATGCTACATTTTAACAATAAAGGTATGGAATAATGTTAAATTATAACTTATGAATGGTTTAAATTTTCGAACGTTAATTTGAAATTTCGTCTTACTACAAAACGTGGAATTTTATTGATATGTATCCTTCATCCCGGTATTAAAGCAATCTTAATATAAAACGAGGTTGTACAAGGGCGATACAAATCATGACATACTTTCTGGCTTCTAATTTACTCTGGTGTGCAATTTAATTGAGGTCAGGTTGTGATACATTACTAAATAAAGGCCAGGGATACTATAAAATTTGAAACACAATTGTCTTTTTATTTGCAAATGAAACAGTACCATTTAGTTCTTTATACAAGAACTTTAACGACAACGCCACTTAAGCGAAGATAAAAGAGTAGAGAAGCACAGAAGATTAGTTTGAAGAGTCAATAGAATTAGAAGTTTTATTAATGGAATGTTGTAACAGGATAACGGCTTATCTTTTATTTAAAGAGTAACGTGAAGGCACTTTTAATGGAGTAAGTGTGAGTAAACGCCGGCAGCTAGCCAGTTAAATTTATCAGATTCTTTTCGGTTCTGAAGGTCAAAAACGTCGAAATTGTCATCACAGAGGCGATGGCAATTTTGCCATCAAAGAAAATCGTGATAACAGAGGCGTCACTCACGCCAATAACCACAAAACCTAACGACTATTTCAATGTCATAACGAAACCTGTATGACTAAATATAAATAACACGTAGAGTCGAGAGAGATTAAAGTCATCTAATTGTGAAGTCACACTTCGAATAATCAATAACAAAATAATAACAACAAGCTTTATCTTGTGAAGATAAATATAAGTATTTTCTAATTTCGAAATGAACAGTAACAACGTAAAGCACTAAATGCTTATGTATATTTTCTACTGAAGTAAGTAGACACTATAGGATAAGTATTCAATGTGCGTCGTAAACAACAAGGTATGACAACAAAAGCTTGTAACGAGCATAAAATTTGCCAATCGTACAAGCTTCAAGTTTATTTCGGTCGTGTTTACAAAATCGCGCTTTCGACACTGACGCAATGCTCTATTTCGTCGTTCTGCAAAGACGGTCGAATGTTTCTTATATTTGATGTTTGTAAGTACTCGTTCGTTACGGAAAATGACGAAAAACAGGTTTTAAGAATTCAATAAGCGAATAATAACGGCAAAAGGTATAAATACAAAACATTTGCTTCGCAATAATAAATGTGCATCTTCCATCATGAGCAACTACGTCGAGTTCCTGAAGACGCGATTTGGATAAATACTAACAGGATTTCCAAAAGTAATCTTATTAATGGAACGCTGTAACAGATGGCGGCTTTTCTCTTATTGAAAGAGTAACGTGAAGGAACTTTTAATGGAGTACGTATGAGTAAACGCCGGCAGCTAGCCAATTATCTTAATCAGATTTTTTGACGGTTTTGAAGGCCACTACAGAGGCGATGGCAATTTTGGCATCAAAGATAATCGTGATAACAGAGGCGTCACTCAGAAAGTTCAAGTGGGTGTTAAAATATTCGAGCGACGTGACATTGGTATCAAAATAACTATTACGTCTGGCGATATTATGTCAACTCGAGGTCAGTAAATTTATTAATTTTAAATTAATTTCGAGAAGAAAGTGACAAGATGATGTTGAAATCAGAACGAACTGGAACGATTGGCGTTTTTAAGAATCGGAAAATTTAACATGGCATGTTGAAAGATTTAAAGTTGTCGTCCTAGTTAGCAGAAATTAACTTTTATTAAATATATTACGACAGAAGTGAAAAAGTAGATGTTTTCGGAAAATTTGATGATAGAACGTTCACTATTATACTAAGAATCACTGAAGCAGAAGTGTGTCAATATAATTAATTAATACGGAACAAATTCGTAATACATCTCGCGAATTATAATTTCAATTTTAAGTGGAAAGTTTCGGGAATATAACAGACACAACTACGCGTCCTGAACATATCAGATGAGAATAATTGAGTAATTTAGGGTTTTAGGAAAAAAGCTGTTCTTAGCACAAAATTTTTGACATACCGGAACGACAAATGTTTACATTCTCGGAAAGTTCGATATGACAAGCTTAGAGATGGGAATCTGAGTTCGCAGAAATTAGTTTTGTTAACTTCTCACTAAATATCTCAAAACAAGGTAAAAAGTCAAATGTTTCCGAAATATTTGGTGATAGTACATTCACTAACTATACTAAAAATGGCTGCAGTGGAAGTGTGTCGAAATAATTTATATTTAAAAAATTTACAACATTCAAAACATTTCGCGAATTACAATTTCGATGAAACAGAAACTTTCGGAGGTATAATAGCTACAAAACAAATTCACATGAGTATAATTTTGTAGTTTATGGTTTTATGAAGAAATACATTTTTAGCACACCATCGACAGTTCTTACATATTCAAATAGAACAGACCACTCTTCATTTCCAAACGGAAAATTTGCGTCGTAAACTCGAAGCTCGAAAGTTATTACATCACATATTTTGTAACACTACGCGCTGGCTTCAAGTGTTCCAAAAATAGATTGCGCTTGAACATTTGGGATAACGAAATGTAACACCCAAATTGTACCACCAGATTGAAGATGCACAACATCTGGAATGGATTCGCAGCCACGAAAACGAAAACGTAATTGATACGATTACATTGTGAAGATTACAGGGTAGCACGAACGAATGTTTAGTAAGCGGTGAGACGCACCCAGTTGGTGACCACTTCCTCCTCAGGATGCATGGGGTCCTGATATCCGTTGGGAAAAAAGTTGGGGTTGACCGCCATTGTTGTAGCACTCGGTAGCGCGGACGTGTTTCGTACAGCGTGCGATCGCGAACTGCCCGCTCCAGCGGCCCTCTCCCGAGGAAACAAGGCGATTTCTATGCAGTCTATTTTAGAAATATAGTGGGAAAATGGGTGACGTGGGCGACAGCCTCCGCACTACCAAAACCTTGCGATACACGTATATTAAAACTATTATTTATTATTTCAAAGTAAAATAATAAAATGGTTCAAACAAATTTATTGAATACTTACACCGATTCGACAAATAAATTAATCTTCAAAGAGACTTTTCATAGAGACGTTTCCAATCCAGCTTTACAGGATGTTATTTGTAAACAATTACAAATGAACACGTAAGGTGCGTAAAGTTTACTTAAATAAGTGTCTATGATTCTACTAATTTATCAGAAATTTCTTTCTACTCTGAAAGCGATTGTCATGCTTGTATCCTGTTTTATTTTCCACGTTTATGCAACGAAAATAGATCACGAATTCCCAATGTATATTTGATGTAACGTAACGTTTGGATGGCTGGGCGTATAATCGCGAAACATTACTCATGTTCATTGCTAAGTAGTAGAAATGCCGCCAGCGTGGCTATTATTGCCGAACGTGAATCAGATGGCGAATTTAGCCAGACTCCAGAATATTCCAACGACCGATGTATAAAGTTGTATGGAAAGAGGGCATATTCAGACGCTCTGTGTGTCCTATAGGGCCCCCAGTTTATCTCTGCCGTAGTGTCACCGGCCTGAGAGTAGCCAATTAATAACACATCATTAGATATTAACAGTATCTTGGCCAAGTTCCAAAATGTGTCAGGAGTCGATATAAGCGGGGATTCGTTAACCTATATTGGTTAAAACATCAAGGACGATCCCAAGATATACATTCAATGTACAAGCGTAGCTAAGACCATAAGTTACAAAAGATACATTCCCAACGGTTTAGGAGGTGATACTATTTAACTAAATGGAATAATATAAAGGAAGATACTCTATAGAATTTTCATTGAACCTCTGTGCCAAAATTAGGCCTCTTCAAATAAGTGAACATAGAAATGACATGACAAACGATATGACAGCAGAAGCAACTCAACTAAATCATTTGGCAGGGCACCAGGATCAAAAATTACATACTACGATTGCGGAGGGCAAATTACATAAATTGATATCGACACTGCCAACGGATATATACCAGAGATCAAAATTATACGGCAAATTTAATATAGTAAACTATATATAAAAAATAATTTAGTAAACGGCATCATCCAGTTTACGTATCTAAAATTTAAATTAGGAATTCCAGACCATCAACATCAAAAAAATTAAACAGCTTCATAGTACTCTAACAGGAAAAACAAATTTACATAATGTAAACAAAAGTAAAGTTGATAGAATACAATGTATGTTTATTTATTATACAGTACCAAGACAGAGACAGACAGATGGAGGAAATTCTGAAAATATGTCAGTCATTAATATCATGCACACTTCATCTATCATTCGGCATTTTAATAAAAGCCGCAAGATGTCTACTGAGCTGAATATATAGCGTGAGTCATAAAAACAACAAAAAAAAAGCTCATTATATTAAGAAAAAATTTATACGGAAAATACGCGCAATGTGTTATTTCGGAAACAAGCTCGATCATACAAAAGTATGTAGGTAGGCAAGAATTCTTTATTCTTTGTTCAGCATCTGGAATACAACTAATTCAAGATTGTGGACGATACTTTCATTCAATATTATGTCACAAGAATCTAGTAGAATTTTAAGGGGCGTCGGTCTCAACTCGCAACCTGTGAGGTACCGCGTCCAAACCGTATCTTAGCAGGACTCTAGTAGAATGTTTATTGAAAGGAGTCCTAGGAGCCTCCTGCTGGAAGGGCGACAAATCGGTAACAGCACCATTATATTAGTATCGCAATTGAAAAATATTCTTAAGATAAAAGCGTAGAAGAACAATTGTATTGATACTAGCACTTGTTAACCTCTTAACGCAGAAAATTAAAAAAAATACCCATAGAGCTATAGGAGCATTTAGGAAATGGACTCACCTGGCTTGTAATAGATTCATCAAATGTTTCGTCAGTGCGCGTCGACGAGGGCGACAGCAAGTATGTCCTGTAATCCCCTTCGTACTGGACGGGGAACTGGCCATAGGGAGGAACTGGGGTTCTTGGTAGAGATTCGGGGCCTTTGCCGGTCCATGGAGCAGGTGATGGTGGCAGTGGGCTAGGCGTCCTGTCCACAACACATTAAAGAAATAATCCTTTTAGATGCGTGTCTGTAGCGTTTCGTATTATTTAACGAAATCATTATCAACTCAGCATATGTCCGCTGTTGGGCACGGATCTCCTCTAAGGAAAGGCTGAACCAATGAAGATTGGTGACTGCACGCGTTTGCTAAGGATTGTGAACCGAAAAATGTATATGAATAGAATGCGAATAGAATGACACGTAAGTTTCACAAGTAAATTGATGGAGGTACGTTTACATAGTGGTCTCTATATTGGGATCTATATTATCTGTATTAGAATATTGTTTCACAAATTTACAATGATGTTTGAAAAGTCAGACACTGATCTGAAATTTACTGTAAGTTATCTCTTGTTAATCATTGACTATTACCATTTGAAAACATATAAATGTAATTTTAATAGTAACAAATCCGAAGATCTCTGTAAACTTGTCAATCAATGAACAACATCGCATCATACAAAATGAATGAACAACCATCTTCTACTCATACCTGTAAGGTGGCGCAACAGCATTCGGGATAGGCGACCGTGGCGCGTGCGACGCACCTCTGGGCCCTTCCCGGTCCACGTCCCTACATACAACACACCATGCTCAATGAATGGAGTAGATTTGTTCAGTGCATATATGTACATATAACGTATAAAACGTCAACAAAACTTTTATGAGTAATTCAGTCGAAAATAAAATATCAATGTAATAAAAAAATTTGAATATCTTAATAGTAAATAGAATATTAATTAATTTATTGTCAGTTTAAAATTGAAAACCTTTCTTCATTTTGTATTTTTTTTAAGATATCAAATGACGCGAAGAACAAGTCGCGCACCTGGTGATAAGCGACACGCCTGTGCTTAACATTTACAGTTCCACTCAGAGCTTTAAATCACAACGATCTGGGCAGCACTGGCACTGTGGCCATCAACTGAGACACAAGTTAACAAGTCTCAGCTACTAATTTCATAAGTACCCTTCCCTTCAAAACCGGAACGCAGTAATGCTCTCACTATTGCGTAGCGGGAGAAATAGGTAAGGTGGCAGTACTTCCCTGGACAAGGTTTGTCACAAGGAGCTGTACTGCTACTAAATGTGTCTTGATATTCTATTAAACCACATAATAATTGAATAGGATGTTACAAAATTATAGTTAGAATTGGTCCAATAAACATAGATTTACCCAACATTACGTCAAAACGCTGAGCCTTAGTTCTTTCATTATCGAAATGAGCCTCAATAAAATTAAACTTTGCGGTTATAATAATAAAATCCATATGTATATTAAATCCCTAATTTTGTGTAACGGAATATAAGCAGGTTGTGTTGACGTTTAAAAAAAATTGTAAATGTAAACAAGATTGAGTACAAGGGTAACATACGTAAACATACGTGCTACGTGATTCAAGTAAGGTATACAAATCCTTTCAAGAATAGTGGCAAAAAGCAGAGTAGTCTTTTTAAACTTATTACACAGCTGTATTTAGTGTGCCTTAATTTTGCTTTTGTGAACAAAACTTTGGCATACAATTCGTCGACTTTGGGCCCCAGATAGGTCTCAGGTTTTTTAGACCATATTACTAGGTGTGTTGTAGGCCGCTATTCTAGAAAGGGGAGATACCTAAAGCAACATTTTATCACAGTTTTTGAAATTACTTTACAACACATGAAAGGTAAAATCATAACTACAGAAATACAATCAGTTTGCTTGAATATAACAAAATAGATAGTTGTATTTTATGTAAGTATTATTATAATTTTTATGGCAACATATAAAACGATTGGCATTCCTGCAATTTCGTTAGGATTACGGATTTACGGAATCTCATGCACAGGGTTGCATGTGGAAAAGAACTGTTGGTAAAAGAAATAAGTTCATTTTTAGTAGTTGTAGTAGGTTTGACTAGCTAGGCATTCATTATGCCGCACAGAGTAACACATAACAAATACAATTAAACTTTCAAAACCGGAATCTCCCCGTGTAGCTGATACAACCGCACAACTCTCGAAGCAGAATTGCTTAATTTTCTTTATAGCATAGGCATAGCACGCATTGTTATAACTACACATCATGTCTATTTTGCACGTATTTTATCATACTTTTGATTTTCTCTGTATGATGTGTGACCACTTGACCAGCCCTATATAAACTTATTTCTTTATGTGTATGTAAGTCTTAGGAATAAATACGTACAATAATGGGAAGTTTATAAAGTACTAATCTATAAATTACGACAACAATATAACATGCCGTTTTTCTCATACAACATGAACAGGCGAATATGCAGACTTGAGGTGCGAGCTATATTTAATGATACTGCATCTGTATCATGGGGATTTATGTGAACTCTATATTTTACAAGTGAAACTATTTTATAACGCAAATAGTGTCGTAAATAATAATGTGCCAATATTAATGAATTATAACGTTTTTTGTCGATAAATTGAAATGATACCTTTATAAAAATTTTGTATAATAAATATGAGATTGGTAAAATATTGAATTCTTAAAAAAAATAATTGAAATAAGTACAGTTAAATTTGTTGTATAACATCCCCCTCCGTTGAGAATAACCTAATAATCAAATCAAAACCAAATAATTTCCTCAATAATATTTATTACACCTGAAACAAGCGTATAAGAAATCGAAGAAGTTACACGTTATACAGATTCAGTATCATGTAAGATAGTAGGTATGGAAATTAGCACCTTGGTTGCGCCTAAGAGTAACTAACGCACGAAACAAAAACTTTTTTTAATTCACATAATAGGTACGCACGGCTACCATAATCTAAAGCATGCAGACTGTTATTGTTTGGACATTGCAATTTGAATTTTATACATGATCAAGAACACGATGAAGAAGAGAATATATTTAATTTAAAAAAAATTACAGCGTACATATAATAAGGATTATTACGGAACTTTCTCCTGAACGTAGGGATTTCGGGAACATTTTTCTCGAAATTCCATCTACCCAAAGCTAGTTAATTCGGATATTACAAATACTGGAAAAACAACTAGGTACTCAAAGTGTCAAAATTATATCTAATGCCAAAATTTTTGTCGATTCTTTTCTGTTTCGGATAGCGTAATCAGGGGGGACTACGGAAGTAACCCCAGCATAGTAGCCTTGCGTACCTAACAAATATCTTTTAGAGATAGTTCTCCGAAATATTGGACGATATAAAAGAACATTAGTTACTCTCAGGTAGGAACAGACACCTAAAATGCATTGTTCTTACTCAGCGAATTCATGATAGAATGTGGGTGTAGGCACACGCCCTACAAAGCTGCCGGATGCACGCGGTACTGAGTATAGGTGAGGACCCGATCCGCCCCTGTGGTTACACTTTACCTTCATTCCTTATTAACACTTTATGAAACTGTTTTTTTAAATTTATCAACTATTTTGAGTAAAACTGGACATTTCGAATCCTTTCACGTCGCCGTAACAGCCAAAAGTGGTATAGTTAAGGCAAAAGGCTGAAAAACCATCGATTAGTGGAATGCATTCCTTAAGCGATATTTTAAAAAATCGTTCATCATCAATAGAGCCAAACTGCATAGTTTCAAAAAGTGTACATTCAAATATTGCAATAAAGTAAACAAAGATTGAGGCCAGCAGATGTAAAGCATAAACTATCAGGATCATAACAGCTTAACAGTGCCAATATTTATGCCAGTTTAACAGTTGCTTTATAATTTAATAAATATCTTCCAAAATATTAAGCGAGATTGGGAATTTGATGTAATTTAAATTCAATATGAATTTATTACTCTTACTGTCGAAAGTGATCGTTCAATTTACATGAAACTATAAATAGTTCCGATTTTACTTTCTAACAAGCATTTATAATAACGTTTAACAGAAACACTTCTAGTTTCTCCTCACTCGCTCTCGTCAAAGCCTTGTCATTGAGCAGTAAAGTTCGACGTTGGAAAAATTGACCTACTGGAAAGTTAAAACGTGTAACGTGCATTTGGAAAATATTACAATAGAGCGAATTAATGTATTTTTTTAAGAAAAGAAAAAATATAACTCTAATTTGATTTGTTATATCGTAGTGTTAATGCGAATTACTCGCATGTGATTTCTATGTAATTTTTCAGGACGAAGATAGAAATGTTTGTAGTTAGCATTTTAACTAATTCAATTATACCTCTTTTAGATACTATATTACTTTCATAATATATTTGAGCAAGAAGTTTATAAGTTTTTCTTCAACAAAAATCAGTAAAAATGAATTATGTGGAAACGCGTATGCGAGATATGGAAAAGCTGAAATTTTGTAGCTTTCCAAGTAGCTCTCGTGTAATATTTTCCAAATGCACTTTAGACGTTTTATGTTTCCTGCGTCGAGTTAAAGATGACGATTTTATGTGTAATTTGCATAGAGATGATATAGAGATCTTAAGTTTCAGTTTTATGTTTCTTTACCTTTGTACAACAATTCTGATTTGGTTGCCAGCGTTCTTGAATAGATTCTGTGCGTCCTCGTGTCGTAGATCTCTCGCGTCGTAATCGTCGATCTTTGCGATTATGTCTCCGCGGACCAATTCGCGTCCAGCGGGGGTGCCCGGGGTCACCTGGAAATGTTTGAATACAATCTTTTTATTTTTTTGTACTATACACTAAATAGCAGTGGCATGTTTGAAGATAAGCCAACGTAGCAAATGCAGTAATTTTGTTTTTTTAACTTTTAATCATGCTATATGGGCTCTTCACTGTTGTTAAAACATTGTGAAGAATTTAATTACATATCTGTATACTAATACTGATGCTTTCTTTTTAATCAGACAGGTTTTAAGTAAATAAAGAACTTTCTCTTCTTCTTTTTTCAAATGTTATGGCTCCATCGAAGTAATCGATAAAAAAAATCGTTTTGATATCCGTCAGTCAATGTCACATGAGACCTTTGTTTGGGAGCCATCATCGCGTCTCTGCCCTAAATACGTGGAGCCAGAGTCTTTTGGGTTTTCGCGAGGTGGGCAATATTTTACCTACGTTTGTTTGCGTTGTTCTTATTTCAAAAGACCATTATGTTGTTTAAATTGTCCGTGAAATGTTAATTTGTGTAAATTATGGTTTACATCTGTGACATTTCGCACATTAAACCAAATACTGTTATAACTTAAAATTGTGGATTTGAGAAAACACGATTTGAAAGTTCAAAAAATTACTGAATGAAACCAACAAATTTATTTTTTCGTTTATACATGGATAACTAAATATTATGTACAAATCAAAGCAATCAAATTATTCAGAATAAGATCCATTCAGTATGTTTTTTAAACTTCCAAATAGTGTCTTCTCAATTACAGCATTTTTTAGTAATGACAGTATTTTGTTTCAAATGCGATCAATTGTGACATCTATTGCAACAAACATCGTTCGTGTAGGTGCAATGCGACCATCAAACAGGATTAGGTCTACAACTTTATTAACATTAGTAAAGACAAGAAAATCGCAGAAGAAATCTCGAAGCCTATTATCAAAACATGCAAAGAATAAAAGTCACCCAAGCAGAATAAACCAAAATGGCTGAATTAGGACACAGAATCGTAATCAGAAGAGTGCACAAGGGCGAACTTTGAGTCACATAACAGCCAAGATTCTCCTTATATTTATTTAGGCTGGTGGTTCTCCGTGAAACGGAACAAAGTACGTCAGTCAACGTTGTTAAAGTAAGGACGTTTATAGGCGTAGATCCCTTCAAATATTTCTTGTGGACTCATCAAATAATGTCTATCGTATGTTATTTCCTCACACGCCAAATCCAACCTATCATAGTCGTAACTGTCTAGTCCTGTCGCCGACAACTGGGATTTGTTTGCACTAAGTTAGCCGATTGCGAGTGCGCGATTAGGTAAAACGCAAACAGGTGTTTGAATTTTTTGTGCTAACGTTCTTTCGCGCGCGATTGGGCGTGTTCGCTTTTGTTACAACGAAAAGAGCGTCCATGCAAAGACTAATAGCGCAGGATAGACCGCATGAAATTAGCGCGTGTTGAAGTGCGCGATTGATGAGCGCAATCGCGTGGTCTTTCCCTTTTCCTTCGAACGCCTTTACACGTGCGCTCAATCGCGCACGATTGCTGTATCGCGCGCGATAGTGTCTGTGTAAAGCCCGCTAGTCATTAAGTACCATTATCATAGATATTAGTGCATTGTTGTAGGTACCCGTAACTGCTATAGAAGAGGAATTGAATAACACAATGCTTTCTTCTTTTACAAACAGAATAATTACTCAAACTCTGTGAACAACGTCAACCAAAATACATTGACATTTTTCTTATATAGGTGCTGCTCAACGTGCTAAAATGGGTCATGAAATTCGAAACTCCTAGCCTAGATCCTTAACCCCAATCTTTAAATAAACAAAAATAATGAAATTGCTTTGGTCTTTGCAATGCTAAACGTCAATATTGATTCAGGCTTCCAAGAAGATGTTACTTCAAAGCATATTAACTCCCATTAGTTTAATGTATCTCCGAATTAAGGTTCGCGCTCATGTTTTCACAATTTATTATTTGATATATTAATAAAATAAATATGTAGGCAATATGAAGTAACTACAGCGTAGTGGGTATTTTAAAGCTAGCAAATGACCTATGTGTAAACAGCCAAATGTTATAACTATCATACGTAATGTCGCGCAACTCTCGAAGGTGAGTGAAACCGTGACATTCTCACTGTTATATAGTCATCCGAAATGACCATGATTTGGCTTAGGAAGGTACATATAGGTGTATAACACAGGACGCGATATTTCTGTTTAATTCTTACATTACGTTTTATAACTACAATAAAATCAGGATTTAATTTGGCTAGAGAAAATATATGTATAGAGAAGGGATTTTTTATTTGAGATTGTAGGCTAAGTAGACCCATAGATTAAGTTAGACGAACGATGCATCGATAGCTATGTTGACCTTGATATAGACGGCAGGGGTAGGTGGCGCGTATGCACCCAGTTTGGCCTACGGCCAGGCTAAATGCGTCCACCGGCGTCGGCGCGCCAACGACGGCCGAGATTTTTATTGAAAACAACCGCCGGATTCGATGGAGGCCGCGTCGCATTGACGGCTCGACCTGCGCAAATTCATCACACACTTCCTAGAGTCAATGGCGAGGACATATGACTATATTTACACTTGTCCATCAGCATCTAGCGCGTGTCACGTCGGCGATGCGAAATTCTCGCGACGTCAATTCGTTGCGCTCACAGCTAGCAAGGCGCTGATGTATGAAATTAGTACGTTTTACATTGTTGCTGGCGAAAGTCCATGTTCTCAGATTGTATGAAGTACGTGGGTGAAGGGTGACATGTATGTATTATTTCAGTCGAAATTACACAGAGTAACATCAAATTATGTCATCTTTTAGCTAATGATAAGTGCTGAAAGCCCCCATTCATTTAAGACAAGTTACTAGAAGTGTTCAAGTGACGCAGTTCTCATTTGCTCTATTGTGTAACAGATCGATTGGTTCTTAAAACGAAAGGAATGTAAACAGCATAATTAATTATCTTCAAACAGCGTTGCATCTACAGCTGAAGTGACACATAAATCAACAGTTTGAAAATCGCTGCCAAAAAGTGATATTAGCTCACGAATACGCTAATTGTCAAGTATGCTGATGAATATGTTGTTTTCGTCCCTATTACCCAATTCCACTGAAGTATTTTTATCAGAGGTATTTTAAAAACAAACTTCAATCGAAAAGTATCGAACGAATTTCCTCACCGAAGACCACATGTAAAGGAAGCAATAAGTATTTTATTGCGCACCTTAAATAAAAACGAGATCAAGGTTAGACCGACAGATTTATAGCAATCAAGGTCAACCGGAAGATAGCTCTAAGTGCATTCTATACCTATATAGCTTAATCGAATTAAACATACAACAGACGTAGGTAATACGTTAGCCATAACATTACGACTGTCTACAACAAAAATCATACATACATGGTTTAAACCACAATACAAATATGCACAAGCGAAGGAAATGTGGGAAATCCACGTTGGATGATCGATCATAAAGTCCATTTGCCCTTTGAAGCACATAAATAAAAATCAAAATAAAAGCACATAAATAACTATAGTTGACACAGGATCAGTTATAGTTATTGCAGGTCCGTTACTCGTTTGTATTGCTAGAATTCAGAAAATAAGTTTAGTAATAATGAAACAGGCCATATAATGAATTATGCAATTTTTCTCTAATTCTATGTTATGCGAGTTTCACTGGGAGTAATTACCCCACAGATATGATTATGATATGCATAGCTACAGATGAAACCTTTGAGTTTCCCGATGTGGGTTTGTAGCAAAACGTTTAATAAAAATTCATTTTTATGTAGTAGAATGCATAGGTACACGTATTTTCAGAGTAGAAAATTCGAGCTCGATAAAAATAAACATAACTTTTATTGCGTAGGTTAATTACAGTCATTCTATGGGTTCATAGAGCTTAAGAATAGGGGTTCAAATACGAATGCCAGTTATTGCTTTTCTGCAACTTTGGGCCGACATTTAGTGTCGCAATACAACACTCATTTTTCCAAAAAAAAAAGCGTTTGTTTATGCTGATTGCGTATCATAAAATGTTTTTATGATGTTGTTTACCAAAGTGTCCTAAATTATTGTTCAGGAAGTTTCATATGGAGTGAAACAATACGACTATTGAAATTTGCACAGGCGGGCTACGTTGGAAAGCATGTCACAAACAATAAACAGATTTTTTTTAAATAAGTGCCGGCGTCGTCAGGGTGTTAGTAATATTGAGGTCAGATGTCTTCGCCGGCAGCTGTCGAAGTCCGGTGACCGATACTATCCCAGAATAAATAGGATATAAAGAGACACGCCGTCGGTCGTTCTGGATTTAATAATGTGGAATTTATCTACAAACAATACTTTGATGTTTTTTCGACCGCGCTTTTGTAGTGTTTCTCAGTATGTGATTAGATTCAAACCACACAAGAAAATATAACGAATTATGTTGATTTTAATGGAGTATAAACTGGTTACGAAAACATTTATGTTTTCCATATACGAAATAAATAATTTATTTATTTTGTCACCACTATTTAGGTGTTTAATAAATCGAGAGCTTATTTTATGCCTACGCGCGATTACAGTAGAGTCGTTTAATCATCCGCTTTTTGATTAATGAACACACTGTAACGCCGGGTTAACCAATATTATTGCTGGAGTGTGGTTTGTTTACACCGGCGTCCAATGTTTTCTTGCTCCGCGTTTCGATGGACTGGTGATAATGGGCGTACCCTGGTGACGATGAGCGGGGTGGCGAGGTCTGACCCGCCGACGAGCCGCAGCCCCCAGTTGGTGTCGCGGCTCTCCCGGCGCAGTGTCACCACGAACGTATGCAACCGCCCCATGACGAGGGGAGAGGGGTTCGATGCACTGGCGCGAGAACGCGCGCTCGTTGCGCGGACGGTGCGAGTTCGACGGGAAGACGCGGAGTTGTGCGCGCAAAATTAGCCTCAACGCAAACTCCTCACCCTGCCCCTCCCCCCGTGGGTCTGCACCGTCTGCATGTACCACTAGTCCACTATCACATACAACCCTGCGTCGCATTCGACCTACTTTGATTTACGGAAACTAGAGGAAATGGCGCAAATTAACTTTCTGATGACGTAATGTATGAACATCGTGTTTATTTACTGAATTAATTTTTGGATCGTGTTAGAGGACGTGCTCTACATTACGGGACGCGGGTTGATTTATTTTGTTGCGATACTAATTACTTTACAGGCAGCTGCATCTGTGCATATAATATCGTGTGTGTTTATTAATCATTAGACAATAATAAAACTTATCAAAACACATACAATGAAAGTTATAAATCAACCTAGGATGTAAATATTTAATACAGCAACTTCATGTTTGTTTATTACAGGACACAACAACAAAACAGCAACCGCAATAAAAATGAGACGAAAGTAACTAGTGCAACTAAGTTGGCGCAAAAGTATGCAACGAATGAAAATAGTTATGATCAAGTTTTAATTCTTTTTATATTGGAGTTCATACTCATTTCTATTACTTACGTCATTAAACCACAACGTTTCAGTTATAATTTTTCCAAAAAAGAACGAACGAAAAATAGATTAAAGATAGGTATACAGCGTCTAGATGTATCGAGTGAAAATATGGACAAGTAGCCACAAAAAGTTTTTTTTTATATAATATCAGGAGACGGGACGAACAAGTCGTGCGTCTGACGGTAAGCTACACGCCTGTCCATAACAGTTGCAGTGCCACTCAGAGCTTTAAATCACCACCTGAGACGTAGGTTGACAAGTCCCATGTGCCTGTAATTTCACCAGCATCCTTACCCTTCTAAACCGGAACGCAGTAATATGCTAACATTACTGCTTGGCGACAGAAATGGGTACAGTGGCAGTACTTCCCTGGACGAACTCTTTCATAAGGAGCTCTACTGCTGAAATGTATCCACTTTTGCTGAAAGCCGGAAATGTTTAAAACGTTTTACAATTCCATTATCTAGGTTAATACGGATTTTGATCTTTGATCGTTTCATTTTAACTATAGGCTGGAAGCGTACTGTTTTATTTGCTTCTAGGCAGTAATATCGATAAATAGTGTATAAGTGTGTGGTATAAATAGACCATTAATCATGAGGCATAACGATCGAACTCGCTACGTTTTGGCAGCAATCGGCCGTTCAGATTTACATCTATCAGTTTTACATTTCCGTATAGAGAAACATTTGACGTTTACTAATTTTCAAATATCAGTTTCAATAACAAGGCGCGCACAATTGTGCAAGTTTACTACTGGTATCATTAAGATAGTAATGTGGACTTGGCATGCGAGCAAATGAGATTAGAGCCGAATACTTTCAATGCTACAATGCTCGGTAAAATTAATTTGTCATCGCATCATTCCAACTCTAAAAAGAGATGTACAAATGTATTGAGGTTACAAGGGTTTTTGTGTAACGCTGTAACATACCACATTTTACACTTTATTTATATAATGTTTTGGGAAGATAATTTATGTAATATGCTGGTCGAACGAAATTTTAAAAATGCGCTTTCTTTAGCGTAGATACCGTTTTAATGACGAATTAATCAAATAGCAACAATGAAAAGAAGACATTTGGAATATTATTTGTAATAATTTTTTTTCCGAATCTAGTAATTTCATACGCATGTCGAGTTATACTCAAATTGCTGAATGGAGAACTAGTTAAATCGCAACACTGTTTTATTATAGCCGCAGCATCTTGGCCCTTTACGGGATATAATAACCTGCGCTGGTATTAGATTCACTGTGTGTAACTTATACCCACTTTTATTTGTATGACAGAGAGCGTAACGGCCCAAGCTATCAGTCTTACCTGGTTAGGTGGTCCCCTTCTTCTAAGTCCATAGAACCTGGTCTCGTCTGCTCTTGGTTTCTGGTGGGGCACTCGCCAGAACGGAGGCCTCTCGTACATCGGCATTTTAACTAAACTTTGGTTTCTACGATGTTAACTGGAGGGAAACAAAAGTTGAGACAAAGATTTTACGAAAACTTTAAAAGCTGAGTTCGTATTTTGTTAAAACTTTTGCACATCTCTACAAAACCTCTTAATACTTTCTTTCGTTACGTAGAATTTCAAACTCTACATAAATTTCATAAAAGCATCAATGATAAATAACAAAATCATTTGTTACAGTGACTTGTTAAACATCACGGAACACTTGCACACGCTTAAGACATATCATTTCATACGTAGGTGGTTGGCAAACGAATTTATGAAATAAATAAATCGCGTTTTGATAAACAGACGACGCCATGGAGGATGACGTTGTAAAGTGGGGGCGACTGGGAGGGCCCTATACGCTTGGACTCACCAGAGGGCGGGGTGTAGCGTCGTTTCTTGCCCAGCGTCGCTCGGCCAGTGCCGGTTTGTATTATCTCGAATTATTCCGGGCAACATCAAACTATAGTCTATTTTTTGCTATGAGGATCGCGCGAGCCGTCGAATCGACGACGGGTTGTGCTTCAAATGATTTACAAGCCTGGCTTCGTCTGCGTCGCGCTGTTTCTGGGGCAATCAGAGATTTGCGACGACGCCGGTCAAGTACGCTGTCCGCATGGTGGATGTAGTTCATTGCTCTTCTATTCCACACGTACAAAACATGACACAGTATTGAGTATCATAGACACTTAGTTGTAGCTATATATATAATCGGGAATATTTTCGAGTTCAACGAACTTATCTTCCCACTTTTATGTATAATTGAGGAAATGTGAATGACACAGGAATTATTTTACATTTACAAACGGCCAATCATATTGCTGCATCGAAGTAATCGTTACAACACAATATAGATTTCCGTACAATTACGATCAGACCGATCGTAATTGTACTGTCATCGATATCTAACGACATATTACCAAATGATCGTATTATAAACTAATGAAAAAAATATTGTGTAATACGGTAACTTATATTTCCCATCTATTGAATGGGAAATAATAAAAGATTATATAAAAAAAAAACTTTATTACGGAAGTAAAAATATAATAAATCTGTACAAGAGTATACAGGGTGACTCCTGAAAATCAGCTGTTCTATAAATTTGAGTAGAGTTACAACATTATTATGGAACGGCTAGGTTATTATGCCAATCCAGAGGCGTCCTCTTAGTAAGTAGTATACTCATAGGTAGAATCAGGTCCCTAGTCTCGCAGACTTTTGGAGTCCTAATGTATATGAAATATCCTTATATTACACACATCGAGTACATAACCAGAAATAGAGACGAAATAAGAGCCATCCATCCCTGGCAACTCATCAGGCTAATGGCAACTCATCAGGCGTTTGCGCTGAAATCACAAATTACAAAGCTCAAATAGTCCAGCGCCAACAACTGACCCCTGTACGGAGACATACCCGTATATTCCAGAAATATTCTGTATTTATTGTAATAAAAATAATATAACTAATAACGGGGGGCTGTTCCATCCGGTGGTATCGAAAAAAAACAGAAAACATCTAATTACAAAACAGTGTATTGACGACACCCGTCAATTGTTTCGAATTGGGGCTGGCCAATCGGAGCGCAGTTGTCACCGTAATGATTTGGCAGAATAGTTTTCAAACAAATTAAATGACATTTCGTCTCTACTTCTGGTTCTATACTCGATGATTACACATTACACAATATAGACAAACTGCTCTGAAATGATACACCTTGTTCGTAGGATTATTTTTGCTAAATGATGGGCTTATAAGGCGCTACCTCGAAAACATACCTAGTATAAAAGAGGAAAAGGGAAAATAGTTTCTTAACGCGAATAAGCGAATTAACAATAGTTCCTACTAGTTTGGAATAAGTTCGAAACTACAATTTTTTAGAAAAACTCGAATTAAAACTTAAACAAGCACAAAAAAGTTTGTGGATAAATTAATTTGATTAATTTTTTTTTTAATTACATACACACGCAACATATATATTACTCAACATATATTACATACAAATGAGAAATGGCTAATAATCAGATTATATTTCAGGACTTAATTATATTGTTTTATTTGTTACTTTTATTTTATTGTTTTTGTGTCCTAATATATTTGTAATTTGTTAATTTATTATGGGTACCTATGAATAAAGAACTATTATTGTTGTGAAAATGTAGTACGTACAATCGTGTTTTTTTAAATACAGTTACCAGATCGAATAGTCTACAAACGCTTCAATGGCAATCTATGTTTATAGATATAATAAATACTATTCAAAAGGGGAAAATTCGTCGAGGCGTCGCCTTAAAATGGGTAACTATATCGTAGTTGAAATTTAATACATTAAATAGACTATAATATGTAGTTCAAGTAATAAGTAATATTGCATTTTAAACGATATACGACAAAAATATTACAAAAAAAAACATTAATATTATTTAACTATTTTCATAAACAAACGCAAGTTGATTAAACTTAAAAATCGCAACGCTTAATAATAATTATTTTAATTAATATAACCGGAAAAGCCGTAGGTTAATAAAATTTAGATTCTTTTAATAACGGGCGTACAAAGCCATTCAAATCGAACAATTCTAAGGCTAATGCAAGTAGTTATAGCAGACAAGTTACTTTTGCTGAAACTGTGGCGCTAGTTGCGAATTTTGATTTCAATGTTTATGTTGTGTGATGAGCAAATTAGTTCTTAAACAAATCGCAAAATGTAGGACATGCTTATCCAACTTGTCAACCTTTACAATGTATGATATATTACTATAAAATAAACGTGTAATAGGCTATAATAATATATATAATAAAATAAAATAAAAAATAAATAAAATGAAACATAAATAACCGAACGAAGACATATAAAAATTTTATGAATCTTAGAAAGTTTATTACAATACTTTATAATTTTATTACAATTTTCTACATTACAGCGTTTCGTATTAGCTTAATTTGAGACGATTCTTCAATTCAGTCTAATATATTCATAAAAAAAATAGAGAGAGCTTACATAAGATCCGTGGTTACTTGCACAGTCCATTAAGTAAGGTAAGTTTACAGAGAACAACATTGAATACACTCCCCGTGAGAAAGTGTTTCACTATAACATGACATATTTGAGTATATAAACAAATGTTACAGCATAGGGCGCCACTAGACCTTCGAGTAATTGCGTGGGAAAGATTTTTTTTTGTATCGCCCGCGCAATTATTCCTGGCGTTGACTTTTGGCTGCATTCTTTCGACTGTTGTTGTACGAGTTTTTTTAGCTGCCTGTCCAATTAATAAAGCGCAGCAGTATGATGTTTCTGTCGTCAAAGGATGTCGTCATTGTTTCTCTTGTTTTTACGAGTGTCTTTGATGCAATAATACGGAATTTAAAAAGGTTTTTGTAAAAATGTGATTGACTATCTATTATGATAAAAGTAGCAATAACAAAAGTGTCATGCTGTCGGAAAGACCGGCCAAGAGCATGTCGGAAGCGCCCATGACATGTTTTTATGGCTGTTACGTAATTCGACTGAATAATTTTCTGTTTCTGCTTTATTCAGTACGCAATGTTTATAAAGTACGTACTTTTGTTAAGAGGCCGTTATAATACTCATTAAAAGTACTAATCAAGGTTAATCCCAAATATTTTTCATCTTTCCTGATAAATACTTGGACTTCAAATACTTCCACTTACTTGTTAAAATCGGGAGCACTTTTCCTCGCGCTTTCACTCAAGGTTCAACTTTAATGCAATGTGCAATGTTGCGTGTACGAACTCCTATGGCAACCACGCATCGCAGCAATATAATATTTTTTGTAATTAGGCAGTGATAACAAATAAATTAATATTATTTACATTTGTGCCATTCACCTATCTATCGCAGTCCATAATCAACTGCTGTGTAGAATAAGCCTTTAATTTTGCAACCTTTTAATACCGGTTTCTTGACGCCTTGAGTTTTCTCGATGTAACCGCGATGTAGTCTAACCAAAGGGTTACTGTATAAATTATAATTCACTGCTATGTTGTCATTTATCTAATTTTAATTTTCTTTGCAATTTCTTAAATCGCACTCACGGCCACGGCGTCGGTTATAAATATCCTGCGTAAGCTGACACATGGCGCTTAAAACTAGATTTGACAAGACCCGTTTGTGCTGGTAGTTTATAACGCATCGCGTGGTTGTTCGTACAAAGAAAATTATATATGTATGTTAAAAATCCAATATCGCGGGTTTGGTGTCCCGAGCGCATTTGATAAGGGAGTACATAAGTTTGACGAAACCTGTGTCTTTTGGCTTTTCTAGTCCGCGAAGAAGCCTATTCTTCATTACCGCTACGAACTCACGGTTGCTCAGTTGTCCATCCACTGTAGAAGAAAATGTTATTGAGTATATAGATTTTAATAATACCACTACTATGTATAGTTTTCAACCATATCAGCAGGATCGGGACCAGGCTTGCATCCTACCCTCCTGGTAGCAAGCAGTTCTGGTCCCTGTCCAAAGCAGTTGAATCCAACTTCTGCCGTCCCACCTTGCCTCCCATGCAGAAACCTGACGGATCACTGGCTCACTCTGCAACGGATAAAGCAAACTTATTTGCTGCAATGTTTGCAAGCAATTCGCATTTAGATGCAGGCTCAAAACATCCACCAAATTTACCTCGTTGTGACACTTCAATGCCGGAGGTCACAATCCACGCAAAAGAGGTTCGTAGAGCTCTGCGAAGTCTAGATGTGAATAAGGCCAGTGGTCCTGATGGTATACCAGCACGGGTACTGAGGCTTTGCGCGCCTGAGCTAACTCCTGTACTGACGTGTCTGTACCGCCTCTCACTAAAAACGAGAATAGTGCCTAAATCATGGAAGCTTGCAAATGTGCAACCAGTCCCTAAAAAGGGAAGCCGCGCCGACCCCTGTAATTACAGACCAATCGCCATAACTTCCATACTCTGCAAGGTTATGGAAAGAGTTCTGAACGGTAAGCTGCTATCATACCTTGAAATAAATGACCTACTCAGTGATCGTCAATATGGCTTCCGCCGGGGACGATCAACTGGGGATCTTCTCGTGTATGTTACGCATTGCTGGGGCGAGGCCATCGAGAAACACGGTGAGGCACTGGCCGTATCGCTCGATATCTCAAAGGCCTTCGACAGGGTTTGGCATGCAAGTTTGCTGAGCAAGCTTCCTGCTTACGGCATCCCTGCCGACTTTTGCAGCTGGATATCAGATTTCCTTGGGGAACGGTCGATTCGAGTAGTCATTGAAGGCTGCTCATCTGACTTGATGGCTATTGATGCTGGAGTTCCTCAAGGGTCTGTTCTCTCGGCGACTCTTTTCCTGCTACACATCAATGACCTATTGGTCCCGGGTATAGTTGGGTATGCAGATGACAGTACAGTTACCGAGAGATATCTGTCTAGCGCAAGAGACGGCAGGGAAGATATTCGTTCGCTGAGAGAGGCTATGGTAGAGCGAACGAACCTGACCTTAAGTCTTGTTGCCCAGTGGGGTGACAACAATCTGGTCAGCTTCAACGCCACCAAAACGCAGGCCTGTCTTTTTTCCGCAAAAAGGAGTCCATTTGATCTGACTCCTACTTTTCGGGGTGTATCTGTCCCAGTTACCGACCGCCTAGAGCTTCTTGGCATGACATTAAGCGCAAACCTCAACTTTGGCGCTTCTATAGAGTCTAAAGCACAAACTGCAGCCAAGAAGCTGGGTATCCTTAACAAGGTGAAGCGATACTTCTCGCCTGGACAGCTTTTAACCTTATATAAAGCGCAGGTCCGGTCTTGCATGGAGTATTGCAGTCACCTGTGGGATGGCTCAGCGAAATACCAACTAGAGGCTCTTGACTCGATTGATCGCAGAGCCAGGAGGCTTATTGGCGACGATGAGCTCGAATATAAACTTCATAGTTTAGCCCATCGGCGAAAGGTCGCGGGTCTGTCGGTTTTTTACAGATTATACTTCGGAGAGTGTGCCCATGAGCTCCACCAGCTCATTCCATCCGCCCCCTTTTACCATCGGACATCTAGACGAACGGCGGGATATCACCCTCACCTGGTTGATATTCCTTTAAGTCGTACTAAGCGCTTTTCGTCATCTTTTATAATGCGCACAGCCCGTGACTGGAATTCCCTGCCTGCGTCTATTTTTCCGAGTACATACAACCCGAATATTTTCAAGGTGCGATTGAATAGGCATCTTCTGGGCGAGCTCGTACCAACGTAGACCTCATCTTTGCTCTAGGGCTAGGTAGTGGTCAAGAGTTCGTCCATTTTTAATAAAAAAAAAAAAAAAAGTTTGGATGTTTAAATGTTTTGTCATACAACGCCGAAATGGCAATTAGGGACAACTACAGCTTCTTATTGCTATGTTACATTTCGACTGTGATGAAGAAAAAAATTGTTTGCGTCATTTGTATAGCATCTGGTTTATTAAATAAAAATATATACACACTATGTGTAATAAAAATATTTCAAATTTACGTATTTTTATTTAATACAAATGACGTAAACAATTTTTTTCTTCATCCTGTCAAGTACCCACAATTGAGATGGTACCGATTGCCAGTTCACAGTCAATTTGGAATAATTAACACAGAATAAAGCGAATCAAGTCAGCCTCCGATTATATATACTTAAAACGCGAAACTCTGTGTCGCGGGTGCTATGGACACACATAAACAATCACAAATTACACCCAAACTCACGAGAGAAATAAATGTGGGCCATACTAATATTTCTCCCGGTTCGGGAACCTTACCCGAGACCTCTGTGTGGCAGACCAGCATGGTCACCGGTCGGCTATGGAGACAGTTTAATTTAAATAATGATATCATTTATCTAAATTGAAATGTAGGGTACTTATTTTATTCCGGACGTAAACAAATATTGTATAAAAAGTATAAATTGTGGAAAGGGTTAAACTATTATACTCATTATGGTTTTGTTAAATCAAATTACTTATTAAGATAATTAAAATCATTCAGAAGGGATACCATGAAAACGCTCACTACCTTTTTTATATTTTTGGCGTCAACGAATATTACATAAGAAGTATTTCACATAAAGATTTTAATTGACAATAGAAAGACATTAAAAAACCAGTCAGAAAGATTACGTTAAATACTTTAACTAAAATCGATAAGAGGTAGTAATTCAACAGTCCGAAATGACTAAATCTGTCTCTCCATTTAAATAATGCCTACTTGTTCTTAGGCTGGTTCGTCAGCACAAAGTAGCTTTATTCATTTTATTGAATATCAACTACGGAAGAAAAAATGCAATGGAAGTGCCTCGATTACTTTCAGAACCGCTGTCGCCAAAACTCACACATTCATAATTTGAAACACCGTGAAATGTTGATAATGATTGGTCGTAGTTTCTTATTTAAAAGAAATAAATTCTGGACTGTTCATATAATTTAAACTTTACCCTGTTGGGGTGTCAGTTACGACGTTTTGACTTTATATTGAAATTTCAATCAATGTGCTGCCATCTAGCGGTCAATCGATAGACGACGACGACGAATTCGAGATGTTTACTTAGATTCCCAAAAAGAAGAGACCGTATTGTAGTGGTATATAAAATTATTTAGATGAACAGAAAATTGACATACCTCCATAAACCGATATGGTACCGATAGGGTTGTACCATTATACAGTAGAAGTATCGCACATAGTCTTTGTTACTCGACATTGGCGAAATCATCGTTTGTTTCTATGGAGCCATAGCATTTAAAAGAAGAAGAAGAAGAAGAAACCTCCATAAAATGATATTACAAGTGCGGCTATCATTTTTGCACTCCAAAGTAGCAAAATAAGCGTTTTTCTACGATTTTCGAGGTTTCACGCTAGATACGAGCGAAAATGGCAGATACGTGGAACTTTGCGTACTGTTGGCACGTGGCACGCAAACTAAGCACTTCTACTATATTTATTGTTCTGTGCACGATGCGATGTTTTGAGTTCCATGATATTCATATATTGTTTTGTGAAAATACTCCGCTAATTTGTTAATATTATTGATACAAAGATCAAACAAAAAAAAAATTAATTCGATTCGACGGGACTCGGAACCAGCGTCTGTTATCACATCGTGGCTACGTAGCCACGTAGTAGCTTACGCAGCTACGACGTAGACACGTAGTACCTTACTTAACCACGTATCACTATATAGTGGTCAGTATATGAAAAAGTACTTACTGTTTTCATCGAATATCGTAAATACGACATTAATAACATGGGGGTCTAATTCAATATGGGCTACAGTTCGAGCCACGTGCCTCAAAGTTGGCTGGTCAATGGACGCACCGGCAATATGATAGAAAGTCAGTGCCGTATCTACGTCATTTATGTTGTTTAGCAGGTGGAAGAACTTAAGGTAGTCCTCCTTAGTTATACCAACGCCGTGGTCTCTGAAACTGATAGAAAAATGTTCTATTACAATGTGAGATAGTAAATTAATAGACAGGTACATTTAACGGAACAAAAAATGAGAATATAAAATGGCAATGGTTATATTTATATAAATTAGAATATATTCAACGCGCATAGCCTGCGGGACACGTTCTATTATTATTTGCCATGGAGTGTTCAGACGGAACCTATCAGGGTGCGCAAATTGCACAGGGTGGTTTTGGTATATTTAATGTTGGGTGATTTTAATACGTTTTGTCTGAGTCAGTAAGTAATATGCCGCGAAGATTTTAACACGTATTAATTAATCACACATGTTTCACACCACCACCACCACCACCACAAAATATACACATGCATGTTTCATCATCAACCCATTTATACGTTCCACTTCTAGGCACGGGTCTTCTTACAGACAATGGTTTAGGCCGTAGTCCGCCACGCTGGCCCAATGCGTGTTGGGGAGTTCACACGTTTTCCGAGGGTTGTGAACGATCTTCAACGTGCAGGTTTCGTCACGATGTTTTCCTTCACCGAAAAGCTCATGATAAATTTCAAATTAAATTTCGCACATAAATTCCGAGGAATTCAGAGGTGCGAGCCCGGATTTGAACGCACGACTCTTTTCTTGAGAGGCAGTAGGTTAAACCATTAGGCTACCACGGCTTCACACATGCATGTTTGGTTCGGTAATATTTTGATTTATCTGTTCGGATTCTATTAAGTGTTTTTTGATGAATTGCTTTTGTAATGGGCCTTACACAACCTTTATTGAAAAAATGGAAATAAAAGAAAATAATTTTTTTTGTTTTTGTCACGAAGCAGAAATAGCTGAAAATTTAAAAATTGCAACAGTTTAACATTGATTAAATCAAACTTTAACAAAAAAAAACTCCAACCACTCGACAAACCAGTACTAGTAGGAAGTTGAAACAAATGAACGAAAGAAATGACAGTCGACTAATGTTTTAGTATCAAATTAGATCTAAAATTAAAAAATTAAAATATCCAGTCAGACTTTTGAAAGCACACTGCATTTTTTGGGGATTCTACCGTGTTCCTATAAATGTGCCGGTGAGTGTAGTTTTAGAAGAACAGGTCATGGCTTTATAT